TTCATCTCATCAATTATAATTATAATTAAATCCGATCAACACTTTTTGAAGCATTCACATTTAATTTTTACAAAAATTGCATTTAATGAAAACGAATATTATATTGAATTAATGCTATTGTTTTTTATAAACAAAAAGCTAATTTTATATGAATTTAAAGAATTACAGGTGTGTCGATGCACATCATACGGTGTCCATTCAATTAATGCACAAATGATGTTAGGAGTTTGTTTATTTTTGGAAATAAATATGAATGGATAAAAAGCCAAGCCTAACAAGAACGGTAATTGATTGCAATTGAATAAAATATTTGAAACTCATTAAAAATGTGATCAGGAAAACACGGCTGATTTGACAAATTTTTTAAATGTAGATAAAAAAAACTTGGTTCCGGTTAAAAATAAATTTCCGTCATTTCTACTTTCTGAGAACAGTGCAAAAAAAACCGATTTATATTTTGATAACGATAAAAACGTATGCCGAATAAAAAGTATTCCATTGTGTAAATGTTGGTAATCGTTGCGTTAATTTTGGAAAAAAATCAATTGTTTCCAATTCAATTTGATTCTTATTCTTATTTAAAACTTGAATAGGATTAGAAACTAAGCATAAAATAAAACTACTAAGGGTGGGATTATCCATGAAATGATCAACTTTAAACTTTAAGATCAGAATTCAATGATTCTTAATAAATAAAAAAAAGATAATAATCCATTACTACCAATGTCATTTGATGGTATTAAATTGTTTCACTTTATTATTCTAATTTTAGCAAATGGAAAACATTGAAAAATGTTTACAACATATTATTATTACAATCATTCAAAAAACAAACAATTCAGGGATAGAACTTGGCCGAGGTTGAAAGAAGAAAAAACGCAAACATATGTAGCCAATCATTTAACCTCTTCATGTATTCGACCGAGTTATTTTTAAACTAGAAACAGAATTTCATCCTCTCATCTGATCTACTATCTCAAAGAGAGAGAGAGAGAGAGATATACGAAAAGATTTGAGGTAAAAAACAAACAATAAGGGATTAATTGGTGAAAATATTCCAATTCATTTTCATTATTTGTTTATTTACAATAACCTGTTTTAAATGAAGAGATGTGAGACTGAATTTCAATGATGTTCGTGAGGTAATATAAAAAAAAGAGTGAATGAAAGAACCAAAGAAAAAGAAGTGAGTGCAACTGGATGACAAATATAACCTCGTTCTGAATGAAGAATTCAATTCACATTCATAATTAGTGGATTGCTGCCTAAATAATAATGAACATCAAGATCTATTAAAATTAATAAGCGACCTAATCATCATCATCATCATCATCATCATCATCATCATCATCATTCATTTAAATGTCTAAAGGGGTGAAAAACAAACAACAAAACAATAGAATATTAGAATAGATGAATGAATTTAAACTCTCACTCGAAAGTTCAATGCTTAATAATCATATATTTTCGTGTTTGACCTAAAGAAAACAAAACAAAAATAAAATGATCTTCAAATTCAACTCATTTCTTTGCCATAGTATGGCTATATATAACCATCGAGATCTTTGGTTCGAATTTTTTTTTCTTCATACCATCACTGTTGTTTGATTAGTAGTGTATATAGGATTATCATCAATATATATAAGTTTTTGTTTATAACTAATAATAAAAATAATAATAATCAAAATGGCAATGGATAACTCTCTCCATTTTCCTTGTTTTTTTTAATATTATGAACACACATACACAAATACATCAAGATTGATCACCTCAAATTTCTCCAATCGATGAACCATCGAATCAACCAGCTAATTGGCAACAATCATCATCCTGTTCATCATCATCGACATAATATATGATTACCAGAAAAAAACATGTCGATGAAATTACATCGGGCATCATCATTATTGTGTTAATGATGATAATGATAATCAAGGGCAAATGAGATAGAAAAAAATAGAAACTGATCATTATTTTCGATTTTCTTGATGACGAGAAAAAAAAGGTGAGAGTATTGAGAATGCTAACAAACAAGTTTGCCAGAAATCATCGTAGTCAATATCGATTATGGTATTCAATTCATCTGGTTAATATTCATCGATAATAATGATGATGATGACTTTTTTTCGGCTGGAGGGAAATTGAATTTTTTTGCGGCATCTCTGATCATCAGTAAAAATAAAAGTTATTCGAACATTTGATGATGAATACACCTGACCTATCTAGTATACCCGGTCTCGATCGACAGCCATGATCATGTCATTTTTTAATCATTTGATACAGGTTTCGGTTGATTATTATGGACGACGGGTGTGGGCTGCTATTCATCCATTATAAAAAAAAATCCTGATCAATAGGATATTGTTTTGATAAGGGAAAGCTAAGATATAGTGAGCAAAGATGTATATTTAAGAAAAAAAAAACAGAAAATCCAACACCAAGATTCAAATCTATGATTTTCAATTTCAATTGTTTCAAATCAGTCATAAATCTATCATCATTATTATGATGATTTTTTTTACGATTAAAGTTCTTTTTTATGTATGAAACCGATCTGTTCGATCTATTGATTCTAATTTTGGATCATAAGATGATCTATACTGATTACTGAATTCATACATTGGCATACTATCAAACTATTTATCTTGATCGAATCGTTTTATTTTACTTGGTTTAGCCATTCAAATGACTTACCGTTATAATGTTGAGGGAAAAAAAGAAAATGATGATCATACCAATCTTAAATTTTCTTACTAACAATGATCATAGAAATCGACGTTAATAATGAATGGGCCAATACGTTAATCCACAAAAAATGATTAGCATCTTAACCACGATAAAGTATAAAGTATTTTATGTCCATTAACTGTCAATGTATATGGAGAATTATCGATACACACGTTTAAATATATATAATAATTATCATAAAAATCACTAATCGAATAATTTTGTATAAAACAAAAATAATGCGGAAAATAAAATAATACGAGTTGATTGAATGAATTGGAAATTTTTTTCCATTCATTCATATTCGTAAGGAAAGTCAAAATAGTAAATTGTTTTTTCGACTTGGAATGTTGAATACGGAATAGACGTTTTTTGTAATCGTTAAATAACGACAACGATATAATCAGATACAACTTGCTTTAGGAGGAGAAAAAAGGAAACTTGAGAAGTCAATTAAACTACACCACCACCACCATCACTACAACTTTCAACAACAACAACAACAACATAATGATCACAAACATCATTATTCATATGCGAATGAATAATAATAACAAGATGAACAAGATATATTCGAATTGTAATGCGTAGCCAATCTTGCTAGAGGATGATTTCCGATTTCCTCATGAAAACGAGACAACAAGCTGCATCGAATTAATATATGTGAAAATTTCACACACACACACACACAATGATTATGAAAGTGCTAATGATGATTGAAGTAAATAAACATTTCATTTTTTCATGGATATTATTCAATGAATGATAATAATGATATTATTTAATCAATCGCTGATTGGAATGTTGATGAACGTTGTTGGATGGATGAAATTTATTAATTATATAATAAATGTATGTAATATAGAATCACACATACATACATAATACATGACAAAAAAAACAAGATAGAAAAAAATCATGTTATAATGCCTGTGCATTATCCATTTCGATGAGATTGTCATAACTGATGAGATTCATATTATCCGGAACATTTTACAAATAATCTATCGACATATGTTGTTTTTGTAATGATTTTTATATTTGGCATTTGTGTCTGTGTGTGTGTGTGTCTGTGTGTCTATCATTGTCGTCATCGTCGAGACAGCCCGGTGACGGTTCAAGATCTACCTGTTTTCAGATTTTTTTTTCTTTTTCTCTAATATTCATTCATCATTTCAACAAAAAAATTATTTCAATTTTTTTACAATCTATGTTTATGAATTTAACTAATCATCATCATGATCATCATTATCATCGACGCCATTATGGGTGAACAAGAACAAATAGCAACATAGAAATAAATAACTAACCAAGTCCATGCTATGATGATCATTTTTTTTTATTACCAAGTCCGCATCATCATTCATAATCATTATCAACGTAGTTTTTATCATATTTAATGATATTCAGTCGTATAAAAAGTCGATCAAACAAGATTCTACGATTAAAGACATGAATTCAATTAATCAAAAGCTTACAATGTACATTAATGTGAAAAAAAATCCTAGTGACAAAATGTTTTGTATAATACCCCTTAACTATTACCAAATTACACACCTATGGATATGAGGCTATGAAAATTCCTCAAATAATAAGGTTCAATAAACTATAAAAATTACTATGATGTCAAAAAACAATTTAAAAGCTCTATTTTTATATGATGATAAAAACAAAACAAAATGTCAAGTGATTTTGATCTGTATTTCGTGAATTTTTTTTTCGCTGTTTTTTGTATATCTATTTTTTATCGACATGAAAATGTTTTTGAACGTTGAATAGCTGTTTTGAAAGCTCACACCCGAAACTTAGAATGAGTAAAATGAAACAGAAAAGGCAAAAAAATTATTATTATTATTATTATGATCAATAACCGTTTAATTGCTTTTTTTTTGTTTCTCGGTATGCACAGCTTTGTGGTATGTACACGGGTGTGTATTTGTGTCTACAATTTCAATTGAAATCCAACAACAACAACAAAAAAAACTGATATCCATTTCAATTTAGATTAGATCAACCTATCTCATCGCCAAAAAAAAAAATTTTGTATCGCGACAACAACGTAAACGTGTTTTTTTTCTTGTTTTTGTTCCATTCATTCATTGAATTCTCACAATATTTTCAATTCAATTTAATTTTGTACAATCGGAACAAATACGGAAATCATAATCGACATCATCATCGATATACTTGGAAAAACTTTATTCGTTTGAAACTGATAGAGTACGGAAATTTGAATCGATTTGTACAATTGATAGAAATAATAGTCTGCTCACCTTGATTTGGCGAATGTACCGATGAATGAGTTAGAATAATGATGATATGATATAGTTGAAAAAAATAATCTCACAGTTAAACGGATGACAAATAAAATTGGGTCAAATCAAAGATATTCTTCATTGATAAATTATTTTGATGAGAAAGAAAAATTCGATTAATTTTGTTGAGGTGTTTTATATAATGAATTATTCAATTATATCGTTGATGGATATAAATGTTGACAATAATAAAAATGGTGGCATGTTTTGGCAAAGATGGACGAATAAACGTTCGACAATCGATAAAGAAAAACAATCGTTAATCGATTTCGAATATATGAATGGATGTCATTGGAAATATTATAATAAAACACAATAGTCGTATTTTATCTAACGAATCGATAACCATTTAAGTATTGGTTCATTGGAGCAATAAAGGTCGAAAAATGGTAATGATATGATCATCAATGTAGTTTCTTTCAACCTGACCGTAAGAAATGCTTATAAATGGGGAAAAACAAGGTAGCATTTTCTTACTTTTTTCTATAATGTCTTTTTCTTTATCCTCTTTTCATTCATTCATTCATTCATTCATCTAGTCAATTCTCCATTTAAAATCACCATTTAATCGAATTGATTTGATCTTGAAAATTCAATGATGTGAATTCGAAAAATCTGTGATCCGTGACCATTTTTTTCAACGAAAAAAAAATAAATAAAATGAAGAAGTCATCAAACTTAAAATGTAAACCAAATACAAATACAGATCTAATTTTCACAGAAAATTTTTCATTCGAAAGAATTCAGACATAAACCTACATACACATGAAGACAAAGCAAAATGAAAAACTGTTGCACTGAAGATGGTTCACATTACTGATAAACAATCAATGAATACGAATATATCCATTCATCGAACAATGGCTTTAGTTAATGATCGTAATGTTTCAACAATGGATTTTTTCTGGTTGTAACGAAAAAATTTAAATGGTAAAAAAAACAGGCAAAAATTGGTAACTAAAATTTCTTAAAATGATTTTAGAACACCAGGGAAGTTGTAGATGATCAGATCTGATGAACACATACACACACACACACACAAATAATTGATAATTCATCAGCATGAAAAATGTTCAATGACAAATTGAATGTCGGATGAATGATAATGTTGCTGAAAATTAGGTTAATTTATTATCATGAACTTCATTATAATTTTGATGTTATTGTTGATTCGAATAGTAATGGTGATGTGATGAATTAGCTGCTTTCACGATGAAATATATTAGTGAATGGATTCGGAAGTAGATCTTTTTCAGTATGCAATGTGTGTGTGTGTGTCTGTGTGTGTATGCCAGTATGTGTGTGGGCCAAATACAAAACCACAAAACAACAATGCATTCGGCATACAAAATTCATTCATTCATTCATTCAGTTGTATATTTTGAACATAATAATAATTTACAAATTTGACGCAAGTGCATTTCAATATTTGAAGAATTTCTAATTTTCATATCTAATATAATGGCGGTTTTTTTTCTTCCTAGTAAGATTGTCAATTGTAATATTTAGACCACTAATGTCACGAAATATATTTTTTTTGAGGAAAGTGAACAACAAATTTTTTTTTTGAATAGTCAAGAAAACTGATAATAATGGCTCTAAAGATTTAAACGATGAATAACATTTAATTCACTGGAAGGAAAGTTCTTGGACATTCTTTACAATAGAAAAAAAAATTCAAACCAATAAGATCCATTATCATGCACAAGAAGATCAATGAACAACAAACAACGGCGTCTGATGTTGGAACACACACAAACACACATATGAGACAAAAAAGACCGACGAATTGAATGAACACGGGAAAAAACGGCATTAGAATAGAGGAAAAAAAATAAGGTGAACACATGCGTGATCCGTTATTTTTTCTTCATTCGTATTTTGTAATGTTTGGAACAAATATTAATACCATAAGAACATGATGATGAAGAGACGATATCATCGTCTGTATATTGTTGTTGTTTTTTTTATATCAAAAAAAAAAAGATGTTTTCAACGGTTTCAACTACTGTTGTTTCATATTTGTAGATCAAAACCATTTTACACACATGAAACACACCAAAGAAACGAAATGAAAGAGGAGAAATGGTGTTTGGCTACTGTGAATAAATGAATGAAATGAAATGAAATGCTATCATCATATCCAAACAGCAAGAAAGAGAAAAATTTAGCTTTTTTTTTCTTTCTCTTTTTCTATTTCTTACTTATTCACATCATATGTCAAACTTGAATGAATGAAAAAAAAGATTGGTATATGATGTAATTGTGGAGAGAAAAAGAGAGAGGGATTTCGTTCCGGAAAGGAAAAAAAAGATCATAAAGTCAGAATTTTCTCAATATTTTTCAAAATAGAATCGCCAGGAAAAAAAATTCTTGTATGATGAATGAATGAATGAAATGAAATGATAATTATGAAATTTGGGAACTTTCAAAAAGGTCTGTTGCATCACTGCAAACATATACTGTAATGATGTTCACCCACACAGACATTGGAATAAAAATAAAAATAAATTTGATTACCGAAAATTGAAAATTATTATGGATCAAAAATTGAAAATATTACGATGACGAGTGTGGCCAGGTCGTACATTATTATTATTATTATTATTATTTTGGAACAAATTCTGTGAATCATGGATCTTATCATTACATCAGCTTGTTGGTTGTTCATTGGTTTTTGGTACAGCAAAAATGACTGTTTTTTATTTTTCTGATCATGCTGTCAAAATTCAGCGGCAAAGAAAAAAAAGAAAGAATTATATGGATGTATATAAGAATGTTGAAACTTTTTTTATACTTTTTCTTACTAAGCTATTGAGCTCATTATGTTACTAACCATAACATTTTATTTTGAACATGGTTTCAGATGGTATCGCGATTCTCAATGAGAAAAAAAAATAATAACTGATGATGATGATGATGATGATGATGACGTTGTTTAGCTGTCGTGTAATACCTGTATGGTTTTTATAATATTAATAATGAATGGATGAAAAATGAGCTAAATAACTTTTTCAAAACATCGACAAGTCTAAAGATATATTTCATATATTTTTTACTATTGTTCAAAAAGAATAAATATTGTCAACGAACAATAAAGTAAAAAAAAATGAAAAAGACAAGTCACAACACAGATACAACAACAAAATGTGGTCTTTACAAAAGAGAAAAACTTTTTTGTAAAAGATTTTTGGACCGATTATTTTCCAGAATATGAATCGGGATGTTTGTTTGGTTGGAAATGTTTTTTTTACACATTTTGCATCAAAAAAAATTCAATTAATCTCATTTGTTATTGTATTGTAGCCATAAAATGATAAGTACAAAGAACCTAATAATTTTTTGACTTAGTAATTCACATTTTTCAATGTAACCAGCACAATGTAGAAGATTATCAAGCCCAATTTTTTGTTTTTGTTTGTTTGGGTCAAGCCTTTTTTTATGTATAATTTGCTTTCACTTTATGATCATCATTTAAATCATTCTATATCTTGTTTGAATAATAACATCGACGAAATAAATAATGATGAATATGATGATTTACATATTCACATCCCTATTCATAGTTTTGATGCAAGACATAAATGAAAGTGTACTTTCAATTTTTATTTCAAGCGCATTAAATTTATGTTTTTTTTACCTTTGCCTACTTGATCAATTCATTTCAATCAATTGGTTAGGATTTTATATTTGATGCGCAAAATGATAATAAAAATAATTATTATCATCAATATCATCATCATCATCATCATAAAGCATTCATAATAAATAATAATGGATGAATTGAAAACCGTTCATATTTATGGATTGGTTGAATTTTAAAAAATAGGCAAATCCTTTTTTTCATAAATATGGCCATTATTATTATTTTTACTAAACATAACCAGCCCGTCAGATTGTCTTGGTCATTGGTCGTGGTTGTCAGACCACTACACATTCGTAGTCGGGATTTTCTTTCAATTTCAACAACCATTAACGTATCTCATCGATTAACATTAATAGTTACTATATCAATCATTTATTTGAATTCATGAAACAAATTTGAAAGCGACGAAATCAATGTCTTTTTTTTATTGATGCAACCAATCAATCAGAAATCATGCATAAATGTTTCAACTTTCAAGTTTCGATTTCCGTTGCTTATATTTCGAAATTTTCCAAATTTAACATACCACACACACACACACACACACAGGAGGCTGATCATTAAATAGTGAATATTCAAATAAAACAAGTTTCAATTTAAATTTAAAACATGGCTAAAAATCTGATCAAATGGATGATAATTATTAAGAATTTTTTTCACTTTCAAACAAGAAAAATAGTTTCCATTGTAATTGATGATAGTTGCTTGAGTTTTTTTTGCGTACTGTTTCAAAACACATACGTTAATAATCGATCACACGTTTGGAACAAAAAAAAAATGTTCGAAAACTGATCGCATGTCAATAAAGAGAGCCGGCGCAGTTTTTTTTACAATGTTCCATTCATATTGGGAAAAATTTTTTTTTATGTCGTCCTCATCTTCTAAGATCTATTTTTCTGATGACGATGATAATGACGACATCATTGAATACGAGTTCTAGATAATGACGATGATGATGAATTTACAGTAGATAATGGACGTTGGTGGTCATGATGATGATGATGATGATGGAAAAAATGTTATATTTTCTACTGTTTTTTTTCTGTTTTCAATTAAAGTATTTTCGTTACCACATATTTGAAAACATGAAATCTTTTTCGTTAATATACAAGATCAAATCTACCATAAACATTAATTTGACAATGATGGAATGATTTTTTTTTTGTTTTTTTTATTTTATCTTCTTCATCTTTATTAATCTATTTCACAAAAATAACGTACACATTTCCATTCAATTGTAAGTTGATCCGGCCAAACTTTGTGTTCATGATCATCAGGAAGGTTTTTTTCCTCCGCCCCCCAGCCAACATTATAATCTGTAATGGTAATTAATTATTATTCCAAAAATTGCCATCAACAAATATATTCGAAAAAAAAATATTATTAGTAATCCTGAGTCATACACGAGACAAACCGATCAGGAAATAAGGTTGAAAAAAGTGGTCAATTCAGCAATCATTACCCAATATGATAAATATGTTGTTTACATTCCAAAAAAAAAAACTTTTTTAATTTCATTCCTGTCATGTTTTTTTTTGGAAAGATGAGATATTATCATTGTTTATTCTACAATTTGTTTATATCATATAAATATGTGTTAGAACCTTTGGACAAATGCTTGACACGACAAATGGCTGATCAAAAAAAACAAAACAACGTAGGTGTTCCAAAAAAAGGTGAAAAAATATTTCACCCACAAAACTATTGTTAAGTCAAAAAAAAACGAAATCTTTATCAAAAAATATAATTATGTCATGTCGAGCTGGTTCCTTAATAATAATAATAATATTATGCCGCAAAAATAATAATGGTAATGATAATTCACATCATGCAATAATTATGAAGGTAAAAATGGTTTTTCACTTGATTTCGGACATTTTTTAAATATTGTTTTCATGAAAATTTCATTACATTGTTCATAATGGGAAAAAAATTCATATTTATGCATAAATGTTTTGTACATGTGTGTGAAAACACACGAAAAAGATACATCGTGTTCCAGATGAATACCGGAAACGTTTTTTTTCTACATTTTATATGAAACATAACAAAAAAAACACACACACCCATTGTCGAGAAGATGAAAAAATTAATAATAAATGTGAATTAAAAAAAAATGCAATTTTCTCACACGATTATGTTAAAGTGTTAACCAGAGAAATTTAGAACCGCCATTATCAATATCTTCCAACATGCATATGTTTATTATATCGAACAATATAACAAATTTTGGAACATGATTTTTATTGTTTCACCGTATTATAATTGGACAATTCAAATCATTACAACATGGAAAAAAAGGAAATTATCGATTCGACCCGTTTGGGCAAGAAATGCGTCAGTTTCTAATGGTTGTCGTGTTGCAGATATCTTTCTGTCAAAAGTCAGTCTAAAGATATCTGGAATTTGTCTTACTATATATCAATGTCAAATACTATTTAGACGTGTTTAGCATCATAAAAAAAGTTTTTTTAGAAAAAAAAGGATAATTTTCTATTGTTATAAATAACTATTTCTGGAAGACATATTTGAATGTCAATGATGGTCTAGATTTTTTTTTTTTGATGTTTCAGATCATCTTGCCCGATATGCAAATATTCAATGATCATTCAAAAAAAGATCATTTTGTTGAAAGTAATTTTCATTTACATTTTTGTTTTTAAAAATTTTTTTTAAATATCAAATTGTCTATATTATGATCACTACACGAATGATGATGATGATGATGAAATGAATACATGTTGGCGTGTCCGAATGATAATGATCTTTAAATTTAAAATTTTCAATTGTTTCTTTTATTCATTCAATCATTTTTATCATGACGTATATTTGTCATACTATATAGTAGATAGTAGATGATTGAAAAATGAAAAAAAAATTAAAATTTTTTTTTGTTGATGAATTATCAACATCATCATATTTTGATTTATAAGATTCATTCAATTTTATTCAGTAAATATACATGACAAACAATTGAAGATTGTCCGTAAACAAAACAGGATAGACAAGTGTAATTTTTATGTCTGTCATCAAAAGAGAAAAACTTTTTACATATTTTATATTCATATTAAGACAGACAAAATAGAAAAAAGAAAATTTAGGAAACAAAATTGTAGTGTCTTCTTGGCAGATTGTTACTATTTTTTGTTTATTATTAAACACAAAATTGTAACGAAGCAATTTGAAAAAATAGGTGTCCAGATGTCTGTTTTTTTTTGTTCATCATTATTCACAGAACACACACACACACAACGTTTATAATAAATGGTGTATATATAATTTCAAATTTTTTTCAATGTCATTTATCTAAATGTTTTCATCATAATGGCCAATGGTCATCATATGTTTGTCCGGAAAACATGGTTATAAGTGTAAACCATATAGCGATTGCAATATATCTATCTATCTATCACTCTATCTCTTTCCTGTTGAAATGTAAATGTAGTTTTCATTATAAGTTATGATGAATTTTTCTTCTTTTTTTTCTAATAAAAAAAAAAAAAATTTTCCATTTAAAAATTACTTATTATGGTGTGTGTACAGGAATATACAGGAACCGATCATTTATATATACCAGATATTAATTAATGGAAAAAACATTTTGTCATTGAAATAGATGATAATGGAAAAAAAAAAATTCAAGATTTATGTTCATCAGTATTTTTTTTTCATACTCCTACGTATAGAGTTCAGTTGTAAATGGGCCATGAACTATAGATTTGGATTTATATTTCAATTTTTTTTCCTTTCATTTTGTTGATGAGATGGATTTTGATTTTAACTTTTGATAAGAATTTTTTTTCTGTTCATTTACATCATCTTTACATGATCATCATCATTATATATGATTTTTCAATTGTTGTTTCTTTTTGCTCGTAGATTGTAATACATTTCAAGGAAAAATGATTAAGCAATCAGTAGATTTCGAATTGAATGGATAGAATTGTGAAGAATCAAATTATCTATTGTTTTTTCGCTTTGCTAATTGGATAAAATTTGGCAATTCACTAGCTGTTACAAGATAATAAATGACATCAAATTCTTTTTTTTATATAAAGATTTTGACCATAATCTTTCGAATAAATTGAACTTAACCTTAATTATATTTGATTTTCATTTTGTTTTTGTTTTGGTTTGAAATGAACATTAAAAAAAAGAATGATGTACCATGAAGACACACGTCCATTGACATTGAAAATTTTTTTTTCAAATGGCAATAATTCGGTGCTAAAATTGTATCGCCCTTTTCATTTTATCATAAGAATGTATTACGTTGTGAAAAATCAGTTCAAAGACCTATTTGATGATTAAAAACAAACTGCATGAAAAAAATGAATTCGAATCGTATATCATCATCATCATCATCATCATTGGCATTTCCAAACTAGGAAAAATTATTATCGTCCAATAATTATCACTGTCTTCAGATTTACCTTTTTTTCATCACCACTATTGTTGCCTACGTTAGTTCTTATACAGCACAATAATTGGATACGGTCTGTTTGTCGCCTGTTTTCAAACAAAAACAAAAACAAAAAAAAATAACGATGATCGACAATCTTTCAAATTCACAATTGTAACGGTTTGAAAGATCCTCTGGTGTCAAGACAATTTTTTTTGTTTGTCGATGTTTCTTATTTTTTTTTTTTTTTTCATATTCCCGCAAACATACACACATTATATACATAGAAATTAAATCGTCATCGATTGTTTATGTGTTCAAACAATTTCTTTGATTCCACTGTAAGAAATTGGAAAAAAAACCTATTTTATCTAATGCTTCAAGGCATGATACTCTTCTGGAGCTGACAAAATGAATCGAACAAACGAAATGATGATGATGATGATGATGACGACAAATCACAATAACAATGACATTCAAGCTTTGTTTTTGTCTTTCACAATAATCACTACCATCAATGATGATAGCTTTTGGGCTTGTCGTAAGATTACAAAAAAAGACCAATTATCAAATTTATATTGAAATAGCAATGTATAAAGATGTGCTGAAAAGAAAGAAAAGTTTTGAAATATATTATTGTATATTAACTAATAAAACTATATATAACGACATGAATCATTAACGGAAATCGAATTTGTTCTCGAACAATGTTGATCATCATTATATAATAATGATTGAGACAATCAAAAATTATGCTATGTAAAATCAAAGATCATCATTTTGTACTTGAGCTCATCTTATATTTACGCTTCATTGTTGAAATTAAAATTAGATATATATTAAATTATAACGTCAATATCATCATCATTATTCGATAATTAGTTGTGGTAGTTGATTTGTCCATTCATATAATCATTGCATGAATGAATGAGAAAAAATAACGAATATAAAAAAAATCAAGGTAATTTATTTCGTGTCTCTTATTCATTTTGCAAAATAATGGTATAGGTAAAACCAGGCAAAAAAAATCAGTCCTTGATTGATCAAGATGAGCAATATAATACATTGACAATAAAAAAAAACAATGGCTTATTGATGAGATATACAAACGAAGAAAATAACATGACCAATTGTTTATTGCAATGGCATTCATATTATCGACTGAATGGACATCAATAGTCAGAAAGCATTTTCATTGAAAAGTGAATTTATCAAACAAGGAAAATCTGTACTTTGAATTTAATTCATCAGTGATCCCAAGCCTGAATTTTTTTTTTGCTCTGGTATCAAAATCAGAATAACAACTTTCTTCCTTGTTTTTTTTTGGTTCTAAACTTGGCTGTTATAATGATTTTAATTTGGATTAATGTCATATTTTGTGTGAAAAACAACATTTAAACAAATCTTGCTTTGTGTATGTGTGTGATTAAAACCAAATTGTAAAACATTGATATTTTACGAAATAAAAATTGTTTCAACTTTTCTGTTATCATCATACATTCAATTCAACATGGAATGTAAATTGTAAACTTTTCCATCGAATAAATGTCCTTTTTTCTGTTATACCTGATGAGTGATTTATTGTGACATTTGTAAATAAAAAAAAAAAATAAATAAATAATCACCGTTGTCCATTTATGATAAAATTTGATAAAATCAAATTAATTTATCCATCGCTTTTAAATTATCTGAAAAAGGAAGAAAAAATTATTACTAACTAACTAACTAGATTGATGATTCAACTTTATTACTTGATGAACGATACCACTAGTTTATTAACGGCGAATCTAATCATCATCAGCATTAAGGCAAGTTTGTTTTCTTATCATGCAGTTCAACGCCACCGTTTTGTTTGCTTTACCAATAGCTGAAGAGCATATAAATACTTCAAGTAAAAAATTTCAATAATTAAGTTTAGTTTTTGTTTTCAAACCAATAACAGAATCGAAATAACAAAACCAAAATGTTAAATAATCAAGTGTTTTTGTATTCAACATTTTCAATGATAACACTGTTCATCTGTTGGTCATGGACAACAGCAATCGAACAACATGAACAAATTATTAACAATAATCATAGTGGCAATAATAGCATTAAATCCAAAGTTAAAATTGATGTCTACTATGAAACACTTTGTCCAGATTCTATTCAATTCCTATTGCATCAATTGGTAACAAATTATGATCGAATTAAAGAAAAAGTTGATCTCCATATGTATCCATTTGGCAAAGCGCAGGTGAATTTTTTTGTGAATATTTTTTATACACCTTTTAAATCTTATTTTTTCCAAATTGGCTATCAGTTTTTTGAATCAGGTAATTCTTACGAGTTTTATTGTCAACATGGACCAAAAGAATGTCGTGGCAATATGATACATTGCTGTGTTCTTGACCAAAATAGCCATGATATTTCATTTCCATTCATTAAATGTATGGAAAAAGAATTGTATGGATTAAGACGACCAGATATAAATGTCGTTTCACAAAAGGTAAGTGAATTTTCGAAAATTTATTTATTAAAGATAACTTGAAAACGTTTTTTGTGTTATTGAATCGAAAACTAATGTAATACAAAAAAGTAGTAGAATAGCAAATATGATTGACAATTGAATTTGAAGGCACAATCATATCGGGTATATAGGTTTTTTTTTATTCATTTGATATCTTTCACCTTATATTGTAAAAATAACAATAAAAAAGAGTGTTCCAAAATCAATACATTGAAAATCGTCCGGCCATAAAAGTAGTATTGATGTTCGGCTATTGTTGTTGCTGTTGATTTATTTGAACAATTACTTTGCCGACATTTTTTCCCGCTTGAAGATGCTATATATAATAACAAGAAAAAATAATTAAAATCGTACAAATTTCTTGTGAAACGAAAAATAATAATAGAAACAAAAACATACCTCGATAGCATTTATTGATGATTGAACGCCGATAAAATCATTCATATCGATTCGTATAATCAACTTTTGTGTTCGAAACAATTCAATCAATTCGTCAAGATATTTTTGAAAGAAACGTTGATAGTGTCGAAAACGAAATCCAGTTATCGATGCTGATTTGTTCAATAACTGAATAATAATAATTACAAACATAATAATAATAATGGAAAAAAATTCAGTTCTTTCACCTTTATTGGAAGATTTTGAATAGAAATATCCGGAAATCCTATTGTTTTGTATCCAGTGATAGCTCCTACAATAACAATTCTTCCGCCAACGGCTAAATGTTTGAATAATATTTCGAATGTTGAACCTCCATAAGTCTCCCAGATTACGTCAATTCCATTCTTGAAATAATAAGAAAAAATGAATGAATGATGAATCATATTAATGAATTTATAATTTAATAACTCTTACGGGAAATTTTTCTTTCAACACTTCATCCAGATTTTCTTGTTTGTAATTGATTATATAATCGCATCCAATCGATTCTAGAAATGATTGCTTTTCAGCTGTCGAACATAATCCAATCACTTTACAGCCTTTCATTTTGGCCCATTGGACACCAATATGACCACAACCACCGGCTGCCGCGGTCATCAATACCGTTTCTCCTTCTTTTATGTTTCCAGCTTTGTCTAGTCCGATTGCAGCTGTTAGACCACAATCCAGTAATGCAACGTATTCTGGTTTCATCTCGGCAACCGGAAAAATTCTTTCAGGCTTTATGTACTATGAAAAAAAAATTGTTTCATCAAAAAATCAAATCAGAACATCATGATACTCACAATATATTCAGCATAAGTTTTGGGTGGCATCGCAAATACTAATCCAGATTTTCCGATAGCAAATTGCTTTGGATCAATGTTTTTACCAATAGCTTCGATTGTACCCAATCCCTAGTATAATCAACATTTGTTCAATAAGAATCATCATCATAGACATTTGAGTTTTAATATTTTACCTCTAGACCTAAACCAAATGGGACATGGTCTTTTGGGAAGATCGATGATCGACCAGTCATAATGTTCATGTCGGTAGCATTCACACCAGAATAATAATTTTTGATTAATATTTCATCATTGTTTGGTGGACGTAAATCTACTTCAACAATGGAAGCAGAATCACGAATATCATTTGAATGCTTGTTAACCAAAAGTTTTTTATATTTTTCATCATTTATCATCATCGTTGTTATTGGCGAGTTGAATTCGACGAAAATGTTTACTTATGAAAGTTCGATTGGCCTGTATTGATTAAAATGAGCCAGCAAAAAAAAGCGTTAATGAATAATCAATCTTATTTGTTAGGACTATGATAAAAAATGATAACGATTCGCTTGTCACAAAAATATCAATGTTTAATATTTAACAGAACAAACGAGATAAAAAAACATCCATCTTTTTTTCATATTTATAGTGCGCCAATTGGACCAATATTGATTGGAAATATGTTGATGAATGTGCTTCAGGAAACCGCGGCAAACAATTATTGGTGGAAGCAGGTCGTAAGACTAAAGCAATAAAACCGAAAATATCATTCGTTCCGACCATCATTTTTAACGAGGTAATTTAATCGTTGAATTTCTTTTTTCCTTTGAAATGCAAACTCAATTTTTTCACATTTCTTATTTATTCACTAAATAAACCTTTTTAATCTATCCTACAATAGAAATATTCGGATCGAATTCAAAACCAGGCTTTATATGGTGATTTTGTTAAATTGATTGAAAATCATTACAACAAGAATAATGAGCATAAATCTGAATAGAAAAATTTAATTGTTCAGAACTTTATGTCTAAATCATATACTGTAAAAGAATTGGCAGAGATTTGTATGGAAAAATAAAAATTTTCATATCGTTATATTCGATGCATTTATACAAAATAAATCGGTATTTTAAAGTAAAGATAAAAAATAAATGTATGCAGCAAAAACTTTAGAGCCATAAATATAATTTTTTCGATTGATTTTTTCATTTTGGGAATGTGCACCATCATCGGCACTACCAATTGGTAAGAGAATAACACTTTTTTCCGTAACTTCTTGTAAAGTCAATGTGACTGGTATTGATCCACCTTCACGAGTCATATCCGGTTGTATGCCATAAACTAATGGATAGAATACAATAACAAACAGGTGTTAATCTATATATTAATTTGAAATTCGATGGCACATACCATTTTTGATGGCCAATTTACCAGCTATAAAATTATTACTATTCGTATCAGCAATCCAAGGTCGACTGGATTTTTGTCTGTGCACCGACATTTTGTTTGGTGAGTTAAGTTTCTTAAACTCTTCGTTTAAATAATTAGTAACTTTGATTGTAATATCATCTGGATCTTGATTTGGTACTAAACGTATAGAAAATTTCCCAATTACTTTACGAGGTATGACGGTTTTAGAACCAGGATCGGAAAATGCGCCTTCGATTCCATGAACAGAAAGACAGGGAAATCGCCAACGATGAGCAAGAATATTAACTTTATCATTGAAACGTAATCTACTTGTACCGATCTCATCACGATAAGCAGCCTCATCAAAATCGATTGATTGTAATTCAATACGTTCATCAGTTGTAAACGGTTCCACATGATCCCAGACACCAGGTATTAAAATATTACCTTTTTCATCTGTTAATTTTGACATTAGATGGATTAAATCAGTCATTGCCTCATGAACAGCACCACCATACACCCCTGAATGAAGATCTTTTTTAGCACATTCGACCTCTAAATAGAAATAAGCATTTCCTCGAAGTCCATAACTTAAACAAGGCCGAGATTGTCCTAACCAATAATTGTCACTTATGCAGAAATAATCGACATTTTCCAAGAAGGTATCTTTTAACGATTTAATCAATTGATGTAATCCTACGGAGCCGGATTCTTCCATAGCTTCGAAAATAAACTAATCATAAAGATAATGATAAAAATTGTTCAATATCAGTTAAAAACAATATTACTTTCAAATTTATAGGCAATGGGGCCGAACAGGTTTGAAATGCATCGATCATATTGATCCAAGCTAACACTGGACCTTTATCGTCAGAAGCACCACGGCCATATAGCTTGCCATCGCGTTCAACCAATTTGAATGGTTCGGTGTTCCAACCATCTTGTAAAAGAGCTGGTTGTACGTCGAGATGTCCATAAACACACAATGTCTTCTTTTTAATATCAGTGCCAATATAACCACAAAGAACAGGTGGCAATGGTAGTCGAGTTCCATCAGGAAATGTTTCATCACCAATAGTATGTAATTCACATTTAACACCTTTGGATTCTAGCAACTAAACTACCATAATGTTAATAAAAGTAACCAAACATTCAAATTTATAACTACCTGTTTAAAATGTTGTACAACATTTAATGTTTCCGGACGAGTTTCTTTTTGTGATGATACACTTGGAATGGCGACTGCATCGGCTAAATATTGAACATATCTATCTTGATTTTGTTCGATATAATCCCAAATTTTTCTGATTTCACCAGATAATTCCATCCTAATGAAAGATGATCAACAGATTTAAGTCAAAAGACTGTATGAACAGCAAAAAAAAAAATTCAGAAACCAACTAGGTCAAATTGATTTCAATCAAATTGTTCAAATGAAAGAAGAGATAATGATTGATATTTTTTAGTATTAGTGAAATACTATAGATATTTCAATGAAAAACAAAAAACCATATCGCCATCAAGATAGTGTTTGTAGCAAATAAATATGATCAATTTTTGATCAACATTGCAACATATTTTATTGGCATTTTTATTGGAAAAAAATAACAAACAAAATGAAATTTCTTGTTAATATAAATGAGTAATATATGCTTGTGTGTGTATGTTTGTGACATGAATGAAATGACATGAAAAAAATGTTAAAATTGAAGATTTTGTTTAGAAAAACTTTATCTAGAACGTCTTAAGCAAATACAAATGAGGATTACTAAGACTAAGATACAAAATATACTAAACACGATAGTCATGATGAACCATGAACGAATTTTACAACGAAGAGAACCTTTCGGATATTCTTCAGTACAAATATACAAAGGTACATTCAAACCAAATGTTTCCAATGCTTGATCTAATTTTTTCAAATCAACATCATCATCCGTACAATAGATTTTGGCTGCACGATGGACACATTCCAATAGTTCCCAATATGAACAACATTCTACTTTGTATTTAGGCTGATAAACATCAGTTGATGTAAAAAAGAAACCTGATGAATAACGGCCATATTGATGATGTTCACGTTGACGATCACGACATCGTTGAAAATCTGGCCATATTCGCTCCAAACATATTCGACTACGTGATGAATAATTCGATTCAATCGTTTTAAAATTTAGCAATGATTGTAATATGAACCAAATGAAAAATAAACGATAAATGGTTAATGAATGAAACCAATTAATCATGTTATCACTGATGAATCTTGAAGACATTTTTTAATGATATTAAACAGAGCACACACATAAATTAGTTGAATGATTGTATGTATTTCGATCAATGAGGTATACAAATGAGATGGGAAATTATTCCACAAATCAGCGATGATGATTGTCTTGTTAAAAAGATACATGGTTCCCATGTTAACGAGGCTTGATTTGAGACAATTAAAATATCCGGCGACAATGAAATTCAATAAATTAAATCAATTGCTATGTACTTAACATCACATAAAAAACTAGCATCACGAGTTTCCTTGAAAAAATATTTATATTATAAACATTATTATTTGTGAATTTGTCAAGATCACCACACATTATTATACAATAATATTATTAACGATGGTAACAATAATGTCAACAATGATGACAAATAAAAAATTGAGGATGCGCCCGATGAATATCGTTGTATATGGCCACTACATTCAATAATTTGTCGTGGAAATTGTTCATGACAGATATCTGATGGAACAGCAGAACCTAATTGACGACTATAGGCAATCATATCATGTTTTTCATGTGGACAATGTTGACGAGCTGCATATTCGATACAATCTAAAAATTCATAATAAGCACAACAAGAAATTCTATTCACCGATTCGGTCAAAGCAGCTCGTGTATATACTGGTTCAAGATTATCACGTTCATATGTTAGTCGTTCGCTTTGTTGATCCATACATTCTTGCCATTGTTTTCCTATTTTATATAGACAAGTACCACCTTTAGCAAAAATTGTATCTTGAGCAACAGCTAGATGATAATGATTTGATAATAAAAATAATAAAATCACAATAATCAACCGTTGATGATCCATCGTGAATTTAAACCAATGAACCGATTCGAATGGAATGGACAGAATGAATGACAACAGACAAGATAAAACCATGACGAAAGAAACAAAATAAATGATAGAAAGAAAAATTCCATCATATAAAATAAATAGGGAAAACAATTGATCCAATGATATTGTCGTTTTGAAGGTTACCATCATTTCATCAACCACCTACATACCTCTCATCTTACATTCATCCATTTAAATGGAGAAAGTTGCAATCTGCCGCCATTTATTTACACACAAGCAAATACACAGATATTTACAAATAGCGATCGAATATATTACATTCATTCATGAAATGTAAACTATTTTTTAAAGAATTCTTACCATAAGTAGCCATTTATGGCAATGTTGCAATCGCATCGAAAAGATGTACGCATTCGTTCAATTTAAAACAAAAATCAACAGTTGTGTGTTGGCATGCAAACATCCTAAAAACATACACAATTGCTAAACACACATCCTAATTGAATTTGTATTATATATTTACCATTGAAAGTGGACAATGTCCACTATAGAAGTTTTACGAAAAAACACATTCATGTAGGTGAGATTCAGTGATTCATTAGAGAGAAAGAGAGAGAGAGAGAGAGAGAGAAATTAAAACAAAACAATCTCAACAATTCATGTAGGTGGATCTGAATTGAGTGTAGGTAAATTCAAATCACAAAAAAAAATTCATTTCAAACTTGACACATGGATAACAGAAAAAATAAGTGAAAAATTAAATTGAAAAAATTTTAAACATACCTTTCAGCTAAATGGCGCAGATAAAAATGATGATGATAATGATGATCTTCAAATATACGAATCAATGTTATCGCATATAGGCACAGACACACAAATATTAAATTTTGGCACGTACTACGACTTGATTCGTCTATTACCGATCATAAATCATAAAAAAATACATATATATGAATAGGAAAAAATATAGAGCAGTAAACAGACAAGAGAAATTGGAAAACAAGAATTGGAAAGAAATACAATAACAATTTTTCAATGTTTATAAGTTTTTTTTTTTTTTCGGTTGGCAAAATCAAATGAATTTCAGTACGCTTATTTATGAATGGTTTCTATTCTATCCATTCTTCTCGCGGCTTCTTTGGCATTTCTTGTTCGCTTTTCAAGCACGTGTCTCAAAAAACGTTCATTGTTTTTTTTTTTTTTTCTTTCTTGCATGATCATTTTTTTGGTTAAAATCTTTTATTAATAACAGCAACAATTATTAGTCAATTAGTAGTTAATTTATCATAAATAATTAATATTTGATATAAATAATGGATATTGATATAAAAAGTAAGAATTTTTTTAATTGACAATTTTGAATGTTTAATATTTTTATATAAAATTTATTAGATATTGCGGTCAATGGAGAATCGCAGGAAAAAATGGCTTGTTCAAATTGTGGCTGTAGTGAATTGGTACCTGTTAATGACACTATCAAAGCTGATGATATGACATCGAAAGATTATTATTTTGATTCATATGGACATTATGGAATCCACGAAGAAATGCTGAAAGATGAAGTCAGAACAAAAGCATATAAAAACGCTGTCATGATGAATAGACATTTATTTAAAAATAAAGTTGTTCTGGATGTTGGCTGTGGAACAGCAATCTTATGTATGTTTGCAATCAAAGCCGGTGCCAAACATGCCATTGGAATCGAATGCAGTTCAATCATCGACGTAGCACGAAAAATTGTTGCTGACAATAACATGTCTGACAGTAAGTTTTTCCTATAATTCATATTTCATTTCACCATTAATTTGTGATATTTCATAGAAATTACATTGATCAAAGGCAAAGCAGAAGAAATTGAATTGCCAGCTGAATATCCCAAAGTAGACATCATCATTTCTGAATGGATGGGCTATTGTCTATTTTATGAATTGATGTTGAGTACGGTGATTTATGCCCGTGACAAATGGCTGGTATGATTTTGAACAAACTAAATTTTAAAAATTAAATTTGTCGTTTTAATTACGGTTTTAGGCTCCAAACGGTATGATATTTCCAGACAAAGCTCGCCTGTACATTACAGCTATTGAAGATCATCAGTACAAAGATGAAAAAATTAATTGTAAGATCTTTATTCTTCTGAACATTTGCCATAATTAAACAAAAAAAAATTTTTCAAGGGTGGGATAATGTTTATGGCTTTAACATGAGCGCCGTTCGTGATCTTGTAATCAGTGAACCATTAGTTGATCTAGTTGAACCAAATCAAATTGTGACCAATTATTATAAAGTAAAAGAAGTTGATCTTTACACGGTCACCATTGATGATCTCACATTTGAATCGAATTTCAGTCTGATCGCAAAACGTAGCGATCATGTCCATGCATTGGTAACATTCTTTTCGATAGAATTTAGCAAATCCCTCAAAACTATTGGATTTTCTACTTGTGAGTTTTGTTCGTTGTTTTATTCTTTATCGATTCTAAAATGTAGCTTTTATTATTGTTCCAAATAGCACCGGAACATCGTACGACGCATTGGAAACAAACCATATTTTATATTGATGATTATATGACCATTGCAAATGGGGAAGAAATCGTTGGAACATTCTACATGGCTCCAAATCTCAAAAATAGAGTATGTATATCGCACATTTTTTTATGTTACAACTTGTTAATTTTTTTTCTCGCTTTTTACTAGCGTGATATGGATATCAAAATACACGTTGATCATCGTGGTGAATTGGAACAATACAATAATAGTTTTTTGTATAAAATGCGCTAAATGAAAATTGTTTAAATAACGAATCAATGCCACTATTGCTGGTAATGAATTTTTTTAAAATTTTTTTCGGTAAAAATAATCTTTTGATTAAATTATAATTATAAAAAGTATTAAAAAATTGTTTATATACTCAAACATGAAATTTAAAACTGTATGCATATTTCAATGTATCACCTGGGATCCATTTTGGAAATTTTACCAATGTTCCATTAGAACCTGGACCAAACTTGATTGACTCCGATGAACCTAGCATGGTAACCTGATCCACGTCATTATAATCAATACATTCAAATTCCAGACTACCTTCATGCGGCCATTCGAGTGTTATTCCATAGATTGCATCAGATTTCATTGTATAAAATGTTTGATTATTCTTTGATATTTGACATTTTTCATATATTTGACTTTCATAGATTGCGTCTCCATTGATTTCCAGCCATTCTCCTAATTGTGATAAACGTTCTTCAAAAATGGGCATTATTCGTCCATCTTTACTAGGTCCAGCATTTACTAGAAAATTGCCACCAAAACTGATGGTTTTTAAAAGTTGGTGAATTAATTCATCAATGGTTAATAGTTGATCAAGAGATGCTTCTCTTCTATAACCCCATGCAAATTGATCAACACTAATGGCACTTTCCCATTTATGTTTGGGTAATGAATCTGGATTATTGCGATCAGGACCATCAAAAAAACCACCATGTTTATTATGGCAATTTGTTCCCCATCGGTCATTTGTAACAATTACATCTTTCACTGGACTGTCGTTATAAAGCCATGCAAGAATATCAGTACTATTCCAATAGGTATCATTATAGACAGCATCACCGTCTGACCATAAAAGATCGGGCAAATATGTATTAATTAATTCTTCCAATTCCGGTCGAGCTTTTAATCGTACATATTCATGTGTAGTATAATTGTGTTCCATATCTCTTAAATATAATGGATGAAACCATTCGAATAAAGAATAATAAAGGCCAAGATGAATGTTGCCAATTTTTCGAATGGCTGCGCTGAATTCGCCAACAATATCACGTTTAGGACCTAAAGCCATTGAATTCCATTGGAATGAATATGAAGATGGCCATAAGGTGAAACCTTCATGATGTTTAGTAGTCAATACAGTATATCTGGCACCAGATTTTTTTATAACTTCTGCCCAATGAGTAGCATTAAAGAATTCTGCCTGAAAATTGTTTCCAAAGTCTGCATATGTGAAATTTGGCTTGAAATTATCTCTCATGAACCGTAAAAGTTGTGCATGTTGCCATACATATGGACTTGATGGATCACGCCAAAAATCCCAGAACCATTCAGAAACATAAGAAGGAACGGAAAACAATCCAAAATGTATGAAAACGCCAATTTTTGCTTGATCATACCATTTGGGCAATGGGCGAGCATCCAATGATTTCCAATTCGGTTCATAATGAACACATTGAACGGCTATGACAAAATTTATGATAAATAAAATTATAGTTGATGAACGCATTTTTATCGTTTATTATTTTCGTTCAATACGACGCCTTTAATAAAAGTATATTCACTCATTAAAAAAAAAAAATTTATTTTCAATCATTTATCAATTTCTTAGAAAATTTATCAAATCAGCCAAATTGTTGAGTTTAATCTTAACAAGTATTGAATATGTCAGCAAAATTGATAATAATTATTGTTTTGTTTTGTGGTCATTAGATTATTTCGCCTCTCTAATATTTTATCATTTCAAGAACAATATTCCATTTTTTTCAAATTAAAAATCAAAATCTTTGATACAAATCTTAATATATTTTTGATCATTTTATTAAAATTTGAAAAAAACCTAGTATTAAATCAAAATTGATATCATAATTTATTGGCACCATTATTATTGACAAAAGTTGATGTTTAAAAAATGAATCACTAATTTTGCTATTCAAGTGGCCATTAATCATTCATTCAATCCACCATCATCTGATATTTGTTTTGATGTTGTCAAAGGATGATGACTTGATGATAATCTTTGAATCTTGAAAATTTAATAAAATTGAAATTAAAATATTAAAAAAATCCCTTTGAATAACATATAATAAACACATTTACCTCGATTTCATCGTTAGCTATTAAACCAAAATGATATTCCATCACTATACGATTACGTTCTTGTCGTAGACGATATGTTTCAAAATCTAAAAGTTGTTTATAAAATCCTGGATTTGGTGCAGAAATTTGTCGAATATTTCTTATTAAATTAAGGGTTTCGTTACAATTGAATTTTGTGACCGAAGCAAGATATGCTGCTGCAATAGTTACACTTCTTGATATACCTGCCAAACTTAACAAACAAACAAACAAAAACAATTTGTTGCATCTACTATGATCTCATTTGTATTAAAAATATATAATATTTTCATACCAATGAATTAATACATTTCCACCAGTTAACCGAGCTTTATGAATGAAAAAATTACACTTTTTTTCAATTCATCACTTAAATGATTACAATGTTATGTATAAATAAACAATATATTGACTCACTTTTGGAATATGTTTGATTATGTTCTGATGAGGAGAATCCGCCAAACAAATGCACAAATATTTGATACCCTATAATAATTAGAATATGATACAGTATGATAAATTCTTGAAATTCTAGCTCAAAATGTTGGCTTCACTTTCTAAATTATTAATAATAATTCTATATAATATAATTCTCTATTGTCTTGAATAAAGAATCTAACTTGATTACAATACTATAATCAAGTTCCATATTTTTTTTTATTAATCTTAATATGATTATAAAGCTAATTAACTATTAATTCATGTTGAACAATTATGAAAAAAAATTCCGGTCCAACCATTTATTATGATAAAAAATTTTCCTACAACAAAATTTAATGATTCGTCATGAATACTAATAATTTTTTTAAATTATTACTTTGACTAAGTACTACAATTACATTTGGATTCATAATGGGAGACCAGAAATTATGCTATGAAACCTAAACCAACATTTTTTTTCATATTTCATTTTAGATGATGACGTATATGATTTCAAACACAATAAAAACACACAAACACAACTACAACGACAAACAGAAAAAAATCGCCTAAATTATTGTCATGGATCGGCAATAAAAAAAAAATATGAAAGCCAACAAGGGCGTTAACGATTATTAGCGTGTATAGCAATCATCATGATCATAGCCATACACATACATTCACAATTAGAATAAAACAATAACAATGAGATATGTTCATTGAATGGATCTAGTTTTACTAGGCTCATAAATATAAAAAAAAATCGATAAAACAATTGAAAAGCCAAAAATTCTAAATACATTCTGGTTATTGATTGATTCTGACACAATCATCATTGAAAGATGTAGTGATGGAAAAAAAATAATTTTTCTGCTCTTCATTCATCGATTCTATATATGTTGAATGGAAAAAAGAATGACAAATTATGAAAAACAAAATACTTTAAAAGGATTGCTGCTATATTTATATATATAGGAGTTTGTGAATCAATAATTGTGCGTTTAGTTTGTCAATTAAACTATTGGACATTAATAATAAAGAAATTATTATCTGTTATTGTATCTAACCTCAATTTGATGGCTATTTTCCGTATCCAGAATAGAAAGTATATGTGTAATTGAATTGATTTTCAGTTGTTCATGATTTTTGGCTGCTCGAATGTTACCAATATAAAGACCATGGATAATCTATTTTTTTTCACAAGATAATAAAAAATATTATAATGTAAATTCGAATATTACTTACCCTGTCCATAGCATCATTTAGATTTGAAAATGAATAAACACAACTTGCTATAATAAGACATATTATATGATTCGTTCAAGGTACGCGCCAAACACTTAATGATCCAAAAAAAAAAATCCAAATGAATTCATTTTTTTCGTTCATTTTTATTTTATAATTTGACGCCGGCGCTCTTCTTATATATATATGAAAATCACTAGCTTTTATTTATTTGACATTTATTATTAAATGAAATATGGAATCAATGTTAATCTAATTATAAACCACATTGACAATACAGTACACTATCATTACAATCATTAGCAACAGAATATTCATTACGTTGTTGGAAATAACTTTCGAAACGTTGATCATAGGAAAAATTATAACAAGTACAAGATGTATATTTTCTTCCAATACTATTGCAATAGCTTTGACAATATTTTGGATCACATGTCGAACAATGACAGAAACGTTTCAATAATGGTATTGGACGGCTGATAGATAGACGTGTACGACAGGTTCCAAACGAATAGCCATAACTCTGGCAATATGAAGTACATTGCTGACTTACCAGGCAATTTTCTGGTGGTACAGCTGTGAAAAAAAAAATTTTTAATTCAACTTAAATCACAAAAGATGTATGAATTGAATTACCGAAAACATTGATTGAAAGGAATCAATATTAAACCAAAGATAAAATACATTGTCAATTTTAAGCAACGTTCATTTCAACAAAATGAATAAAATTTAAATGAATGATTGTTCAACGGAAAAAATCATATTTATTATTGCTTAGGTGTGTAGTGATAATTTATTTTTTTGTTATATATGTAAACATGTGAAAAAATATATGGCCATAAAATTCAACAATTTAGTCGGAATCATCTTCGATTTGAATATCATCCTGTTCAATGATCTCCATCAATGACGATGAACCGGTTGTAGAAACTAAACAATTGTTGGAGTTTGTTTCCAATGATCGAAAATCGATTAATTGATTAATGAAATTCAGATGTGGATGATTGTTTGAAAAATATTTGTGAAAACATTGAACCTCAGGTATAATGTCCAGTATTAAATTTTTTTCATTATCGAATTGAAAAAATGAGGGATTTGAATTTCTTAAATCAGCAATTTTTGCTCGGTAATTAGTGAGGATTTTATTTAAATTGAATGTTTTTGGTGGATTCAGTGATCGAAATTGATTTATTTTCTTTTCATGACTGAGCACAGGTTTTTCAATATAATTTTTATAGGCATAATTATCACCATTTAAATTGAATAACATTCCACGAATGGCAATAGATGTTTGAATATCTTGGAATGAATCTCTTTCACTATAGTTATCGATTCCTGAATATGTCGAATCACAAAGTGCTTGAAGGCAATTGGAACATTTTTCTAGATCATATGGATCATGGATAAAATCTTGATAATTTTCATATACCCAATCAATCAATTGATCATATGAAATGTTGGCCAATTCAGCAATTTCATCTGGTTTACATTCTTTCAATGGATTTCTTAACTTGCTTTTATCGCAGTTGGGATATTTTCGAATATATTCAATCACAAACTCTTCACTAGTTTCCAAACGTTTAGCATATAAAATTTTGGCGATGGCATGTGATAATGTCAATGAATCATTTCGATCGCAATTGATGGAGTTAACATTTTCTCGAGGAGCACGAATGGCATATTTTAATTTTTTTGTTCTTTTAACATTTTTATCTGATGATGAATATTTGAATTGTAAGTAGTTTAAAGCATGACGAACATCACCGGAACTAACTGAAATAATTTCTTGAATTTGAGATCTATTCAATGAATTTCCAACAGGAAAATTTTCGATAACTTTTGATAAACAAGTGTCACTAATTGGTTTAAAAGTGATTGTTTTGAAATTTAACAAATTCATTATGTGTTTTGGGAGTATTTTTTGTTCTAAATTTTCTCCTTGAGCAGTCGACGAAATAATGAATACAATTGGGACAATCATAGCTGATTGGTTCGATTTCATTTTATATGATTTCAATTCTTCATGTAATAAATCTGGTTTTGTTAGAAAAATGCCAGGAATTTCTTTTATTATGAGGATTTTGCGTTTATTATTCCTTATATCATAAATGGAATTTCTATATCGATTTAAATTGTTCAGAAATTTCTTCATTCGATTCATTTGATTTCCATCTTGATATGACATGATGACATTGTTTTGTGTTGTAGTGTTTTCATCGTCATTAACAAACAACGTCGAAATGTAATTATCGAACATGGATGTGACCGGTAATTCTTCAATTTTTATTCTCAATTCTCTAGCCAATACCTTCAATGTGATAGTCTTTCCCGATCCAGATGGACCATTCAAAAGCAAAAACGGTGATTTTGTTTGATGATTCGAATGATCAAAATATAACATCATCCAATCTTTCAGTTCATTTAATTTAGCTTTAGAGACAGCCAACTCTTTGGATGATTCTGGCTGGTGAATATTGTCGGCTATTGGAATAACATCATCGTTGTTGCAATAATCAAATGTACGTTTAGTAGGAGAATAGGATGCATTTGAAAAAACTAACTTATTTACTTGACTTTTATTATTCTTTAATGGTGATGAATTTGAACCTTTTTTCCACCTAGACATGATTGTCATCAATAAAAATGAAATGAAATGAATTTAGTTATTCGTTATTTGAAAATTTTAATGCTGATGATGAAAAAAAGAACGTAAACATACATAGTTAGATAATATTCTGATAGATGTCGGAATTTTATGAAACAGATTTTTCAAAAATAATTCGATTTCCATCTATTAGGTTTGGAATAATACGCCATCTGTTGGACGCAAAAGCAATCATAGTTAGCCAAAACAGTGCATAAAGTTTACGAGATTTTTAAATAACGGCGCCAAAGCAACTATAGTTTTTTATATATATAAAAGCGAATTTTTAACAAATTATAGAGATCGTTTGAAACAAAAAAAAAAAAAAAAAAATATTGATGTAGTCAGATAAAAATATGTTACAGAATGAATTTAAACAAAATATTATTTACACAATAATGGTTTAAACTTCAGTATGTCTATCATATCTTGGTGAATATAACTTTTCCATAGATCTAGTCTTATGATTCGAATTATTCATCATTACAGACGGTGATTGAGGAATATATTCATTGTTGTTACGATATCGCATTGTTTGAATGTAACTTGATAAAAATAAAAAAAAATACAAAATGTTATTTTCTCTGATTTATCAATTAAAAACTTCTTACTTGAGATTATTTTCCGAATTTGCACGAGCCGACGCGGGAGCATATGGCTGATCTAGAACAGGAACTGGAACATATTCTTCGGTGTATCTATAGCTATAATACGGAAAATTATTAGTGAAAATTTTCCATTTATTTTTATAAACTATTACCTTTTTGCTCGACAATAAAGGCATGAACACATCAGAGTAAAAAATAGAAGAACAATCAACGTGGCCAAAATGCTCCATGTTGCTGCACGATAAATTCTGAGTTCATCCAAATATGGCTCAACAGTTGGCATCCAAGTAATTGGAGCCGTATCAACCAGTTGAGTTACGTATGAATTCCAGAATTGAGCCGATTTCTGTTTATAATTTCTCCACATTGTAGATGTTGAATATGGAAAAGTGATCAATGTCCAATCTGAATTTTCCCAGTCACTTGTGAATGGTATATTTGTCGTATAGTTGGTTGAATTGATGGCTAAATATTGGAGATTATTTAAAGACATTGGCTTCCAAATAATCGTATTAAATAAAGCGTATGGAGTTGGACCACAATTCCATGCATTAGATGTACAAACTGGCTTTTTGGCAAAATTGGCCCAGGTTTCCATGAACAATTGACTAATATTTCGATCTTGTTCAGTCCATTGAGCTAAATCTAATTTTAAAGCTTTCGGATAAAATCTTGGATCCATGAAAGGAGCTCCAGAAGCAAGCAAATATTCGGTATCGTGTGGAACACCTAAAAAAAATTTTTGGTTATTAAGATTTTTCAGCTAATAATATCTTACCGATCCAGGATGGAAGATTAAGACCTTGAATCGTATAATTAAGCATGTACATATAAGTAACAACATTATTTTTGAGCATCAATTTGACCATTTTATCATTCGGTGATGTATACCATGAGTCAGTAATCATCTAAATGAATGTAAAATAAAATTCAATTCATGTAAAATTAACAATCACAATAATTACATCGATAACACCTTGACGTATCAAAGTTTTATTCTCAGGGTCGTTCCAAGGTGAATACATAAATGTAATTGCGCTAACCAATCTATCCTGATCCAAAGTATAGTTGTAAATTTTAACATAATCTCTTACACGTTTGGTGAACTGTTCCTGATCGATTTCATAATTTCGTTTTTGTAATTCTTCATCTGAAACTTTAAAATTTAATCAAAATTTAATTTTACTTGTTGCTTAAAATTGTTAGACAATTAATTATGACTTACACAATGATTGTGATCCTTCATCTCGGGTAACACCACTCATATAAGCGAAATCTGGATCGAATGCGAGTAATCGTTTATTCAAAATGTTTTCAGGCAATTCTGGTAGTAATTGTGAATCATGAGTTCGTGTGTATTTATCAACAACAGGTGCCCAAGCAAGCCATCCAACATCAGGCTAAATAAAGCGATTAATTCAATAATCGAAAAATTGCAAAAATATAGAATACCATACCTTTATCTCAGTGGTAGTAAAATCAGTAGCAGATCGGCTTTTCAAGCATTCGACTAGGATATAACTGGTACGAGTTGAACATCCAAATGCTCGTCCAGCAATGACCGTATTGTTTCGCATGTAAAGCGGATCCTTGATGATGGCCCAATCAGCCACTGCTGCTCCACTTTGAGCGATTACTCTTTTAATATATCTTCGAGTCAATGGAGATAAAGCCAACAAACCGGCACTTGCAGCACCAGCATCTGGTCCAAACAAAGTGATCCGATTTGGATCACCATTAAAATTGACAATAACTTCGCGAACAAAATTAATGGCTTGCATCTGATCAAAAAGGCCGTAATTCCCAGCCGATGAATTATCTGAAGTAGCCAAGAATCCAAGTAAACCAATACGATAATTAAATGTAACGACAACAACTTCTTGAGTAGCTGCCAACATATGGCCAGGAAAAATATTTCCAGAACCATGATCAAAATGACCGCCATGGATATAAATCATTACAGGATATAATGATCTTGTTTGGGTTGCAGCCCATGGTGTGAAAATATTCATATAGAGACAGTCTTCATCGGTAAACGGAATTCCCAAATCAGCGTGGACATATCGTTTGTATTGGGGACAAGCAGCTCTATATCGATCGGCTCGAATCGAACCCCATTGATCTGGAACCAAAGTTCTCTAATAAATAAAAACACCATAATTAATTATAAAGAAATTATTATAATTTATTTTAAGATACTTTGAAGCGAAGATTATTCTTTTTAGTCGGTGGTTTTGCATATGGAATACCAAGAAAAGCCGTTACATTCCTTCTGAATTGAGTAATCGGTCTATATTTGTGTGGTGCTCCAATTGGTACGTATTGGGCTGGACGTGGTCGTTCATGTTCCGGAACACCAGGCTCATCACACAAATAAACCACCCGACCTTCGACTGTTCCGTATGGGGTGGTGACTGTAACAAATTCGAGTAAACCTTCTTTCACTGCCTCACGACAACGAAGATCGCCAGGATCCTCGATTCTATATCTATTATAAGTATTTGGTGTTACTGCCGAATAACGAGGATCATATTTATTGATCGGTTCTAAAGGACGGTTCGGATCTTGATACATGATTGGATAATGGCCCCATTGGCCATAATTAGATACTGGATTTGGTCTTGCAGTGAAATAAGGATCGATTCGATCACCGGCATAAATATCGGCGAAAGTTGAATAGATATATGAATTGACAAGAATAAAAATGACTAAAGATGCCATCCAGGTAGCAGTTTTTGTAAAGCATGACGTTTCAAAGAAAAAAATGAACACATTTGGACTTGATTTGGTTTCCTCTCGTCTGATTGGACGCATGATTTTTTTGTTTAAAATTAGAAGAATCTTGGGAAACTTGATGAATAAAGCACAAGAGTCGAATGGGGATGATGAGTAAACAGGAAAATGTATCAACAAATCATTAATTAGTTTTTCACCAACACATAATGTCAACCATTATTCATAATCATGATCATGATGATTTATGTTGACAGATGAAATGCTTCCATTCAAGCGTAGTATTATTATTAAAAAGATGATCAATTATATATAATCAAAGACGATATTTCACTCCGCCTTTCATTCATTTACAAATTCATCAAATTATTCATGGCCTAATGAACAATGATTGGTTGAATCATCAAAAATATGATTTGAATTTGTGTGTATGATCTTAATTAGCAAAAAAAAACCGATTAATGTTCATTGAATAAATCCGAAGAAACTATAAGCTATTTTTTATCATCTTGTACAAAAGTTTAAGAATCGATGCATTTTTCCAAAATCTACGATTGAATGATGAGCATCAGATTTTTTTTTGTTGTAATCGATAGTGATAGTGATTATAATATTTGTCACTATAGTAGAAAACACGCATTTTTGTTACGATTTCCATGGATACCATTATTGATTGCGGTGTTTGTTTTCGGTATGTGGTCGTCTAGAATTTAATGATAGATAAAAATAGTGAACAACCTCATTAGAAGAGAAAAGAACTTCAATCTTATTCGCTTGTTGTATTGTTTTGGTGTCACCAAGAGAAACCACCATTAACATTTTGATAAGAAAATGCGAAAATGTCGATCATTTTTAACGAAATCAAACGAAATTATTGGATTGGAAAATGATAGAATTTTTGCCATGTGCATAAGAGCATATATCATTTTACCTTTCATCCAATCATTGTTGTTATGAGAATAAGCGATATGGCTTGAGAAAAAATGTAAAAGATTCGATTGAAGCATTGTTTTAATGAAAATATGGTGAAAGAAAAAAAACATTATAAGATAGATCCCGCAATGGAGAAATGAGATTTGGTCGTCGTTGTCGTTGTTGTTGTATTGAATATACACCAAATTAATGTAGTAAGCTCTACATCTTTGTCGAAATTGTATTGAAGACAATAATGTCATATGAAAAAGAGAAAAATAAGAAAACCTTGTTGACATCATCAATGATAATGTTGCGAGATTGCAACAAGTTCACGCCATTCATTCACACAATAATTATTTTGACGGAGCATCATTTGGCGCGATCATAGTTGGGAAGGGCACGGAAAACAGGTCCTGGCTAACGTCATTATTATTGCATGGCATAACTTATGTGAATCATTGTGTGAGCTACGACTCACCTGTCTTGTGGTTGTTGAACAGCTTTTTTTTGCTGCCCATCTCATGATTATAATGATCCTGTTGTACATTACAAAATATAGCCATGGTTATGGCTTTGTTTACTATAGCGGTATAATCGAATGAAAAAGATGATCAAAAATCAACAGGTATTTAAACTGATTCTGCCATTTAAATGAGGAAAATTTACTCATAGATGGCACAAGTAGTGAATGATGAATAAACATTTTCATAAAAATGTTTTTATCAATTTATTTAGATAACAAAAACAAGCAAACAATTCTACAGTGAATTTTTATCAAATTCGTCGTATTAAGAATAATGAGTTGTGAATGTTATTGTGTTCCAAATGTCATCATTATTATTATTTTAAACATTTTGGTTATCATGTATATAGTGTGTTTATGTATGTAATGGTGTTATTTAATTTTAATCAATTTTTTACGTTTGTTTGCACTATTTTACAGAAATAATAAAAGAGAAAAATGAGACAAAACAAAAGCGAAAAGACAAAAATAAGAGAGATAAAGTGGGGGGAATTAGTTTTCTTTTAGTATTTTGGTTTGTTTGACGAATTCAATTTGCTATCCGATCATGTAATAATCTAAAATAGTTGTTTTATATTCTGTAATGATGATATAGGTGAATGATGGTTGATTAAAATGTTTTTGTCGTCGATCGTTTTCGAAAATGAAAGATGTTTTTGATTTTTTTCCCACTGGATTTGTTTTGGATAATTGTCATTTGTTGATTACTTATTAACATTTATTATTCGTCTCATTCATTGACCATAAACATTTTCATCGCTGTAATGAACGTAAAGGAAAAAATCCTCATCACGATATTGATTATAAAGTGAGCCCATTGTCGATGATGTAGGTGGAACCATATTGTGAATGAAGAAAAATATCGCCTCCTCTGGTCGCAATTGTATTCGTTTACGGATCAAAAAATAGAATTGTCCGACGGTCAAATCTGTTGGCACAAGATATTTCTTTTTATCCAGATCACCAATTCGAGCGCCAGATGCTTTTTCAACTATCACCTGTTTTTTAAAAAAATTAAAAACATTCATTTATTCGTCACCATAAAACATATTTAGCATTTTTAAAAAATACTTACAGGAACTCGTGTTGGATACTTTTTACGAATTTTTTCTCCTTCTTCTTTTCGCTGTTGAAATGGATGTTGTTCTTTGTATTGGAACTTCATTGTCAAATTTCAAGGATTGAATGTGAACTATGAACAAGAGATGAAAAAATTTTTATTTAAAAAAAAATTACGTTGTCAATCAATGATTCAATGACAATTATATCATACAGATAGAGATTTGAATGGACACTAATGAGACGAGACCACAATTTAAGTTAGAATAAATGGCGGACTTGGAATATCAAAAAAAAAAAAAAAAGACCAGATATTATTGGTTATTTTTTTTAGGAAGATCTGGTCAAAAAATAAAACCAAAAAAAAGATATAGACACACAATTGTCAAATCGATGAATCACTAAACACAACACGTAATAAAACAAAAAAAAACAGTGACAAAAAAAATGAAAACAATATTCGATGTTGACAAATAATGTATAAACTTGAATCTACACACACATTCAATTCAACTCTCACTATCGACATACAAATGTCTGTGTCTATATAATAATGGTATTATTTGTGTCCCTATCTACAACAACAACAAACAAACAAACAAAAAAACAAGGATGATGATGATGTTTAGTGCTCAACGGCAATCGAAAATTGATCATGAGACAAAAAATATATACAATAATACATATACATAGAAATTGTGGGCATGTATGCATTATTTAGTATTCATCATCATCATTATACACATTGAAACGCAATTTTTTTTTTAGATTTATTCTCCCCAAATTGTTTTGTCATAACATATGTTGTTTAAAAAAACTGCTCAGCAGGTACGCAAGCGCCATAGATACGTTGACAACAATAACAACGTAGTTTCCTAAAAAAAAAAAATTGATGCTGTACAAAAACGCATACTCATGACGATTTGTATGACTCGCATGTCAAATGTATATGATACAGTGATGCCTTGGTTAATGATGACCGAATTTGGCATCATTATCAGCAAACACAATTTTCAATTAGAATATAATAAATTCGTTTTGACCATTGGAAAATGTTAAATTTTCAGAATAAACCTGACAGAACCGATTATTAACAAAGGTATTTTTCACTATCAGTGTAACATTGTTATTACTGTATTACAAAATGCAATGCAATATGGAACTTGCGCATCAATCTTAAAAATGTTAATGAAAATGTGATTTTTTTTACCATCAATGGATGGAGATTATGAATGGCGACAATTTTGATTGGATATAATATGATAAAATGGCAAATATAGAAGGGATTTCTTCATATCTTTTTTCAGGAAGCAAGCCAAGATAATCATATGTTTTTTTCGCTGTTGCTATGATATTGACAATATAAACTGCTGTTGGTGATGTTTTATTCTCGTTCGTTCTTTTAAAGTCATGCCATGTATACGAAAAACGATCATAGATTTATATATGAATAAAGAACATGATATCCATCAATAAATGATAATTATTTTGAAAAAAATGCCAGATATTTACAAAGATGTATCACGAGTATAAATGAATCATAGATTATTTAATGCAAGCATGCAGAACATTAGACTTGATAATGGATAAAAGTAAATTTTTTTCATGATTCGAAATTGATCTAACAAAAATAAATGGCAGTTTAAATTTGCTTAGAAGGTATAGAAAAAAATTTAAGACATGTCAATAATGAATCAATAATGAAACTTTTTTGCAAAATATTACGAGAAATTAAATCGAATCTTTTGAGAGAAAACACATGTTATCGATGATTAAAATTTTCAATGTCTTTTCATTATTATTTAGAAAAAAATTGAAGTTCAAAAAGGAAAAAAATAACAAACCTTGTCTTGTTTTATTCTTCTAAGTTGTCCTCGTCGTTGTTGTCTTTAACAAAATGAGGCAAAAATCAATGTTTTTTGGGTTTGAAAAGTCTAAATATTTTAGTAAACAATGGGTCATCCAGATACAATAATAACAAAATTCAATTCTGCCATCTTTCGGTCGATTTGAAAATTATGAAATGTACAATGATGACATCATTCATTTGAACCAGATTTTTTTCTGTTTAGTTGTTGATCATATGATTTGTTTGATATAATAGTTGTAATTCAAATCGAAATAAACACGGACAATGTCCACTAATGTTAATCTTAGTTCTGATCTGAATAATTATCTTAAACATACAAATGTCTGTGTCTATATAATAATGGTATTATTTGTGTCCCTATCTACAACAACAACAAACAAACAAACAAAAAAACAAGGATGATGATGATGTTTAGTGCTCAACGGCAATCGAAAATTGATCATGAGACAAAAAATATATACAATAATACATATACATAGAAATTGTGGGCATGTATGCATTATTTAGTATTCATCATCATCATTATACACATTGAAACGCAATTTTTTTTTAGATTTATTCTCCCCAAATTGTTTTGTCATAACATATGTTGTTTAAAAAAACTGCTCAGCAGGTACGCAAGCGCCATAGATACGTTGACAACAATAACAACGTAGTTTCCTAAAAAAAAATTGATGCTGTACAAAAACGCATACTCATGACGATTTGTATGACTCGCATGTCAAATGTATATGATACAGTGATGCCTTGGTTAATGATGACCGAATTTGGCATCATTATCAGCAAACACAATTTTCAATTAGAATATAATAAATTCGTTTTGACCATTGGACAAAAAATGTTAAATTTTCAGAATAAACCTGACAGAACCGATTATTAACAAAGGTATTTTTCACTATCAGTGTAACATTGTTATTACTGTATTACAAAATGCAATATGGAACTTGCGCATCAATCTTAAAAATGTTAATGAAAATGTTGTGATTTTTTTACCATCAATGGATGGAGATTATGAATGGCGACAATTTTGATTGAATATAATATGATAAAATGGCAAATATAGAAGGGATTTCTTCATATTTTTTTTCAGGAAGCAAGCCAAGATAATATGTTTTTTTTTCGCTGTTGCTATGATATTGACAATATAAACTGCTGTTGGTGATGTTTTTATTCTCGTTCGTTCTTTTAAAGTCATGCCATGTATACGAAAAACGATCATAGATTTATATATATGAATAAAGAACATGATATCCATCAATAAATGATAATTTAAAAAAAAAAATGCCAGATATTTACAAAGATGTATCACGAGTATAAATGAATCATAGATTATTTAATGCAAGCATGCAGAACATTAAACTTGATAATGGATAAAAGTAAATTTTTTTCATCATTCGAAATTGATCTAACAAAAATAAATGGCAATTTAAATTTGCTTAGAAGGTATAGAAAAAAATTCAAGACATGTCAATAATAAATCAATAATGAACCTTTTTTTGCAAAATATTACGAGAAATTAAATCGAATCTTTTGAGAGAAAACACATGTTATCGATGATTAAAATTTTCAATGTCTTTTCATTATTATTTAGAAAAAAATTGAAGTTCAAAAAGGAAAAAAATAACAAACCTTGTCTTGTTTTATTCTTCTAAGTTGTCCTCGTCGTTGTTGTCTTTAACAAAATGAGGCAAAAATCAATGTTTTTTGGGTTTGAAAAGTCTAAATATTTTAGTAAACAATGGGTCATCCAGATACAATAATAACAAAATTCAATTCTGCCATCTTTCGGTCGATTTGAAAATTATGAAATGTACAATGATGACATCATTCATTTGAACCAGATTTTTTTCTGTTTAGTTGTTGATCATATGATTTGTTTGATATAATAGTTGTAATTCAAATCGAAATAAACACGGACAATGTCCACTAATGTTAATCTTAGTTCTGATCTGAATAATTATCTTAAATCATCTGGTTCTTCGATTACTAATCATCAATCTCAAACGACTAGTAAATCGATTAAAGAATGGTTTGGTGGTGCCGGTTCAGATATGAAAAAAGGATGGTTTTCCTATCAACCATTACGTACATCACCAAGTGATGAAGAATTGAATAATGTTGGAATTTCATCACCTGTTCAAAATGGTACCAGTAGATCAAATTCTTGGTTTCGTAATTTGTTCGTTTCCAATGAACCCGAACCAAAAGGATGGTTTCCAACTTTGGTAAGAATAATTCAAATCAATAAATTTTTCATGATCCGATTCTATTATACATAGACAAGAACTCAACGAATCATCGGTTTTATAACTTGTTTTTTCATGGGTATCACCTGTTTCTCAATCGTGAGTCGTACATTTTTTATTTGAAATATTTTTTTTTTAAACAGAATTTATTTATTATTCCAGTCAGCGATGTACATTCCTATTCTATTGTTTGCGGCACGAAAATTTTCCATCCTATTTACATTTGGTTCATTATTTATTGTAGCAAGTTTTGCCATTTTATTAGGTCCTATGAACCATCTTATGCATCAATTCTCCAAAGAAAGACTACCATTTACAGCGGCCTATTTTGGTTCTTTGATCGCCACATTATATTTTGCTTTACAAGTTCAAAGTACCATATTGACATCGATATTTGCAATAATACAAGTGATAGCATTAATCTGGTACGTTGTAACATACATTCCTGGTGGTCAAACTGGCTTGATGTTTTTTTCCAAAATGGCTGCCAGTACTGTATCAAAAACTTTGCCTGTTTAATTTACTGAGTGATAATATAATTCAATTTTGTATATAAATTGTCATGCATTCATTTATTAAATGATATATATTCCAATATAATGTGTTTTAAAATTAAAATGGAAAAATTCTGACATTAAAAAAATGATTAATTTTTTCTGCCAAAAAAGAGAAACTATTCCGTCTGCTCAAAAAAAAGAATAATTATCAATGACATAATATTTCATGACCAAGATTTAACTATGGGGAGGTGGTGGTGGTGGTGGAGGGGGAGGATAAATAGACCCAACAGCCGGAATCGATGGTAGTGGTGGTAATCCAGAAGCTGCTGTGGCTGTCGTTGTTGTATTTCCCATGGATGCGGCATACCAATGAGCATATTGGCTCCATTGATTTTGATCATAGGCACCATAACCAGACGTTGTTGCCGCCGTTGAATTTGTCGATGTAGAAGACTGGCCATCAGATGTATTATTAGTTGTAGCAGCTGTTGCACCCCATGCTATTATTTACAAAACAATTATGGTTTGTCAATACATTAATGATTTTACTCACCGGAAGGATCCCACATATGAGCTCCATATGTTGCTGCATTATAAGGATCATAAGATCCATAATAACCGGCAGCATTAGGCCACATAGAAGCGCCATTAGCACTGGTAGTAGCCGTGGTAACTGTGGTTGGTGTGACAAGAGGGGGAGGTGGTGGTGGCGGTGGTATACCACTACCGTTCGCCCAATTATTAATATCTGTAGTCGATGTTGAAGGGCCACCAAGTATGGAAGTAGCTGTCCTTTGACTGGACGGAACGGGAGTGGATGAAGCTGTTGTAGTAACAGTTGGTACAGGTGGTGCTTCGCCCAATTCGGCCATCAATGAGAGATATTCTTCATCAATCTTGGCTTGATTTACATTACTTTCAACACGTTTCTCTTTACAATCTTTGGCGAGATGACCAACGCCATTACAATTTGTACAGAATACATTGTTGGTTACATTTGGTTTATCAGGACATTGCCATGAACGATGATTGTTAGCACCACAATTCGAACATCGTGGGCCATCATTTTCACGCAACGTTCCATTTAAAAGAGCCAATTCGCGCAATTGGCTACGACGAAGTTCATTCATATTTTCAGGTAATTCAATGCCTTTTTTGATGACTTCATTAATCTGACAAACAACTAGATTAAACAAATGCGATTACTAACATTAGAGAATACAAACCTTTTGTACTGCCTTCATTACTGATTCTTGAGTAGGACCCGTTACAAACGCATGTAACGGCTCATCTTCACCAGGCAATGGTTGGCCATCTTTTCGAGCTAATTTACCTTCTTTCACTGAACCTTTACCTCTGATGATAATTTTAGCTCCAGTCTACAATAAAAAAAAAAAAATTACAAATGACATGACTGTATCAACAAAACAAAACAAAAAAAAAATCAACCTACATCCCGTTCCATTCCTTTGAGAGTGTTTCCGCGAGGTCCAATGATAAGGCCTACAAAATTTATGTCTGGATATTCTTCTTGTGGAATCAAAACCTTTTCATTGATTTTGGTTTGAGGTGGCCTGAAATCGTTTTATATTGAATGGTAAATTTTAAATATTAAAAAAAAGAAATTCAAATACTTACTTGTAATCACTAGGTGGTTTATATGTAGGATTTAGTTCCAACATTTTCAGAACCAGAGAATGTCTTTCATCTTCTAATTTTTTTCTAGTACGATACTCTCTAGTATTGAGACGTTTACCTTCAGTATTATAAACAGGCTCTGGTGATGGAGATCTGTTCTCATATTAATCGTATTATTTAAAGACGAAATTATATTTTTAAAAAGTAGTATCAAATGATCAAGATTAGTTAATGTTAAAAATAATGGTGTAGGTGTTTGTGTATGGCCATAAGATCAATTGAATTGAATGACTGTAAGAAAATGTGAGATATATTAACAATGTTTGCAAACCTTTCATCAGGATTATCTGGTATTCCAAGATCGCCGGTAAGGAGACGACGAGTTAATGCCTCAATTTGTAATTGAACTGTATGGAAATAATAAAAAAAATTAGAACCGAAGGGCAAAAAAACCCATCGATTTCCATCATTAATTGATATTCCAGAAATGGATACTGAATGATTATGAGATATATAATAAAGGAATATAATGCTGAAGATTTCAGCAGAAAAAAAATCCAAGCTGAATACAAAATGTAATAAATATTAAAAAATATTTCATTATTTGATAAGATTGATCAATTGAAACAAAGAAATGTCTCAAAAACATTAAAGTTTCCACCCATTAATTCATCTTATCACCGTATAAGAATATATCTTACGAATATAGATCTCTTCTTGTTGTTTGCTCATTGTTGATGGAATGATTGTCGGCAATCCAGGTATGAATACTTTATCCTGTTCATCACTGAATCGAGATTTTCGTTTCCGTTTTCTCTGTCCAACTATATGAAAAATAAGATTTATTAGAATCAATTAATTATATTTAGAACCAAATAAAAACTTACAAGAATCATTACTATTTGAATTGTTAGAATCAAAATATGACGAATCATAGTCACGTTTGCTATTCATTTTTTATCATGCCGGTTCACAATTCGGGATTTCAGGAATCGAAGCGGAATGAAATTCATAAAATAAATAAACAAATAAAAAAATTCCGGCTTAAATTAATAACAATTGACATAGATCTTATAATAAGAGTGAGACACTCAATAATATAACTCATTTTATTACACTATTGCCGTAAAGTTTTTGGCTAAATACTGGCCAAACCGAGAAACTTTGTTTCAACGACGAACGCTCTTTATGAAAGTGGTCTTTATTTTGCGTATAAATCAAAGTTTGTTGTTAAAAAACGTGAACAAAAAGAAAAAAATTTATTCTACTTACGAGTTGAAGTTATTTTTATAATAACAATTTCAAGTTACTATTACTATTACTATATTTTACTTTTTTATTTCTTTCATCAATTTCATTATTTTTATTTTTCATTTTTCATTATTATTTATAATTATTCATTAAGAAATGGGTGTTCCAAAGTTTTACCGATGGCTTAGTGAGCGTTATCCTTGTATTAATGAATATGTTAACCAATACAATGTAAGTTTCATACATTTATTCATCAATTAAAACCATTACTAACTAATATAATGGAATTATATGGTTGAATGGCATATAGATCCCAGAATTTGACAATTTTTATGTTGACATGAATGGCGTATTTCACATATGTTCACATCCAAGTGATGATGTCCACTTTCGAATACCTGAATCTCAAATATTTGAAAATATTGCCACTTATTTAAATTTTCTATTCAATTTGGTTCAACCACGTAAAGTATTCTTTCTATCTGTTGATGGTGTGGCACCAAGATCCAAGATGAATCAACAAAGATCACGCCGTTTTAAATCAGCACAAGAAGCCATTGAAAAAGAAACCAAAGCCAGACGTATGGGTCAAACATTACCAAATGATCCACGTTTCGATTCTAACTGCATTACACCAGGGACTGAATTCATGAACAAATTACATTTGTTTATGGTGGAATTTCTTGCTAAAAAAATTCAAAATTGTCAAGAATGGCGTGAAGTTGAAATTATTTATTCTGGCTATGATGTTCCTGGCGAAGGCGAACATAAAATTATGGATTATATTCGGTATTGTAAAACCAAAGATTCATTCGAATCTGATACGCGGCATTGTTTGTATGGACTTGATGCCGATCTAATTAATCTTGGACTTAGCACACACGAACCATATTTTTCCGTGTTGAGAGAAGAAGTGACATTTGGCAAAAACAAACAACGACATTGTGATCCGATTCGTACAAATTTTCAATTATTGCATCTTTCCATTTTACGAAGATATATTTTTCACGAATTTCACGAACTTGAACAACAGATGAAGTTCAAATTTGATCTGGAAAAAATTATTGACGATTGGATTCTCATCAATTTTCTAGTTGGAAACGATTTCTTGCCTCATGTCCCGAAATTTCATATTAACAAAGGTGGCATTCAAATTCTATATGATACATACAAATCTATATTGCCTGATCTGGATGGTTATCTCAACGACTCTGGTACTTTGAATTTAAAAAGATATCAGAAATTTTTGGCAAAATTATCGGAACACGATTTGGACATTTTTAATCAGAACAATATGGATTTCAATTTCATCGATGATGTAAATGACATAACGTTTGGCAGTGGCGTAGATTTAGGACAAAATTTTGATTTCGAAAAAATGCAAGAATTAACCGAAGAAAATTCTCTTCTTTCTGATTCAGATTCATCATCGGATCTTGATGATTCATCCAGCGAAAATGAATTGGATGAGGAGTTTGTCATGCACAAAAATCATTATTATACAACCAAGTTGGGATTCAAAGATTTAGCAGCCGATGTACCAAAAATTGTTTTTGAATACGTCAAAGGTATTCAATGGGTTCTGCATTATTATTTCGATGGTTGTGTTTCATGGAATTGGTTCTTTCCATTCCATTATGGCCCATATGTATCTGACCTGGCCAAAATTGATACTTCAGAAGAATTTCCTTTTGAAATGGGGACACCTTTTCAGCCATTAGTCCAATTATTAGCCGTTCTTCCTCAAGCAAGCAAAGATATTCTGCCCAAAGCTTTTCAAAAACTTACCTACATTCCTGATTCACCCCTCATAGATTATTTTCCTAATGAATTCAAGACTGATTTAAATGAAAAAATCCACGATTACGAAGCTATTATTTTGATACCATTCATGGATGATCAATTGTTGATGGAAACATTTGAACAATACAAAAATGGCTTGACTTCTGAAGAAATTGAACGTAATCGATTTGGCTTTCATCATCTATTGAAATGGTCCGAGGAATCTCCAGAAAATCCAGATGCTTTTGATTTGAATCGATTTCCGAATGTATTCGACCACAAGATTTTTATTAATCAATACGTTCTACCTCGTGAAATCGTATACAAAGGTGTAAGGAAAAATGTCAATTTGAATGCTGTCAATGGATTTCCTTCATTCAATGGCATTGATTATTCTGTACGAATGGAGAATGCTCGTATTAAAGTATTTGATTTTGGCTCTCAAAATCCCACTATGATGATTGATGTTGAAAAGAAAAATTATACTATTGAATCTATACAATTATTGTCAAAAAATTTTACCGAAAAAATCGTCTATATTAATTGGCCATTATTGGCTGAGGCGAAATTGATCGAAATAATAGACAATGAATTTAAATATTCGAAAGATATTAAATTAAAAATAACTCCTGAGGAATTACGTTCTGCAAAAATATCATCAAGAAATCATTGCCTAATGATGAAAAACAAGAAAGGAATCATATTGGAATCCGTTGAACAGATGGTCAAAGTTTTGCCATTACAATCACAACGATATATTATAACTGGTGGAAGAATTCAACTTCACAAAGAATGGTCAACGACATCTCAATATGTTCCTATAGAATTAGTCATTTTTGAGAGTTCAACCGCCTTATATCGATCTTTACCAGTCTATAAATCTTTGCATACAATATTTACAAAGGGTAAATCGTTTTACTTAATTGCAAATCCTTACTATGGTTACAAAGCAACAGTGATGAAATATTTGGCAAAAAATAACACTGTTCAGGCAAATGTCGTTGTTTCGTCGGAACCTGATTTTAGTGAAATTGAGATGGAATATGCCTACATTATGAGTGAAAATTATTACACTGAAGGTCGAGTGGCATTTATCGTTAAACGCGAACTGAATTTACCCGAAAGTGTTATAAGACGTTTATTGGGCTCAGTTTTATGCAGCTATCAAACAAACAAAGGTCGGGTCAAGCGTGTCAACGTTGGACTTAAGCTTAAATCTCGACATGATGGTCAACTCTACTGTGTTCCAGGTTATTCGTGTATGGATCAGGATGAAATTTTTTTTCACAAAAATGTCATTAATATTCTTCTTGAATATCATGGAAAATTTCCTCACGTATTTCAAATGTTGATCAATCATAAACCAATATACGAATTGGATAATCTTTTCCCGGGTCCTAATTTGGAACAGTGGTTTGTTTACTTTCATTTTATTGATTCAAAAATTTAATGTCAAAATTATTGTTTTATATAGTGAAAAAACAAAATCATTGAATAGTATACGTGATTGGTTAGATTTGCAAGAATTTTCAAAAATTGGAACAACACGTGGAAATGCTAATTATCTTGACAATTGTATTGTGAAGGCTATAGAGGAGAGAATCGAATCTCATATGGTATTTTTTTTACATGATATGTTTTAGACTTTAAAATAATTATTATTATTCTATTTAATAATAGGTTTTACTGTGTGAAGAGCAAACATTTACACAAAAATTGCATCCATCAAGTTTTTACATACCCGAATTCATTCTCAAAGGAAGCTATCTTCCTGATGCAAAAGTGAACTTTGAATTATTTGATCGAGTTGTGAATATAAAAACATCAATTATTGTACCATTTGGCGCTAAAGGAACTGTGATTGGTATTTATTCCGGTAATGATCATTTGACTAAGTTTACCAGATATAATGAACAAGACGAAGAAGAGAGAAAAGATAATGATTGTTTATTGTCTTCAACTATTGAAGTCATGTTTGATGAACCATTCGATGGTGGTTTTTCTGAACGAAGTTCCAAATCTAATATTTTCAAAATGCATGCATCTTTTTTAATCAACATTTCACATGGATTGCGAATGTCAAAAAAGAATATCAATTTTAAGAATGTTTATCAACCGATTCAATCTGCTGGACATAAACAATCAAACTATTATCAAAATAATGCCCGTCCCTATTACAATAATAATAATCAATTACAAACGCAAAAATCAAATAACGTACCAAATAATAATGCGTCGAAAATTCAAATAATGCCCAGGCCTGAACAGCAATTACAACAAACCAATGAATCGCCGAACAAATTCAATCATTCAGAAAATTCTCCGTTTAAAGCTATTCCTAAACCATCCTATGCTGGCATTGTTGTTGGTTCGAATATTCAAGAACAATTTCCTCTTCAACAACAAGCGTTTCAACCTTCTCTGGGGGCTATTAAATTTCCTAATAGTCTGCCATTGCCAACGACTTGGTCTCCTGATGCTTTGGGTCAAATGTTCTCTGGAATCAATATTAGACATGCGAATCCTAGTCAGGCGAACAATGCAAGCATGAACAAGATTGAGCTACCGAGAAAATCTGAAATACCGGCACCACCCTCTCATTGGATCAAATCATTAGGCTCTAAAGCCATGGAAAATTTACAAGATCCCCAACTGCTCATTCCAAGTTTTACGGTCTCATCAAGTTCACAAGCTATGATCAATAATGATATCATTTCAAACAATGATACGATCCAGAACCCGTTGAATGATATGAATAAAATCTGGAACCAACAGTCTACGCGTTACGATAATCATAATCGTTATTTTCGTCCTGAACAAAATCGAAAATATCACAACCGAAATCATCATTATCATAATCGAAATAATGAACACAATACTCAGCTTCATCATAACCAACAACAATACACACCAAATCAATCGACTCCTATTAAACAACAATCGGAATCTACCAGATTTGTACCGTTGGTAGTTGCACGTAATCATCAACATGAAAATGTATTGCGAAGACAAAACATTAATCATAATCAATAGTAATTTAAAATTTATTTGGATTTGATTTTTTTTTTGATAATAATGTTAAAAAAAATGAAATTTAACGAAAATAAATCATGGTGTTTTTGATTACATAAGTTATAATGTTCAATTAAAAATGTTAATAATCATTGAAGAGGCGGTATTGTTATGATTAATGAATGAATTTCTACACCACCATGAATGCAAAGATGGTTAATAGTTGTCAAGGCACTAATGCGATGATAAAAATCGAAAACGTAACGGCCACCAACAATCACTTGGTATCGGTTACCTTCAACTCGGATTTGCATATTGAATGCGCTATGACCAAAGAATGGAAAATGTGTAAGTTCTTTTTCTGGTTGACACCATTGTTTTAGTTGATTAGAATTTCGTACAATTGCCTTGGAATCCATGTATATTTCCATATGAAATGGAACATTTGCATTATGATCTTCGTAAGGATTGGAACCCTGGTAGAAGCTAATATCGAAACGATTGCCTGTCACACGGCCATCAATGGCAAATATCATTCCAACTTGAAGCCCTGATTTGATTGGCAATAAAAGAGGAAGTTTTGGCCATTTTAAGTCTTTCACAACATGACTATCCTCGGCTAAAGGAGCGCTTACCATAGCAGGTGGTGGCTGTATAAAAATATTTTCGACTTCAAAATCACCATCATAGCTTAGAAGACCAACGCTTTCGAATGAATGACGATGAATGAATGTCACAAATTCATTATCATTGACATCAATTCGATATTGAGTAGGTTCAGCCTCGATACATAAACGAAAATTTTGATTCTGAAGCAGCGGCCGTGGTAACCGTCCTCTGGCTGTTCTTTCCTCTTGTCCCCAGATTTTGCCAGTTCTCGAATTTAGCAATGCGTAACCGGCAGATGAATGGACACAAAAATGCATAGCGATGTCACCATTTTTGACCAGATCTTCGTTGACCACTGATGCACACCATAAATTGATTTCGAATCTTGAAGCAGCTGGATTGACTTTGCCTTCAATCCAGATTCGAGTGTTTTGTGTAAGGCCTTCATTCAGGCTAAGATAACGACTTTTAGACTATAACATTGTTGAAATAAATAAAATACGAATTATTATAAATCAATTACAAATAAATGAATTATTACATACGTTTTTGTTTGATGGTAAAGTTACAACAGAATCGATAAGTTTTTTTGATTTTTTCAAAATGGAATCCATTTTGAAAAACTACAACAACAACAAAAACTCTTAAAAATAAATAAAATAGAAAAATATCAAATAGTGAGGAAAAAACGAGAAAATTTCGAAAATCAAAACAATATATAAATATTGCCAACAAAAATTGCCTTGAAAAGATGTTTATATGAGTCATAACGGACTTTTATTCATTGACAACATTGTATTGTTACGCAATGTCTCAGATTTCGACTCTCAAAATTGAACACAAACGGAATTTTATTCAAGAAAAAAAAATTAATTACAAATCCTTTAAAAGATCTTGATTTCGCAAATAAATTACAAATGTTTTATGAATTTTAAAAATAGCCAACAATATTTGTTGCCTATTGTATAAGGAAATAATATATCACATATTTTTTCCTGAAAAATTATCAATTTTTCTTTATAAAAAAAAATTAATTTAACAAATATGACTAAATATGAGTAAGAAAAAAATTAACAATTATAACGAAAAGAACATTTTTGTCTTTGTTTATCGTTTGAAACTAAAATAATTCAAGTCAAAAATCTCTGCTCTGATAAAAAAGAATATAACCTGATTCACTATTCTTTTGTGTATCACTTGTTAATCCGAAAAAATCTTCAATAGTTGATGGATCAATTTTGTCGACAATATCATCATCGAAGAGCAACCAGAATCCAAAAGATTTTACAATACTGATATAATGGCCACGATTCGGCCCAGTACCGCAATGAATAACGACGGCAACTAGATCATATAATCGATCACTACTATCATCATTATTGGATTTGTTGAATAACCGTAGTTCCAAAGGAAAAACAACACGATACGATAATTTTGTATGGCGATTTTGACTTTCTGTATACTTGAAACGCTTCAAATGTAATGCTAATATCATTGGCAATTTTTTGATACGCATTCTTTTTTGTGCTTCTTGTTTGGAGCAACAATTCTCACAATAATATTTATGTTCGGAGCTAAGAGTTTCAGTATTGGAGAACACACGCAAACATTGAGTTATAGATGTGTTTTGATCAACGTCGACACTTAGATCGAGAAAATCTTCATCTTTTGATGATAATGATTCACAGTTGAGACATCGTGTTTCATTGGTTAACGTACCCTGAAATATATCATGAACCCATGTTTTCTGATTTTGAGCATTCTTGTTTTCGATGTCCAATCCATTATGTTGCTGTTCGGATGCTTTTTCTGCGCTCAATAAATCGGCGATTGTATTAAGAAGATAATTAAGGAATTCATGTGCATCTTGTTGCATATAATTGTCGAACACTTCATTTTCTTTACGTAATCGTGTAATGAATTTTTTCGGTGGTATAGTGCCAGTTTTTTTCTTTTGCGTAGCTATTGAATAGAATAAATCGGCCAAGCATGTGAGCAATGTTTCGCGATTATTTCGTTTATTCTTGTTTTTATATTCCAAAACTTTATCTCGAAATGGTTTACAAAAATATAGGGCTTGTAATACCGAATTACAATAACAAGTATTGCCAAAATTAACCAAACCAAAATAATGTTCATTCGCCGGAAATTGATCATAGCCAATATCTTTTTCAAGTTGTGAAGCATTGTTGCCCATTTTTGAAAAAAATGGATATAATAAATTTATCTTAGGGGATTGCAGATTGACAATATTCAAGAATTTAGCATATTAAAATTTAACAAAAATTCAGACAATAAATTTTTCTTCCCAATTGATGATCAACTGTTAATACCATGTTAGTAGTTTATATATGAGTTTGATTATCATGGACGCTAGATGTCAATCGCTGTCTTCGACTCAAAGACCGGTTGCTTTTCGTTTTGATGTCTGTCTATAGAAAAAATCGACAAGGCATGCCACCTGGAAGTATGACGTGGTGTGACTTAAAGTTGTCGTCGTCTTCATTGAATATTAAAACCACAAAAAAAAATTTCTGGCTAAATAAACAAATTCTCATACTTGGTCACATTATTTTGATTATAACCATTCCTCATTGAATTTCATACGGAAATATTCTGTTATCGGTTATTTTGTTTTGACTACTAAACTCGACAATGAATTTAATACGGAATATACTCTTGGCTTTTTTGTTCATTTTGCCACTTCTTACCCTATTCAATAATGGTATTTCCGTTTCATACACAAGAAAAGAGAATATCTAATTTTTATTTTTATGTAGCCAACAATTTTAATGTGAAAGCTGTTGAAGATGATCCAGTTGAAGGAGAAGATTCCGATGTGAATGTTGAAACAGGAGATGTCATCAAAACCGAAGAAGAAGACGATTCTACACTTTCATCTGAAGGATACAGAAATTCACCGGATGCTGATATAACTTACATGTTTACTAAACCTCTAGGAAATGGACTAGGTAATTTATTGAAAATCTTTTCTTGTGAAACAATTTTTATAACCACGATAATTTTGAACACAGAATTGCCTGTTGGAAAAGAAGTACATTTTTTGGTTGGTTTTATGAATAAAGGTCAAAAGGATTTCTTTGTCGACACTATGGATGCCTCGTTCAGATATTCTGCTGATTTCAGCTATTATTTGCAGAATGTATGCTTTTGTTTTCTATCAAATCAAAATCATATATACTGATTTATTTTTTATATTTCAGTTTTCGGCATTGGCTTACAATCGATTGGTCAAACCAAAACAAGAGGTTACTTTTAGCTATCAATTTTTTGTCAGTGAAGCCTATAGTCCTCGACCATATGGATTGACCATCAATCTTTATTACCGAGATGCAGACAATGTTCAATATTTGACTCCAGTTTTCAATGAAACTGTCAACATTTTCGAATTGGATGAAGGATTAGATAGTGAAACATTTTTCCTTTTTATCGTTTTGGCTGGTCTTGCTGTACTTGCTCTTGTTGGAATCTACCAATTATTCCAATCATATGGCGTAAATATTTTAATTCATACCAAATATTTAAATTTTTCAATTAATGTATATTTTTTTCCAGAAAAAACACATTCCAATGCCATCATCTTCGAAACCAAAATATGAAACTGGAACTTCAAATCATGAGGATGTTGATCTTGATTGGCTTCCCAAAGAAGGTTCCAAATACTACATGAAACAATTAAGTAATGCCCGTTTTTTTATCTAAAATAAACTTGATTTTTAATTCTTTTTTTTTGTACAAGATAAATCGCCCAATCCGGCCAAGCCAAGTTCGCCACGACAAAGGAGGAAGAAAGAATAATGAGATGATTTCATATTACTACTAAATAAAAATATAAAAAATTTTACTGAGCATTTCTTTGTTTTTGTATACAATTTTTTTTTGATATAAAAGTAATATACATTCTTCTCTCATTTGAAATTCAAATCCAAGTTGTTTCCAATAATTATTTTCAATGCCCTCTGTTGCAATTTTTTCTAATAATAATTGAGATGTTTTGGGTTAACTGACATTTTTGTAAACAATGTCTTCCAATCTTTCTTCGAATAAAAATAATTTAATTTCAGAATTCCAGAATATTGATCTTGAAGATGATAAAAAAAAGGGCGAGTTGTACCAACCAAATGAATATCTCGATTATCTTTCCAAACAATTAATGAATGATTATGCCAAATATTTTCAACTAAGGCCTACTGCTCAAGTGAGCATTACATGAGGATTGTTATAATATAATAAATTAATTTTTTACTATTTTTTATAGATTGAAGAACTGGATGAATTGTTGGAAAATCTATTGACTCATATGGAAGAATTTTATGGTCTTATTGAACAAATTCGAAATAATGGCAATCAATGTGTCGATCGATTATCGATGGTTTTATTTTCCAAAATAGACGAATGTCGAAAATTGTTTGCATTCATTGATAAATTAGAAAAAATTGTGAATCATGTTAGTATACAAGTCTCACTGATGGAACGTGAATTAAGTAGAGCAGAAAAAATGATGGGAGCCAAAACGAGTACAGTTAAAAAATTGTTCTCCATTCTGACAAGTGGTAACCAATCATCGGAATCACAATCACGATTCCGATATATACCTCAGGATATTTTTAAAACAGAAGAATTGTTAAAAACATAATATTTTAAGCATGTTTGTTTTTATTCTACAATAAAAATGTATTCTTTAATAAATGATTTTCATGAATTCTACAAATCATCCATGTTGTTTAAAATTACTTTTTCGCCTGGTTTGAATGCAGGAAAGCCACGATATGGGCAACTTTCACAACGGAATGCATCGCCCAGATAACAGTTTCCACATGAAGATTTAAGATTTTGACTATTGGAACGAATTTTATCCATCTCACTTTTTTCAAGCTCTTCTTTCAAACCACACGAACAATTGGCACATGCTTTCCTCTGTTTTGTTGTTGCACAGACACGCAAATCTTCAGCTTTCGGTTTCATTTTGTCTTGTTCGTCCAACAATTCATCATCATCGATCAGGTCGCCATCAGTGATTTCGTCCGCTGCCAATGTCCAAATTTTTTTGGTATCAATTTCGACAGCCGAACCAATTTCATATTCGGGTTTATGTGCTAAGATTAAGTCTTGCTCATTTCTATCCACCACAAATCCATTTGATTTTATTAGGAATGTCAAATTGGAAACCTGACGAGATCTTACGATTACAAATTTGGATCTAGGTTTCAATAATTTGTATAAATGCTTCAATTGTTCATCAGTAAATGACTGTTCGATGGTGAATATGGCGTCGTATGCTTCTATAGATTAGAAAAAGATTTTATGAATAAAAATATTAGAAAATAAGAAATTCACCTTTCTCTGACGGGAGATCGTTTATGGCAATTGTTAATTTGCTTTTGCAACAAATATTAGATACATAAGAATTTTTCAACAATTTCTCATCTAAAGATTGGTCCAATGAGAGGACAGTTAGACATTCTTTACAATCTGAAAAGTCCATCTTGGATAAAAGTTTTATAAATATTGATTGATGATGAGCAAATAAAATGACAAGTCACGTTGGCCGTTTCGCTTCTCATAAAGAACGTTATGCCATTTGCAACTAAAGAATAGAAATTCTGCGAAAAAATGAAATTTACATTATTCCGTAAAATATTTTATTCGTCTGCTAAGATTTTTCATACGAGAACATTGATCACAACAAATGGACATTTTAATCGTCAAAAAATCGACATTGGTGATTCCGTACAGATAGAAAGATTATTCACTCAGGAAGATGTGGCCCTTTTCGCTCGTTTAACTCATGATGATAATCCCATTCATCTAAATGAATCTTCAGCAATTCAAAGAAATTTTGCAAAACCAATAGTTCATGGTTCTCTCATCAATGGGTAAATAATTTTATTGATTAGTTTATAGATCAAATTAATTTTTTTGCATATTGTTAGGGTCATATCTTCTTTAATTGGAACAAAACTTCCGGGGTATGGTAGCATTCTAATAGAACAAGATTTACATTTTCCAAATCCCTGTGAGTTCATATGCAGAATCAAAGATTATATAATAATTTTTTTTTCTTTTGTATAGTATTTGTAGGCGAGAAATTCATCACCAAAGTAACAATTGCAGATCGCAAACGTAACATTTATTTCTGTCAATATGAATGTCTAACAATGGACGGCAAGGTGCTTTTTTTCATCTACCATAATTATTGTTGATCATCATGATGTTTTTTCAATAATCGTGTGTTACTAATTATTTATTTTTTTTATATTCAATTTCTATGAATGGTTGTTATGATTGCAATTCAGAAAGTGACGGAAGGCATGGCAAAAATATTGTTTCGTCCTTGAAGTCAGAAATCTGCCATAACCAACATCATCCTACAACTCTTGAATTTTGCTATCAAGAAGAAAGTCCAAAAAGATTTTTTTGTCATCGAAATATCATGGCGTAGGCTTGATTTCATTCATGGACATTATTGAAACAAAAGAAATTATTATCATGAACAGTTATAAAGAAGATTAATATATTATTACAATTATCATTAATTGTCATGACATTTTTAACCAATCGATCATACTTTTAATTGTTATAATATACGAAATACATCCTACTAACCAACATTTAAGGCCATGGTTATAACAGATATTCTTAACATCTAGCCCGGTATTTATCATCATATGCGATATAAATGATGTATCAGCAACTCATGCTCAGTTGCATCTAAAAAGGATTCGTGTTTTCTGTTGATAATAAAAATGTTATTGGCGAACAACCGAAAACATTTTTCATTTTTTTTTCTACACAAGGTTCTCCAGCATCACAATACTGTATCTAATTTCCACTTATATCGAGCAATTTAACTTTCACCGTTATTGACGAATAGACAGGAAGTTTTTAATTTTTTCTTCGAATTTATTCAAAAAATTTATTCTCGATTTAACAAATTTATGATGGATGTTGAATATTCATTATCAGATTTTAAACAAAAATTATTTCACGTCGAAAATATTTTACGATCAACTATGACTGATGAGCGGTATATTCCAAAAGCAGATAAATGGCGTAATACAGATAGCTTCAGCACGTATAAAAATTTCATCGACTGTCATGAAGTTTTTCCCAATATTATTATTGGAAACATGTAAGTTCTTTTGCTTAACATTCCTGTGCATAATATTAATATAAATCGATTTCATAACAGATATGCTGCTCGATCTAAACCGTTTTTGAAAGATATTGGCGTTACTCATGTCTTGAATTGTGCTCTTAATCATTGTTTGACATATAATGACATGAAATTTGACCAGGAATATTATCAAGATTACAAAATCAAATTCAAAGGGCTAGAACTGGATGATATTTGTACGGAAAACATTGCACGTTATTTCGACGAATCAATTGAATTCATCGACGATGCCATGAAAAATGGTGGTAAAATTCTAATACATTGTTTGGCGGGCATTAGTCGTTCGGCAACAATTACGATTGCATATCTCATGAAACAACATTCAATGACCATTGAAGATGCTATCAAAATAGTTAAACAAAATAGACGTGTTTATCCTAATGAAGGCTTTCTTAAACAATTGGTTGAATTAGATTTTAAACTACGAAAACAATCGGTTAATCGATGAACTAAAATTTCATTATTCACCATTTTTTATCGAGTTTAATTAATCGATTGTCATATTTTAAAATTATTATTATTATGATTACTTGATCATTGTTTTTTTATGATTAGAATGATTCATCATGATTTATTTTTATGATTAAGTGATTAAAGTGACAATATACAATAAATAACAATAAAACAATAATGATGTAATGTAAAATAATATTGATATGAACAATATAATCACCGATAAAAGTGAGTATTTATGCAGAATTAGTGTTCAAATATGAGTTGGTTCTTACTATGAGACCAAATAATGTTGGAGGGATTTATAACAATTAATAAATGACGAAAAATATGAGAAATCATCGTTAATTCATCTATTGATGAGTGGTTGAGAATCACAGTCGAAATTGTTTAGATGTGGAATAGGTTCGAGCTCAATATTGAGATTGTCTTGATTGCCACTGTTGTTACTGTGTTGTTGAGTATTTATGGAATCGACTATTATCGATTGAATGTGGTTGTGATCAACATCACTATTAGAATCAATAATCTCTTCATCATTCGATAGAACCTCCTTCTTTTTGCTGTTTGGATCTTCTATCTGTCTAAAATAGTCTTGATGAGCTGTAGGAGTGTTTTCCGTCATGGCAATCGAATTGATGTCAATTGTTGTCTCACTAGTCGGAGAATTTATTGGTTGATCATTTAGATGATCATTTGAATGGCTAGGATTGATGACCAAATTTGTAGAGGTGTTAATTGGGACGACCGACTGTTGTTGTTGTGCATTTCGATGTTGCCGTCGTAACATTCGACGACAACGTCTTTGACGTCTATATCTTCGATATTGATCCATATACGAATTATTTATTCCATTTACATCATGATATCCTCCCATGGTTGATGCATAACTAGGTGGTGGTTCGCGAAATAAAACAGAATGTTCTAATCGAAATAATGAGGCATCAAGATCACCGGAAGATGGAAATGGGAAATCCATATTTCTAAAAGGAGCAGGATTTGAAACATTCGTAGCCATAGTTGTACGATATTGTTCCAAGTGTCTAAGCGCGACTAATTTGCAACCACAGCTGATAGCAATCACAATCAATAGGCCACAAATTAACGATCCAATTATGGCTGCAGTAATGACACTGTTTTTTAGACAACGCATCTCATCACTTCCATCATAACAATCGGCTGAACGATCACATGTCCTAAAATGGAGAGTTATTATTACAAGAATGATGATATTAATTTGATTGAATTTGTTTACTTACCAAATTGATGGTATGCATCTACCATTTGTGCAGAGGAAACTACCTTTATCTGGTCGACATAACTCTAATGTACAATTTTTTTCATCTGAATAATCAGCACACTGGACAATACCATTGCAACGTTCTTCAAGATCATAACATCCATCACCAGAAGCACACATGATTTTACCTTTACAATGTTCAAAACAATTTAGTTCGTCAGCCCCGTTCGGACAATCGAGGATTCGATTACATCGATGAAGTTTCGGATCATAACAATGATTCATTGTACCACATCTTATTTTTTTACTAGGACAATGGTTACATTTTGTTTCATCGGAAAAATCTTGACAATCGGGAATGCCATTACATAACAATGTGAGATTGATGCATTTGTTCAACGATTGTGGAGAAAGGCATCGAAACTGATTTGAATCACAGTATGTACAGTTCAATTCATCTGATCTGTTCTCGCAGTCGATTTTATTATCACATCGTTTCGAGATGTGATAATAGCCCATTGAATCATCATTGTCGCATTTAATAAAATCCGAGGTTAGGTCACAAGACATTTCATCGGATCCATCACCACATTCATTCTTGTTATTACATTTCCATTTTTTCGGGATACATTTGTCATTAAGGCAATGAAATTCATTTGCATAACATTGCGTATTTGATTTAGGCGTTATAAAATAAGAGAAATAAAATCCAACAGCATTATTCTGATTTAAGGTTGCATTGAATATGACAGAGACGAAATTTGTTTCGGAAATATAAACATTGGATGCACTATGAATTGATTTACCGCAGAAATACCGATCGCTATTCAACGATTGAATTCGTAGATAATTTACGGTACAGCATTGTTTTGAATCGATGGAATCTATGCAATATTTCGAATGTTCATTCGGATTTTCTATATCAAGCTCGTCAATGCTATCGGAAACAGATAAAATAAGATAGAATTTCAATAATGAAAGCAATATTACCTGATAGTTATAATTTCATCGGGTGATGTTCCGATAATGTTCCATTGACAAACAATTGGAACTTTATAACTGTTAGGGTAGTGTGGGTTCTTGACGAAACCATATTTAGTTGTAAGATTGACTATTGAACCACAACGAAAATCGTTTTCGGGAAAAAGAGATTCTTCAATAAAAGTATTCTCATCCAATAAAGAGAATTTATTGAGCATTAGTTTGCCATTTGATGTGGACGAATTCTTGCCATTGGCGAGGGCAAATTTTTCAATCAATATAAAGGATGTGGCAAGAACAATAAAATGACAAAATGAAAATTTATTCAAGATTTTCAAACGAATAATCGTTGAATTCCAAAATAGTTGTTGTTCCATAGGTGAAGATTAAATTGAGTTTCACGTCTGAAATCTTTGATGACTGTCAGATAAAGTGAATGACAATCAATAATAAACTACAGGATTTAAGCAAAAAGATTTGGCGACAACCAGAACGGAGGAAATTCAGTCTTTCTCTTGGTGAGTTGGTTGTTTGATTCAATCAATAACATATTATAATTCAAAGAAATGTTGTTTTGTGATGGTTGGTCAGATTGGAATATAGAGTATTATTGGAAATGTTGGGAGCATTTTTTTGTCATAAACGTAAATAGTCGAATAATAATGGATTGTTGTTCATCGAAGAAATCTCAACATCCATTCGGGATTATAGTCGTTATTTTATACAAGTAAAATGAAAGTTGGAAATAAATCCAAAAGATTAGTTTATACTTCAGGCAATCGGCCTGGGGGATCAAGAAAAAATTTCTTCTGTTATTCAATGCATGTAATTTTTTCAGAAAGTTTGTTTTTGTTTACAACGGGTAATCGGATTCGTTGAAAATAATAATAGAGTTGTTTTGTTGCTCAACACTTTTATCATAGAATCGCATTGATAGTGTGAAGACTATGCAATTTACAGCATACTTTTTATATTTCACCAAAGGGCTAATGGTTGCAATTATGTTATCCATCAAAGATTATAATTCATCATTAAATGAAAAAAAATAAACACACTTTACACGAAACGAAATTGAATGAAAAAAAAACAATAACCTAGAACCAAACCAAATAGATAGTAGACAAAACTTATGGATCGTCAATAAATGAAATTCATAAAAATATACAAAAAAACAAATGTTTCATCCATTTAAATCGAAATGAGTTTGTGTACAAAAAAAATATTTTTCATCAACATCATCATCATCATTCATCCGATTCAATTCAATACAATGGAAAACAGGAGAGATTTTCTCTTTCATTTCAATAACATCTTCGTCGTCAAAAATATACATTCGTCTATATATACAACAAAAATGTGATACCGAGTTATGGAGAGTCAATTTTATGTAGGACAAAAGCGAACACACACACACACACACACTAACACAAACAAGCTCATAAAAATGGATCCACTGCTGGATTTTCATTCATTCATTACCACCATTCGGGACCACATTAAACTATATATATGAGATATGAGATATTAGTATTGTAAGTATTGGTTGTAATCATATTCGTAAGTATAATGTATTGCATCTTATGCAATAATTTAGAATAATTAATACCAAGTTTGGAACACGGATCTTACACATTGAATTTCAATTTTTAATGTAAATTTCTCTGATGAGGTCTTTTCATTATTTATTTTATCTCTATCAACGACAATGAAGTGTCAGGTTTTAGAATTGTGTGATTATCGAGATTTTAATTTAGAAATAGATGAACGACTACGTCGTCTTGTGGTTTTTGAAGATTTTCGTTTTTTTGATTTTGTTTTTCGTGTTCGCTTGTTTCCACTCTTGTTTGATGATTTTTGGTTGGATTCCGATCGATCATCATCATCCTCATCATATTCTGTTTCTTCTTCTTTTTGTTCAAAAACTTAGAAAACGAATCAGAATTAATAGCTTCTTTCGATTTGGTATCTAGTCTATCTGAGTTTTTAAATTTCGAAAGGAAAATATTTGAATTACAAACTGGACATTTTTGCGATTTATCATCCGTATCATCTTTGAGAAATCTTAAGGTCATTTGAAAATCACTATCAGGAAGTATGAAAATATTGACATTCTTTTTATCATCAGTAGTCTTTACCGACCATTTTGAATCATTTTTTTGTTGTTGCAACAGTTGTTGAATATTTGAAATTTCATTATCAGCAATTTCGCGATTGCTTGATGCATTTTGAGGCAATTGAAATTTAAATTGAATTGATTCCTGACTTCTTGAAGATGCTGATAATGGTTCCTCTAATCGATGCTCTTGATTGTCGGCTTCATCTTTGACTATTGACATTTCAACGATTTAAACAAAAATTGGTAATTTCTTTTACAAAACGACGTCTTAAATAGAATTCAATCAACAAACAAAATTCAATTAATTTATTTCGAATTTAAATTCTAAAAAAAAAAAACAATGTTCATTTGGTTTTATTCATTTTCATTTTAACATCTTCACTTTGAATGGTTTTATATGTGGATGAACTGTTAGCTGAATTCATTTTTTCCGAATTTTTTATCGGACTTTTCATTTTGGTTATCGATTTTGTTTTTAAGCTTTTTGATGAATCTGTTTTACTTCGTGATTTTTTCGATCGAAAAAACATCCCTAGTTTTGATTTAGAAGATTTTGATTTTTTTATTTTGGATTTCGATCTTTTATCGGGCTTCTTGATTTTCGAAGCGTCTTTATTCACCAAAGTTTTGTTTAGCGATAGTTTAGATTTTTCTCGATTTTTTTTCTTTGATGTTTGTGACTTGGATCTCTTTTTTTTAATTTCACCTTCTTTATTCGAGACCTTGGTGGGTGTTTTCATTGGAATTTTAAGATCCATTTTCTCTAAGATTTTATCAGGAGAAGGAAGATCATTTATTTCTGTTTTTAATGGCAGAGTTTCACCCGCTGTTGTGGTTGTCGTCTTAGTAATTTCTCTTATAGAAATTTTGATATTTTTAGGTTTTTTACGCGATGACCGTTTTGACTTCTGGTCAGGTGTTTTTGTACTTTTTTTTAGAGATTTTTCAGATTCTTTTAATAAAGCCTTAACTGTCATTTGGCAATCACGATCTGGCAGAATGATGATATGGGAAAAATCACAAATAAAAACCACCATTGAGCCTTTGTTCACTTCAATCACACAGCTTGATTTAAGTGAATCTTCCTTTACTGACCCATCCGTACTTGTCTGACCCATATATAATCGTCCTTTCAATTCCAAGGTTGATGGTGAACCAAATACAAAACCTCGATACATTTCGCCAAATACAAATACTTTACCACTGTCGTTTGTCATGATCATCACAGATTTTGGTGAACCGTTTGAAGTTCCAGTGATGAAATTATAATCGTAAGCCAAAGTCAAATCATTAGGCAAATAGTTTAACCAATCCAATTCACCATTACTACGTCTAAAACTGTATGGAATAATTTCGTGGAAATCATCCTCTAATACACCGGAAAAAACACCCATTGGACGAATATAAAGATGGCCAATCTTGTAATAAAGAATATATTCATGAGATGCTCGAATGCTCATTCGGGTTGCACTTCTTAGCGATAGTTCACTTTCTCTAGCTTTCAAATAACAATAGGCATCTTGAATTGTTTCATTAGCTTCTTTAAGCATCGTTTGCTGTCTATTAATTACAGTAAAACTAATCTTTGGTTCTAAAACTTGTCGCTTTAAATTTTGATGTTCAACCTCTTTAACATTCGTTTCGCTAACAAACGGATTTTTGAACAATATCGAAGTTTCTTGTATTCGCTCATCGCTTTTACCTTTTGACATTTTTCGTATTTTCAAACTTAAAAAAAACAAAACAATCAATAGCACTGCACAAAAACAATATATGCCCAAACTATTCTTCGATTTTATATTCAAAAAAAGTTCCAAAAAAAATTGAATTAAAATTCATTTTTTGCAATGTCGAATGAATGCAAAATAAGGAATTTACAAAAGTTTTTGTTTAAAAAAAAACAATAATTAATGTTTAGACAAATGATAAAAATATAACATCTTATAGTTGATCAAGTTGGTGGCGGTGGTCGAATCAATGCCAGTGGTTTGAACAAATTTCGACAATATATTGCACCATTAGGTAGTGGATTGTCAATGCGGATCAATGATTCTTTATCTTTATTTGTTAATGATTCAAATGCTGATCGATATTCTTCATCAAATGAATCTAAATAATGAAACATGATTAATTGAATTCATAAATAAAATAGAATAACATACCGACACTGAGTGCAGGTGGATCTTGTATCAAATTTAAAAACATCAATTCTCGATACAAGCTATTCAAATTTTTCAGGTCCACTCCGGGCAGTTTTTTGAGTTTATTCCGTTCTGAAATCAAAAACTGTATTGGCTTAAACAATTCACGTTCTTTGATTAATTGGATCAATTGTTGACAAAGATTTTTAAAATCCAACATTTCTGGACTCATGGTTTCTAATTCGGCATTTTTCATTTTTAACCATTGTTGATGTAACGGAATATTTTGATAGAATTTTTCATTATCCCACATACAAGTAACACAAACATTCTTGAAATTATAGCCATATTGATTAGATATCTGTATGAAAGAAATGAATTTATGAGAATATATGTAAAATTTAATCTATCATTTAATATATAACCTTGATGAATTCAGGAGAATTTAAGCTTGTTGCACACAATGCTAATTCATAAATGTGTGATGGGAAATTTAATCGAGTAAAGTACCAAACAAGATTCCAATAAACGATTGGATGATCATCAACAAATTTTGGCAGAATTAGACTAGAATAGCTTTCTCCATTCAATATGTTTTCCAATTCTTTGCGCAACACCAATGGACTAAGATAAGGTACAGATATAGGATCCAATGAATGACCAGACAGTGGCTGTTGATCATTTATGCACCGATAATCCTATTAATTGGAGTAACAATCCAAATTCAAAATGATACATCAAAAAAAACAAACAAACAAGACCAACCTCAATGTAAATAGTCAAAGATGGTACGAATGTTGCTTTGCAGTGAATACAGCAAGTGTTGAGATTAGAATCATCGGGCAGCCATTGGGACATGATTTCTTCATCATAGATGATTGATTGACAGCCACGACAAATTGTGCAGGAGATCATTTCGACATTCCAAATAATTCGGTCAATCGTTGAAGTCGATGATAAAGTTTCTTCTGTTTGAAATAATTCCAATGATTTTGTATAATATTCATTCAAAACATGTTGATATTTGCCCATATTGAACGAATTCTCGTCAAATTGGTCTAGCAAATTATCTATTGACAAATTTAAATTTTCATCATCATTTTTTAGACTCAAGCGAGAAGTGACGGCATTCATCATAGTAAATTTGACTGGAGAATTCATACTAGAAGTTCCTAATGATAATTTAAATTCATTAATCCTGCCACCAATTGATTTGACTGTAGAATAGAAATATTCGGATGGTGAACTCATTCCATAATTTTGAAATTGCGATTTCATCGACATTTCATTTACTGGAGTTGATGTTTGGAATGTTTGTGGTAATGTCGATGATCGAGGTAATCGCGGAGGGCTTGCATGAACATTATTTGATTTTGCGTCTGATTTCACAAACAAAGAACCAATTTTGTTTAGATTTTTTTCCGAATCAGAAAAAGTAGAACGAGCAAAACCTAATTGTAAAAAATTATTTCAGAGATTGAAATGCATCATATTCTACTTACTGTATCGAGATCTAGTGAAATTTTTTGCGATACGAAAACTGGATCGTAATTTGTCAGCAACAGGACTTTTGCTGAAATCCATGTTGACCAATGTCTCTTTTAATGGTGTCACGAACGAATTTGAGAAAAGTTTCATTTCCGAAACACTATCATTTTCTGAGCCAGCTTTAACCGATACTTCAGATGCAGATTCTTTCAAATTCATTTCTGGTACAATTTTAATTTGATTATTTCTAAGGGTCTTTAAATCATTTAATATGTCAACAAATTCTTCTTGAGTGATGTTTACATCAACAAAACTTTTATACTTTTTCTGATAAAGTCCAAAGTTAGATTTTGCAATGGAAGAATCGATTCGATCGGAAATCCACAATAATCCAGCACTAGAACAATGATCAACAATCATTGAAGTTTGTCCAGTTTTAGTCGAGAAAAGAGATTTCGCTTTTTTTCTGACAATATTTTCATTCAAAGACCCAATTAATGAATTTGAAGATTCGGTAGTTTTTCCAGTATCAAGATATTTTATCTTGAAATGCATTGCAACCCGCATCACATTGTAGAGCTTAATCCATCGGGATTTTTTATGTCTAAAATCACCATAATCAGTGGGCCAGTTTCCATCTAAAACAGCCTTGTTATAATAGCCATAAGTGATTGCATTAAGTTTAACTTTGTATTTTTTCATATCCAAAAATATTTTGACGGCTAATGCAGGACGATTATGTATGCAACAAAGAATCATTAGGATACGATAACAAGATTCATCTGGTACAGAAAAATCCATCGTTTGCATACGTTGTAATGCCTGGTATGCGATTGACAGTGGCTTGATTGATTTTGGATCTGATTTTTGCATTTGGATCAAGGAATAGGAAAATGCTGGAAAATGTGTGAACCATAAACTGTAAGCATTTATAAGTAAACATTTAGCCCATTCACTTGCAGATCGAGATGATTGTTGTGCAATCCTCTGTGCTTTCAATATCTCATGTTTAGCTCTTCGAGTAAACATGTAACATTGTAATTCCGAATCGAATTTGGCTGTAGTCATTGCCGGTGAATCTGTACAATCGACAAATGAATTTATGACCGGGTTCATATCAGCGACGTTTTCATTTATAGGAAACTTTGCCTGAAATCTTTTTAAAAAATAAGATTTAAAAATAGGGAAACGATATTTTCCTATAGGAAACACTTACTTTTTAAACAAATCTTTTTTAAATCGTCCATCAAAAAATTTTGGTTCTTGATGATCAGTTTCATTTATAAGGAATGGTAATGAAATGAACACGGTTTTAGAGGATTTTCCACGATCTTCGAAATTGATTAAATTCAATTTGGAAATTCTTTTAAGATTCATATCCTCATATTTTTCAACCTTTTCGATACAGTCATCGAAAAATGCCAGACTTATGTCCTTATCAGATACTAACGATCGTTCTTCAATAAATTTGGTGAACATTTGTGTTCTCGTTAGTTGACTATAAAAACCAATATTCGCTTGGTGTGCTTGAAGAAAGCCCTCAAAATCAAACAATGTTGTTGGATCAGTAGCTCCAACTTTAGGTGCAGCGGTAATCGGTTTTAGATAATGTTGAAAATCTTTCATTATCGAAGCCATGAAATAAAGGAAAGCTTCTTGAATTTCGATCTCTATTTGTTTGTCAAATTTTCTTCTTATGTTTCCATCACGTTCTTTGCTTTTAACACTTTGATCAATTTTTCTCGTTATTTCCTCCAATTTTTCTTTGAGAAATTTTATATTTTTTCGGGGCAATATATCCAAATTGAGCATTCTTTTCGTGTCAGATATATGAATAGCTCGTGTATCTAAACTTATCGATATTACATCGGATGGTGGCTCAAAATAATCAAAATACTGTGAATAAATGCCGACAATAAACGGTAATGGAGCATTGAGAACACCGGCCAAATTCAACGGACATAGTGGAATATATGGACAATTCCAATTGAATGGAAATATCATTGATACAAGAGCTTCAGCGATTTCTGTCAAAATACTCAATCGTAATGAATGAATTAATATCTTCTGTTCAGTTAACATGAATAATAATAAATAGAGACAATTATCAGCTCCAAGATTTTGTAATAATTTTTTGAATGAAGCTCCGTTCGAAGGAATGGGAAAATCATCGAAATTATGTGAAAAAAGTAAATCATCATTTGATGCACCAAGATTGACCATTATGTTTGGACGATCCGGTGTTGGAAAAGGAATGCTCTTCATGAAATGAAACACATAGAATTCAATTGGAACGGTTGAAGGTTTGCAGATAAAGTTTTGATATATAAAATTCAAAAAATTTTTAAACTGATTAAAAAAGGGCCACTGAGATAAGATACACATTGATTTTATTCTTTGCAGACTTTTTTCTTCTAGTGCATTTGCAATTTTTTCTTCATCTTTAGGGTCATCTACAAATTCAAGTTGTATCAATTCATCATTGGTCAACAAATTTGGCTCAATCTCTTCGTAATAATTCAACAAGGTTCCATAAATTTTAGTGCCCACGCTTGTGGTCAATATGAACGTTGAATATGAAAGACCAATCGAATCATTCTTGGGCCAACATTCAATTGATGCGCCCATTGGAAGACAAAACAAAGGCAAATTTTGTGGCAATGGATACTGTGGATTCTCTTCATTTGGGAAACGATCGATGATAATTGGGTTGTATAAAAGATGTGGAGGCCGATCCATGCATTTTTTATAGCATAAATATGCATCAGATCTAAATGCAAGATAGCCCTTATTTAAATTTTTTTCAATCAAACAAAATGCATGTGGAGGAGATTCATTTTTACTGGTCAATATAACGCAAATATCTGTGACAACTAGTTGATTGTAAGGTGTCATTTTTGTTGAACGTCTATATGTTAAATATATTTTTGTCGTTCCAACCGTATTTAAATTTGCAGTAAACCCAGATGGAGTACGTTTTATCATTTTACATTCCGGACTCATTGTTTCACATTCAGCATGTAAAACACCGATATCCAATAATGGTGGCTTGTCACGACCACGTTTAAAACAGATGAAAAATTTTGATCCTTGAATACTACCATGATTGAGATTGGCTTCATGATCATATGGAGTTTTTTCGACACAATAATATCCATGTGGTACTGGTTCCTGGCTACGATTTATCACAGTTATGTCCGTTATTGGATCCAATGTTGGCTGATATGCTGATTCATAATGGCGATCAGTTTCGGCCACCCCAGATACAACAAAATAATCGGATATTCGATTTTCATTCATTTTTTCTTATTCTGATGTCCAGCAATAAAAGAAATAAAATTTATATAATATAATATGTCAACAACAATTGTAATCAAATAAAAATTAAAATACATTATGGCAATGAATTAACGTTGTCTGTATTTTCTTGCCGTTTCATTTTTCATACATGAAAAAGTTTTGATTTGTCATTTCCAAAACGGAAACTACAATGATAACAATTGATAGATATCATTTGATGAATAATAACGATACCAAAAAGGTGACGTAAGTACTTGACAACATATGCTTGTGTTTGTATGTATTTTTAAATTGTGCCGGATGAAATCATGGATTGCAATTCCATTGAAACTGATTTTTCTGATGAAATTAAATTGTTTTGACTATGCTAAAGAATATGATGATAGGTTTTATATTTGTAATTTTTAGTAATTTTGAATTGAATGATGATGATGATGATGACTTTTATTATGATAAAACCATATAAATAAAGATAATTGATGATAGCAAAATCAAATATAAACCACATCAACAAACAACGGCATCATCATCAACACCACGACCATCTGCGTGCAACGATATCGATATATCGATTGTCGACAATTTTCGATGGTTATCAATGATTCGAACCCATTATTTTTTCCGTGATATCCAAAAGCCGAAACAGATCATTCCGATTTCAAAAATGATTGATTTTTATGTTTTTTTTTATAATTGTTACTTTATTCATCAAAATTCATAAATTAAATTTTCATTAATCAGTTTACGATTCGATCATAAAAAAACAAAAAATAATGGAATGTTTATTATCAAGTATATAAAAATTTTAATTAATTTCTGTTTCATATATAAAAAAGGACGAAATTGAGTTATAATTGGAAACATTATTCTCACTTTTAATGTTAAATATTAAATATTTTATTAATGAAAGACTATAGTCTATTTAATGAAAGATTTTGTAAACTTTGGAAAAAATGACCAAATTTTACTACGATTTTGATTGTTTCGTGGAGACCAGTACAATTTTTCGTCTGGTTCTTTTGGAATGGGACCTTGAACTGGTAGATCTTCCATTTTTATTTGTTCAGATTCTGATGGCTGTACTTCTTCGGCCATTTCGATAATATCATTTTGTTTTGATTCAAGTTGCTGTTTAATGACAATCAATTTCTCTTCAAGTATATTAATTCTTTCTCTCCATTCATCATCATTATTATTAGTGTCATTATGCTGGTCATTTTTAGACATTTCGCCATTCGAATCAATAATATTGTTTATTAATGATGAAATTATTTTTCTAATGTTTCTATTTTCCAGATCCAAATTAACCAATTTTCTTTTTAAATCATCATTTTCTTCATTTTTTAATTCTATCTCATTGTTAAGAATTTTGATTTTTGTTTTGAGTTTATCTAGTTGGGCATTATTTATTTCTTTTTGATGACATATAGATGAATGTTCTATATTTATTTCATTTTCTGGTTTTAGATCTATATGTTCCGGAAAAAAAATTCCATTATTGTCATTGATTGACTAAAATTAAGAAAAGAAAAATATCTTACTCATTAATGAATGCGATAAATTCTCACTTGTTTTCATCGAGTTTAATCGATTATTTTCATTTTTAAGATATTTTACATATTGTTCAAGTTTACCATTCTCTTTTCTCCATAATTCATCAATATCTTCAATTTCCATTTGAAACTTTAATTGTTCCTGAATACGTTTCTGATGATCTTTTTGCAATTCATCAATTTGTTTATGTAATTTATCCACTAATTTCAAACAATTATTACGTTGAACGGTTACATCTTCGAGATTTTCCAAAACACGTACAACACATGAAATTAATATTTCAAATGTTTCGGCGCCAAATAATTGTATGAGCTTTTTGAAATGTTCACCAATTTCCGATGCTGATTCATAAATTGATTCCACAGAAATGGACAGATCAATATATTCACATAATTCTAATTCATTAGTATTTGATTTCGTTGAATTTTGCATGGCTGGTTTGCATTTGATCACAGATGAAAGTGTACAAGAACGTATAATAAAGGGCAATTAAAAAAATAAAATCAATAATAATCTATTGATTTTCCACATCATTATGGTGGTTAATTATGTTGTTGATGAAATTTTTTTTTTTTGAGCTCAATTATACTGCACATCACTATTAGAATATACATGACATATACACAATCAAACAAAAACAAATAAAGCCTTGGAATGTATGATGATATATTTCATTTGCCCATATAAAGTCCGCAGCTGCGGCTTTTTATCCGCCATTATTGAATGATTGTTGCAATTTTTTCCTTTGATTCTTTTCTCAATGAACAAATGAATGAATGAATTTTGATTTGATAACCATAAAAATTAGCCTATTATCATAATATAAACAATGATGATGATTCAATAATAAATGAATAAATTGATTTGCAATTGCAATAATCCAACTATCAAATATATCTGTGGATTTCATATATAACTATAATGTATAAGAGTGATGCCTCACATCAATAACCAAAGTGTTAGCCAAAAAAAAAAAAAAAAACGAATCGAAGTATCACTGTATTTATTGAAAGAAAAAGTAAAAGTATAATCAATTCTTGGCAAATCAGCAACTGCAGTTGGGGTATCACATCCACTAATGAGTCATAATGAGTTACCAATTAAAATGTTTTTACACAGTTTAGGGTAAAAAAATAATTTTCAAAAGATTAGAATATAAACATATTTGATTTCTTATTTTTTTCGCCCTTAGGAAAAAATCAGAAAATGTCACACCGGGTACATGTAAACTTTTAATCAAAATGAAATTTAAAGACTGAATGATGATGATGATGATGATGTTCAATGCGTGTTGATAACTAACGTTTATTAATAGCGGTATTCAGAGCCAACATGAACATGACAACATGTATATTTGTGATACATTCAAACATTGTTTTTCACTGTTTCTGTTATGCTCAGCTGTCTGTTTTAACATTGATCAAACAAGAAAAAAAATAAACTTGAAAGAATCAAACATTTGAATCTTCATTCTTGATTTTGATCAAAAATGATAAATAAATAAATAAATTGATTAATATCAAAACTTTAACCTTGAGGAAATCTCCATAATAAATTACTCGCATTACGTCACGTGTTTTTCCAATATCTTTTTTTTATTATTCAACAACATTTTTTCTAGCAAAAAAAAAAAATATTGCGTTGTTATTATTATTGCTTGAACCATGTAAAAAAAATTGTTAATCGACAATCGTAATTTTACTGTTATTGTTCCGAGATCAAGAAAATTACAAAATTGTCAATTATGAGATCTGTCTTGAATTTGTTATGGACCATTCATTCACGTCATTTTAATCATTTTTATAACCATCATCATCATCATCATCATCATTTTATCTACGAAAATATTTGTAAACGTTGTATACATTCAGCTTTACGAATGACATCGCAAGAAGTGGCAACTGCTCTTCGACCATTCATTTTCACTGTACATCCCGATCGTTTCTGGAATCATCCTAAAGAAAAAAATACAAATGAAATATCATTGAAAAGATTGAATGAATTCTTAGGTGATAAAAATGATGGTAAAACCACATCAATCGGTGAAGAGACAATTACATTCTATATTCTTAATAAAGAGGGTTCCAGGTCGAATGAAAAATCTGCACTGAATAAATTTGAAAAAGTGGACATTAAATTAAATAGCAAAGAAAACGTATCGACAACAGTGCACAGGTAAACAGAAGCAAATCCATTGAAATATGAGTAAACAAAAACAATCAAAATTCATTCATTTTGTATTAGGATTTTATCACAATGTTCATTACCAACCGATTATCTGAAAAAGATAAGTCAAGAACCAATCAAACGAAACAATAATCCTTCTAGAAATAACAACAGTTACAATGATGAATGGCCAACGTTTTATCGTCGCCGTGGTAATGAGTATTTTTACAGTAAAGATATTTTCGATGATTTGGAAGCAGAATTATTTCGATCAAATATGGAAATCAATCTAAGTAAATGGTTGAAAGAAAATCATTCATTAGCAATGAAGAAACTTGAAGCCAGTCAACCGATACGTATTGAATTGACTAGACTTAAACAAGAATTGATTGATGAACTCAAATTGATTAATCTTGAATGGAATTGTGATTGGACAGCCAGTCATATTCGTGGAGCTTTAAAAAATTTAAGCATTCTTTCCAAACAATATCCAGAAGATTTTAAAAAATTACATTCAAAAACCGTTGTATTCAGCAGACATAATTGTGTTAGTTTCAAAGGTCAGGTGATCTTAAGTATCGAAGATGTACGTAATAATTGGCTCTATTTGATTCGTTCAATCAAGAGTTATGACTTTTATGTTCAAAATATTCCGCATGCTGAAAAAAAATTATCAGGTAATCATTGAATATCAATTTAATTATAAAAAAATAATGTTTTTTTTTACCAATAAAAAAATTAGGTCTTCTCCAAGATATCACAATAAAACAACCTGAATATAATCTTTGGAATGCAAAAAAATATTTTAATCAACTCGAACGATTTATTCGATCAGTTCAATCATACAACTATGATCGAAATTTTCCATCCAATTGGCCTGCATCATTGGCCGAACATCAACTTATAGTGGAATCCGATTCCGGACCATTGATGTTATCGCCCACTGGTGATTTCATCGTGCCAGCTTCCTGTCCTATTTCTTTGTTGATCAAATTTATCATGGAAAACCTGCATAAAGCCAATCGATTAATTGACAAGGAAGAATTTAATCTGGAACATGAACGTGTAATTAGAAAAGAATGTATCGAAACATTCCAGATGAAACATTTGGATAAAGATGTTAATATTACACCTGAACAAATGATTGATTTTTGTCGCCGAATATTGAATGATAAACAAGAATTTGAAGATTATCTAAAAAATGCTCATATTCAGGTTTCTATGTATTACAGTGTCATGCATGATGGACAAATTTGTGTGCCATTTAATTTCATTAAATGATCATCATCATCATCATTGTTAAATGTACAAATAAAAATCATTTTTTCATGCGAATGAATGCTTTTAACTTCAAAAATGACGTATTTTTTTTATTTTATTTGGTTTGCGAGTACATATGCATGCACTTCGAATTTGTTTATATGTATATATTTTTAAAAGATTTGATTTGTTTTATATAATCAGATTTGTTTAGTCACCTCTTAAACGACAATATGTTGGCGGACAAATTTGTTATTTAGCCAATTTTCAATTGATTCATTTTAACGAGAGCTGATAATTGTGAATCAAACCAAAAAAAAAAATCGATATTATAAATCACGTAAGTGTATCAATCATAACCATATGTAAATTAATGTATCGAGGTTTTTTTTTCATAGTTTTCAATTTGTGATACACTTGTGCTCAAATAATCGAAACAGTTGGAAATTGAGTCGTTGATTTTTTTCTCGTCGAAGGAGAAAAAAAGAAAATTAAAATGACTGATCTAATCCTATCATTTGTGATCTTTGTTGGCTCTATACTATTCGTTATTCTTCTCATATTTTTAGGTTTGTATTTCAGTTGTGCTATTAGATGATTATGATTGATATTAATATTTGTATATATGAATGATTAGGATGGTATTGTGTTTGGAAATTTTTCCTTTGTCGATTTCGTTTGGTTCGTGAATTATTCAGACTCAATGAACAACGACAACAAAGTCCAGATAATATTAATACAAGGATACGTAATCGATCTGTCACCAAAGTTCGGCCACCTAAAATTGACTAAAAAAAAATTAAAATTTTGTCCAATTTCATCATGTGATTATTTTGATTTTATCATCATTATCAATTATAATTAATACAAACAATAGCTGAGAATGAGAAAAACATTTTTTCATTGATGATATTTCCCATGTTTATCATCATTATATATAATGATAACACTACAAACAAACAATTTTTACTAACAAAAATGTGATTGATTGTGTTATTATTATGAAAGAAATTATAATAATTCTGTTGTAGCGAACTAGAAACTGCTGTAAAGAAAAACTATCTGCACATAAACACACAAACACACACACATTACCTAAATCCATTGTACAAACAAAATCCAATACATTCTGTAATATATATGGGATGATAAAAATTCGTGATTCTCACTTGATATTTGAGATCATCAAAACCAGAAACAAGTTCCATTATTATGAGAATATGGTGGCCACTATTTTTCTCGTGAATCATATCTGTCTATATGAAATTATTTTAACCATACAATCTCATTCATTCTTTATATAAAAGTCGATTTTTTTCATACTAATATGTTCTAAATTCATCTTCAAATCACAATGATGAAACAGAAAAAAATTAAAGAATTTGAGACCGAAATCAACAATATTCTTGTTCAATTCAAGAAAGATCCAGCTGTTCAAAATGGAATCGTACATTTTAATGATTTAATTGAACTATCTTCAATTCGTCGCCTGTTTCGGTCGAAAAATCGTTCTGTTTTTACATTATTAAAATATTTGTTTTATTTATCCAGCGTATGGATATTGTTGAATAATGGTCATAATATTATGCGATTTTATCGATCATATTCACAATCAAAATGTTTGATTCCATTACCGGATATCTTACAAAATGCATTCGTTCCAGCTAATGAATGTAATTTTTGTTTAAATCTCACTCGAATTGATCGTGTTCATTCCATTACACCGGAAATTTTTTCGAAAAGGTAAAATTTTTTTTTAATTTTATTAAATTTTCTTGTGAAAACTAACTGTAGTTTAAAGATATGCATACACAAAAGTTCCTGTAGTGGTCAGTGATGCCATGGTGAATTGGACGGCTACACACGTTTTTAATTTTGATTTTTTCAAACGACTTTATCACGATCATGATGGTGGACGGCGAAAACGAAAAAATTGTCAATTCTTTCCATATAGAACTGAATTCCATTCTTTAGATGAAGTATTCCGAATGGATCCTTTAAGATCGAATTTTACAAAAGGAACAAAACCTTGGTATATTGGCTGGTAGGAATTGCGACATTTGATAGTAGAAACATTAGAAAAAAAAACATTTTGATTAATATTTTCATAAAATTATAGGAGTAATTGTGATTATCGTATTGCCAATGAAATACGTAGTCATTATATGAAACCATATTTTCTTCCTGTGGATTCAGAATCAATACGAACCGATTGGATATTCATGGGAACACCGGATAATGGTGCACATATGCATGTAAGTGAAAAAATGATTTTATGATTTCATCTTCAACGAATTTTTATTTTTAAATTCAAAAAAAATAAAAATTAAACATCCATAATTATACAAAAAAATTAATACCGATAAACCAATGGCCATTAATCGATTTCCATGCATTTTGATTGAAAATTTTTTTTTCAATATTTTTGCATTCATACACACATATTTTGTACATTGAGATCGAGATAGAAATTGAAAAATTGAAAAAATGCCCATTATGAAAATCTACCACGATATGTCGTGATGATGAATCATTTTATTTCTATACCAACTGCTGCTGTGAGAATAATCCTTAATTTAATCTTTGTTGTTGTTTTTTTTTCCAAAAACGAGAAGATAATTAATTTATAAAATAACGTTTGATTGCTATTTTGTTGGTTGGATTAACTCCAAAACGGTAGATTAATCATCCGATGATAGGTAAGATTATTGTGGTCAAAAAAAAAAAATTTCTTCACAATTGGACATTAATTGTTTTTTTTCTGTTATACCTTCAAAAGTATCATCATCGAAATTATTTTTCTAATATCAAAAAAAAAAAAAATATAACATCTAGATCTCACGAAACCTCGTCATTCCAATCCGGTGGTAAAGGCCATATTTTTTTCAGTGATTGCGTGAAGAAGATATAACACATTTCATCCTTCGTGATAATGATGGTCATCATACTGTTATTTAAAATTTTTTCTCGTTAAAATTCTCTGATGGTCGAATGAATCCATCTCATCCATCGATCAATTAGGTTTTCCTCTTTACTGTTGCCAACAAAAAAATGAAAAGGTTTTTTCATTTTCTAACTTGTTTTTTTTCTGACACTTGTGGAAATGATCATTTTTTATGATGGATTCACAATAGTTGGTTACATAGGCCATCGAAAATATGGCCGACTTTTCTCATTTTTATGCCTTTTTTTTGCTTTCACTTGGAAACAAAATTGGTGGGATTTTCTTGGTAATAGATCTATAGATACAATCTATCATAGCTTATTAGGGTCAAATGTGGCGGTGATTAATCTTATCATTATTTTTTTTTGTCTAAAGTGTTGCAATATATGATTTGCATGTGTTGATTGATTATTCAATTCAAGATAATGATTTCTGGTTATTTATTTTCAGCAGAAATAATGATGATTCATTCTGTTTCTAGGTTCCACATGAAAGGATAGATTGAAATTTGGTAGGAATTTCAAATTATTTGATTTTATAATGATGAAATTATCTTATTGAATAACTATTGATTCACTTTTTTCTGTGTTTTCAATAATTTTATTAATATATAATGCCACCACTGTCATTCGGATTTCATTTGATCAATGAAATTTAATTTTTTATTTCATTGAAAGAAAAAAATATTTTAAAATTTTAACAATAGATTTTTATTTCTCTTTCTCTGCAATAATCCATCATCAATTGAATGTAATTATTGATAACCATCATCACCAAACATCATTGTCATCGATTTTCTTTCCATTTGCCAAATACATTTGTTAATGATTCATTCGTGAAAAAAAACAGAGAATTATAGACATTCAATTCATTTAGTAAGAGACAAAAAAAATCACCAAAACAATAATTTCTGACCTTCATGCTCTCCTTCTTTTTTTTCTCCAATTCAATTCCTCATTATCCTCCCCTTAGATTCAACCGAAGCTTTTTTACCAATTTCATAGCTTGATTTCATTTATTTTTCATATTCTCCACTCAATCTAATTGTTGTTTCTGATCTTGTACACAAAAAAAAGTGAAAACGCACACACACACAAATTATTACAAAGAAGATTGACTAACTTTACCGCTTATAATAAATTATATTAAGCTGACATTAGTAATGGTATGATGCAAACTAAAACATTTCACTTAAATAAGAGGAATTCATGCATGAATTTTTTACGCTTTCAACAGGTATTCATATATTTTCTAGATGTGAATGTTTCGGACTTACAAAACAAAAACAAAAAATAAAACTCAAAACAATCGAAGATATAAAAAAAAAAAGTTTGAAAATCGGACATTTCGTGATCTGATAGTTTTGAATATAACCGCTCTATTTCGACAACTTTGCACCCAAGTCATAAAGTTTGAAGTTGGAAAAAAAATGAAATTTTATTTTAAAACAGAAAAAAATCATCTATTTAAAAATTTTTATGAAAAAAAAAATTTCATATTTTTCGGACGGATTAATCTTCTTATATTGAGGTGAATTGGATCACATTTTTTTCTTCTTACAATCATACCATACCTATAGTGACGGCGATTTTCAAACACGATAACGAAAGTGACAAAGTTTCATTCCATTTTTAAAAAATAAATTGTATTCATTGTATTGTATACACAAAGATACAAATAAACATTTAACATCATCAATTCATATGTGTTGTTCATTATGAAAACTTGATGATACAATGTGGACAATTGTTGTATACAGGTAGGATTGTATCATCGTTTTTTTTTCGTTGGAGAAAAACGACGTGGATAATTTGTCAATGTTGTCACAAAATATTGGAAAAAAAATTGTACCAAAAAAATGAATGATAACACACAAACTGCAATATTATTTATCGGTCAATCTATGAATGAAATGAAAAAAAACCATCCGATTAATGAATTGATTTGAGATGAATCCGAACGATTTTTTTACCGATCAAATGATTGATTGATTGATACAAGTGATTGAATCGATCCATACAATTAATATTCATTTTTTTCACCCAATAATTAATATTTATCAATTTATCTACGTTGTAAAAAATTGTAATAATTTTCATTATGATTAGTATAATTTTTTCAGGTCGATATTCGATGACTTTGGGCAAAATCGATTGTTATCCGTTCAGTATAATGATTTTTTTTTTCAATTTGTTACAACAAAATGCAATTTTTTTTCTTTGATTGATCTATTTTCTTTATATTCATACTCCATTTCCTTGATAGTTGTGAACACGATTTTCATGATATATGAGAAGCGACAAAAAAAAATTTCAAACAAACGTTGAATGTTGTTATCGTCATTCGATACCATTATTATGATTGATTTTTTCTATTAAAATTTTTTCCATTTGTTTAATGATCCATTAATAACTATTTCAGATTGATCACGTTGGTCGTCCATCATGGCAAGCACAGATTAAAGGTACTAAACGTTGGTTTCTAGAACCACCACTTGAATGTTATCCAGAATGTTTGGATTTAACAATCGATGTCAAACAAGGAGATATCAGTGAGTAATAATACATTCATTGCTCAATAATTACGGAAGATTCTTCTCTAATTGGTCTAATTCACTTTGCTTTGTTTTTTCTTTTCTTTTTTTCTCATTTATCCTTGATATAGTTGTATTAGACACCAATATATGGTATCATAAAACATTAATTATTGGCGATGAAATTAGCTTGACGATTGGAGCTGAATATGATTGAATTGATTTTTTTGTTTATTTGGATTTTTTTAACATTACATTCATCATTAGATTATTATAGAATTGTATGCATTTGTGTTGTTTTCAATTGCAAACACAAACATATGTTTAAACTTTGATTTGTTCCCTGCATATATAATTTTTTTGAGAAATTTGATCCAAATCTAAATGATAATCATTCGTAAATGAAAGCAAACAATAAATGAATGAATGAATAGAAAAAATTCACCGATGTTGTTTATTCAATTCAATCATCAATTTTGATTTTACTATTCAAACTCTATTGTTTATATGTTTGTATGCAGGCAATTCAGCTCAATCATCACTAATCATAATCATCATCATCATTATCAATGATATGAAAATAAAAAAAAACTGAAATAAACCGGAAAAATGATGCTAAATACCTATACAATTGAAACTATTCTTTTTTTTCCTCCTGGTTGTCTATCATTATCTTTGTTTCGTTTGTTCCATTTTGTATTACATATTAGACAATAAGCACCTAAGTGGATGACTATGTTTGAAAAGATTTGTGATTATGAAAAATAAAAATAAAAATAAAATGAATAAGAAAAGAAATTGTCAAAAGAGAAAGAGAGGTGAGTTACCCATTGAATAATGAGCATAAAGATTTTATCCAGCCATTCATCCATCTAATTTCAAATGAACTCGTTACAGGTTGAAGTCGATGTTCTCAAGATGATGAGCGCGTGCATACATGCACACATTTGCATTTGCCCATTGTCAATAAGTTTTAAATAAATTAATGAATGAGTGAGAAATAAAACTTTTTTTTCCATCACAGGATATATAAAAATAACAAAAAAAAAAAAAAATAAAAATGTAAAGAGAAAGAAAATTAATGTCGGAATTTATAAACGGTGGCAGCTACGATTCACATGGACAAATCAAAATGATCATCAACATGATTCGATCAATGATGGTAAGCAATTTGGTCACAAGATTAACATCAATTGATATAACGATCGATCAATCAATTGATTTTTGATGATCAATTGGATCAATCGATTCGTTATGACATTAGATAAAAAGAAAGAGAATTTTTAAATAGAAAAAAATTGTACATGTCCGGCAGCAATAATCCAACTTGATGATTATTGGACATAATGATGATGATGGAAGATGTTGATATTATTCAAATATAGAAATAAGAAAAAAATACATAAAATAGGAAGAAACGTTTTTTGAATTTCTAACCCGACAAGTGATTTTGCATTTTTTTTCACTTGTCGAACATTTTTTTTTCATATAAGTTAACAAAATGTCTTTCTCAAAAAAAAAAAAACGATATGCTAGGTGGAAATAAAACACTCCACAAGATGATGTTGATTATGTTGGCAACGGTAGTTTGCAAATTTTTATTTTTACAAATCCCGCATTTATACATGAATTCGTCATTTTGCAAACATTACTAGAAAAACGGGTTCGGTTCATCATATGAAAAATTAGTATAGTTCATAGACATTGGATTTAGCACAACGTCTTGATGATGAATGAAAATTATTCATTCATTTTAAATCTTCTTGATGATGATGCAATTAAACAATAATAAACAACATTTATTAGATTGTAAATCAAAACCCTCAATGGATGAATGAATTTAATGATGAAAAAAAAAACAATAATTGGAAATTCCACACATTTAGTATACGAGTTCAATTTCTAAAAAAAAACTCATAAAGGAATTTTATTTGTCAAAATATTTATAAAAACTCTGATCAAAGATCATCTAATTAGATGACTAGAATTTTTTTCCCCACTTAATGATGATCAACACATTCTTCGCCAAAATCTATATATAAACATCAGAATGACTACGTTTATTAGTGCGGAAATGTTTGTTTCATTAGAAATGATATTCGACTTAATGACTTACAATAATCATCCCATTGCTATATTGACAAAGTTCTTCATCATCAATTGACTAAAATTATTATGGTTTGAATTTCAAGACAAGCAGTGATTGTTATTGGTTTGATTAACCTGGTGAACAAGGTGTGTGTGTGTGTATACATTTATTCGAAATATCATTAATCAATATAAGAACAAAATCCAATTTTTCAAGTTTAATATAATCATTAGGTTATAAATAAATCGAACAATAACAATAAATACTCATCATCAGTACTTGGCAGCATCATTCGTAAATGGTTTATTTATGGGATCGGCATATGATGTTTTTTAGACTTTATGGTTTTTAAATGAACAATTAATGATGTCAATGTGTTTGTGTTTATTATAATGTAAAATGTATGCGATAGATATTCGACTGACAAACAGATCAAAATCAAATAGAGATAACGAAAAAATTGATAGAGAGATAGAACTGTTCTGGATGTTAAAATACAATCACTTTTTTTTTGATCAAAACACAAACACAATGCATCTATGAATAATTTTTTTCCGTGTTTCAAACCACCATTTTCAAGCCTGATCGATTTTGTCGTTGTTGCCATTTTCTGCCATCATATCAAACATCACCTTCAGTTTCTATACGATGAACCAATATCGCAATATAACTTAGACAACAACAGGTTGCCAGCAATGTATTATGATGCTGAATAATACACACCGATATCAAGCAATGTGAATGAATTAAGAGTCTTGTCCTTAATGCTTTTATTTGAAGCAGCAATGCAATGTTTTAGTTATATTATAATATCATCGTCATTCATTCAATGATCGTAGCCATAATAAAGTATATCAAGTTGAAGAATGTAGAAAAAAAGTAGTTTTCTTGATATCCAGTCCAGTTGCAATATGAATTGTATGTGTTATTCGCGGTAGCTATGTTCTTGAATAAAAATCTCCTTTTTTATTGATTCATTTTTTCAGTCATTTTAGTCAAGTTTAAAATTATTGAGCATATTTTCGCTATTTTCTATTTGATTTTCAATTTTTGCATCGTATTTGTCGTTTTTTTTTGTTCGCAATCCCTGTTGTTGTCCTCTTAAGATTGACGAATTCGTGTGTATGAATTGAAAAAAGAGACTCGTTTATAGATTTTCGGTGGTATAGTTTGTTCACATTTCACTCACCTATTTTACAATGCACGGCGTCGGCAACGGCAACAACGACCACTGATTTGGCTCGCGACTCTAATGTACTCGGTTCGCCTTCCTATTTTTCTTTCCATCTTAGCCATCATAGTCATCATCATCATCATCAAGCCATCTTTCAAAGTTTCAACGGACTGAATGTTTTTTGTTGTTGTTGTTGTCGTTGATAATAATGAAGAATGAATGGGCAAAAAACATGCTTTAAGTTTACGAATAGCAAAAAAAAGTCAAAGAGAGCCCAGTTTGAGATACAGAACACACATAAGCACATACACATAGCACTCTTTGTCCTCGATATATCGTTGGCTTTTTTTTCGGAATGTGAAACGTATTAATGCCGAAAATATGTATGGCTGTTGTATTTTGCGAAGTGATTCACTATGAGTAAACGTGAAAAAACTCATCCTGTAAGTTTTTTTTCATTCACTACTTTGGTTTCCTTTAAAGTTGAAAAATCGGCATCGTATCGAACACCACTACATCTAGATTTAGCATCAACGATCTATGATGACCGATTATAATACCTCAACAACATCATCACCAAGCCAATGATCGGCTTTTTCTAATATTGGAATGATGATGATGATCGAAACTACCTTGTGTTGTTCTAAGAAACATTGACCAAAATATTTTTTCTCCCTTATAATCGTCCATGTTTGATGTGAATGTGTGTGTGTGTGTGTGTGTAGCATTCATTTTTCAGCATCGGTAAATATGTTTATTTTTCATTGGTCAAATTAATCTTCTCTTTGGATCTTGTTTCGTCGATAGTAACGACGAATGACGATGATGATAATCAGTGTTTAACTTTGTTATCATCTGTTAACCCACATTTTTCAATATTCACAAATATTTATCAGTTCAACTTGTGAATTCTTTACATACATTCCAATCAATCTAAATGATTATCATTTGTGAAAAATTTATTTCCATTCAATCAACAAGTGGTTGTGATTAATAAATTTTAACATTTTAATTTCCATATTTGGTGAACCAAGTGACATAATTAAACGTGAAGTGATTGTATTTTTTGAAATATTCTACATTTTATTTTTTGTGATTATCATAGATTTATTTGATCAATCAATCATCTTGAAAGAACTGCTTAGCTATGGCAGCAATAATGGTTGACTATGATTGTAATGATGATGGTGAAATCTATCCATTACCTCGTTTGAAGTGCTCAACATTTCAGCGACATATATCAAATCATAAATATTGGTGTGGAATAATCTTTTTAATTTTAATTGCCACAAACATCGAAGCTGCTAATTACGATAATGTTGACATAATCCTAAGTGAAAATATACCATGTTTAGGAAGTTGGAGATATCCATCAAATTGTTCGGGTTTTAATTGTGATTATAAAGCCACATGGCAATATTTCGATGAAAGTGATGAGATTGTATTTACTATTAGTACTAAAAATCGAAACAAATGGACTGGTATCGGATTCTCTGATAATACATACATGTCCAACAGTGATGCTGTATTGGGTCTTGTTGAAGAAAGGTATATGATGATGTTTTAAAATTTAAAAATTCAACATTATAAAATTCTGGCTATTTTTTTATAATTTTTTTCAGTGGAAGATTTTTCTTAATGGATAGCTTTCTAAAGGCTTATGAAGCTCCTCCATTGGATTATCAGCAAAATCTTTATAATATGAGTGCATGGCGAGAGAATGGTCTAACAACATTACGATTTTCGCGACCAAGACAAACAGGCGATGCCAGAGATTATCAATTTAGCGATACTGATTGTCCTTATTTCATGTTTCCTGTTATGGGTGGCGTTTTCAATGCCGTCAATAAACGAATAAGAAAACACGAAAGTACACCTATTATCTCGGACGAAAGAATTTGTGTTCACAGTTGCCAAATAATGTCGCCAACAATATCAACAACGATAATGACGACAACGTCAACAACAACTTTTCCACCATCAACATCTAATCAACAGAATAAGAACAACAATAATAATAACAAAGAGTCATCTATTCTGCCCGGAAGCGATTTGGACACTGCTGCAGACAAAATTAAAATTTATCAAGCTGAAATCAAATTCCTGAATTTAATGGATAATAATAAACCACCGACAAATGAAGTGCTTAAAATGGTCGAACATAATCTGCATCTCGAATTGAAACCATATTTCGATCGAGTCAAAAAAATTGAGATTAATGAATTGAAAATGGATCCAAATAACAATGTTGCTATCATTGATTTATCCATTTCACAAGACGATAAAAATGAAAAAGAGGATATTCGAGCTTTGACCTCAGCACTTAATTCCATCATGAAAGATGGCCAAATTGGAAGATGGAATATCGATTCTAATCATTTAGTAGTTACGCCAAAAGAAGACAAAGCTAATGGATGGATGAGTATGTGTGTTTTCTTCTATTTTATGGCTGAAATTTTAATTTTTTTTTATTCTACCTAAAAGATTTATTCTTGGCTAGTTTTAATCGATTTAATGAAGAAGAACAAAGATGGATCATTATCGGAGCCGGATTATCAGCTCTGTTATTGCTAGCTTTGATACAATTATTGTGTATGTTCTGTAGTTGTGGTTGCGGATGTGGATGTCGAAAGAAAAAATCGGAGCAAGAGGATTATTTAGATGAAAAAGCAAGTTTCAAAACAGATTGAAATGTGAAGATAATAATAAGTTTTATTATTAAACAAATTTAGGATGATAAACAATGGGCTCATGATCATTATCAATCATCAATGTTCAATGGTCTATATAGTGTTGATGATCCTTATGGGTATCAAGGTAAATCCAATAGTCTACATAAGAATTATCGTGGTCACAATGGGGGTGATCATGATCCACGATTGATGCAATCATATGCAAATGGTCATCATTCTGCATATAGCCATCAAAGTTTGGACCGAAGACATTATCAAGAACAACAGCATATGCGAAGGCAACAGATTCCGATGGGCTATGAGATGAATGAACGACAACAACAACAACAACATCATCACCATCATCATCATAATCATGCAAGTCGAGGACCGAATGGACAACATTCACATCTACAGCCAGATTTTTATTTCATGCCACATCAACGAAAATATTCGTCGGATGTAGTTCGCGTTTTTGTTGATTACGATGGCAACTAACTTATCGATCAATCTAATCACTATAAGTGTTGCTTTAATCATCAATTATTATTTCATATTTTCGCCAGTCAAATCCCCTCCTTTTTTCCACTTCAAGTTCCATCATTTTTTTTTATCACATTCATCATTTATCATCGTCATCATTTTTTTTGTACAAAATAGCAATTATTTTTAAGACAATTTTATTTTTATTTTTTTCGGTTACAATGTGCCATTATGAGAAAACTTAAGCAATATTTGTAAATAATGAGATTTTTTGAAAGGGAAATAAAAGCCATATAATAAAAATGAAAAACATTATCATATATTATTGACCAATGATTTTCGTATTGATCAGAGTCAATTGAGCATCATCCAACTTTCGTATCGGTTCTTTTTTCATTACCGATTGATTGAAATCAAGAACACAATCCTCGAGTATTAAATGTCCCGATTTTAAACAAATCAATTGATCAATCGGATGTACGGCTTTGATAGTAACATTAGATATTTTCAATGTTCCAGGAACATTAACAAATATGAATAAATCTCCACAATCATGACTTGAACAAATTTTCACATCTGGTTCGATACCATAGATTTCTAGATTTTTTTCAATCCAAGATAATTTCTGTACATGATTTCCGGCACATAAATAAATGCTATCACCTGATTTAGAACGGCTCAATGCTTTTGGAAACGAATCATGTAATTTAACTTTTGTTTTTGTTTTTTCTTCCTATGAAAATGATTTTAACACAAAAAATTATTATTCTAATCATGTTATTCGACTTACCGTGAGAGAAAAGCCCAATTTTGCAACTGCTTTTGACAACGATTCAAAATCAGAGTTTGAAACAAGATGTAAAACTCTTTCGTTATCGAGATCATCAAATTCTTCAGAAACAAATTCTTCGTAAAGGTTGCGTAATTCAGGATTTTCAATAAACCGCATGGCACGTTGATATTTTTCCAATTTTATTGTCAATCTCCAATATTCTACTGAATTTATATCATTGAAGTAATCTTCATCCTGTTGAAGTTCTTGCTCTTTTTTGCAAATCAAATTCAATTTATCCATTGATTTCTTAATCGATTGTGCTTCGGAAATAATACTTTCAAAACGAGAAATGATATTTTTATCAATAACATTATTTTTGATATCGAAAACTAAATTCAAACGAGGAATAAATCTATGAGTTAAGAATATTTCATCATGATATTGATCATCAACATCATCCCATGGGCGCCAAAGATTAAGATAAAAGAAACGAATCACCTCGATAATGAAAGCTGTTTTATAGAATAATTTATCTTCATCATCGTCAGATATGACAAATAATTCGATTAAGGGTACTTTTCTTTCACCAAGTTCATTCAGCTCATTCACCAATGCGTCATCATCATCTTCATTATTGTTGTTATTGTTCGACACTCGTTTCATAATCAAAACGGAAGCTTCCATTGATTCCAAAACATTTGTGACTTCAACTAAAAAACGGCTTGAATGACGAAAATTATCCGACCATGGGATCCAGATTGCTTTCCATCCAACTGGCTCTATATTATTGGTTATATAATTTGAGAATGAATCAAATACGGAATCAATGGGAACATCTTGGAGAATTTCTTCATAGATTTTTTCAAGATCAGCACGGAGAAATTTGAAATTATAGGTTTCATATTTTGGCTTTTCTTCTTCCAAACTATCCGTATCACAACCCGAATCGATAGGCATTGAGGACATGATTAGTTAGTTTAAATTTTTGATGCCAAACAAATGATCGACCGTTGGAAGAAAAAATTGAGGCGCGAAAAATGCAACAACTCTGTAATACACGGTATTTATGAATAAGGTCACCAGCTCAGGCATGCCGATTTTTCATTTTGTTCATCTCAAATCAAGATATTTGAAAAATTTTTATTTTTTAGATTTTTCCAATTATGGAGTCAAGTATGGATACTACTGATAATCTGGATGATCTTCTTCATAAGGCCGAACAATTAACGGCCATAATTGATGGCAACATTGAAATGCCACGTATTGAAAGAAATTTGAAACAATTATTGGAAGCCAGTGATCAAATGTATACAAGAACAACTACATCATCGGCGAAAGATGCAAACGATGTACGAGCTTCAGTATTGCTTGGCTCGAAAGGATTCGATTTACAAAAAGTGAGTCAACAATTAGAATCGCTGAATCAGATGAAGAAACCGATCCAAATTGAAACTGAAACCGATTCTGACATTCAAGGATTTCTCAAGAAAGAATATGAAAATGCTATTGTCAAAAATATTGAAAATGTCCGATCATCTACCATTGATATGTCGGATAAATTTTATCTGAATTATATACAAAAAGAATGGAATGATCAGAAAACCCGTATTTTGAACGCTTTAGTCGGTCCTGATGAGATAAAAGATATGAGCTTTGATCTTACAATCGATTCTTTAAATGTTCGTAGCTCTCCACATCAACAATCTCAGCAAAGAGCCAAATTATATTTCGACAAAACATTCATCGATAAATCTTCAATATCATCAATGAATGCAACAGAGATGGCATTCGCTAAAGAAGTAATTAAATATGTCGATCAGGCAGTCAACACATCGATTCAAACTGATCTTACTGAAACATTTTGCACTGTGGCTCGAAACATAATTGGAGAAAGCTCGGTTATTGATCTTTGGTCAATGGTTTCCTCGCTTTTTTCAGCTGATATGCCTCAAATATCTCAAAAAGATCCGTTGATGCGAAGACAAAATTTTAAATTGAATCTCCATTTCCTCAATAAATCCTGTCATTATTTAGAACAGAAATTTGTTCAAACAATGCAAGGAATTGTCAATGATCCGATTGGCCAAAATATTACCGCCGATGTAATTTACCGATTAGTCAAAGATTATTTAAATATCAAGACACCATTCTATTCTAGCAATACATCGTTTAATCTTGGCATATCATCTAAAGATGTTTGGGAAGACGGTACCGTTGATGGTATTCCAGTGTGGTGTTTCATCTTTTATTGTCTTCGTGCTGGTTCAATCGATGCTGCTATCCAAGTAGCACAGAAGATATTAAATCATTCATTGAAAAATGAATTAACAAACATATTGCGCGATTACAAAGCAAGTCATGATGGATATTTGAGTCGTAAAACTGAAGAAGCTCTTCGACTGACTTATCAGAAAAGTGTTCGCTTAAGCAATGATATATTCAAGAAATCTGTCTACTCCATATTTGCCCGATGTGCGCACGATGAATTTGATCCGCAAATATTCGACAAAGTGGATGACTTTTTATGGATCAAATTGAAAAAAGTTTCATTTAACGATTCAGAAAATGAACAATTTTTAACCACTTCGATAACTTCTGTTGATCAATTTGATTTGTGTAAATTTAAAAAAGAAATCATTGAAGAATTGGGTGAAAATTATTTTGAAGCTCAAGAACAACCTTTTCTTTATTTTCGAGCTTTGTTCCTAACCCTACAATGGGAAGCAGCTATTGAATTTTTATTCCGTTTCGATGCATATCGTTGTTATGCATTACATATAGCATTGGCTTTACATGAAAAAAATTTGATTGTACCATCACAACACATAAAATTGTCTATATTATCTCGATCACCAAATGATCCAGCTGATATTCAACGATTGAATTTGGCAAAATTTATCAGTATTTATACGAAAAAATTTGAAATAACCAACACAATTGATGTTGTTTACTATTATTATTTTCTTCATGATATTCATACACCATCGGAAGAATCACTATTTAATTCCTATGTTTCACAATTAGTACGAGAAACGAAAAATTATGATTTACTCTTAGGTTATATAAACACTGATGGTGTTCGTGTTTCCGGAGCTATTGATAAATTTAATCAAGATGTCAGTGTCATCATAACAAAAGTGGCCATTGATTTGGAAAAAGATGGATATTTTGAAGATGCTGTTCAATTATATGATTTGGCTGGAAATCATTCTAAAGTTTTGTCATTACTCAATAAAATTCTTAGTCCATTGGTTTCACAACATAAGAATGTTGACTCTAAACGTAATCGTATCGAAGAATTTGCTATACGAATTGCTGAACGGTAAATTTTGATATTTTTCTATTATAAAAAATATTAATTTAATGAATCATTATATTTTCAAATCATTATTAGGTATTGTAATCAAAAATGTAATGCCTCAAAAGAATTGAAATCTACTTTTTATTTGCTGATTGATTTAATGACATTTTTCGATTATTATCATAATCAACAATATAATGAAGCATTAGATGTATGTATCTGTAATTTGTTTTGAAATGATATACCTTATTTATCGTGATTATTATAATATTTTTTATATTTAGACCATTATAAAATTAAACATATTTCCATTGCGACCATCAGAAATTGATGGTAAAGTTAATGACTTTACTAATTATCCAGATGAGATTAGACGAAACATACCAGATCTTTTATTGGCAACAATGGATATTCTATGTGCTCAATATAAAGAAATCAAGTAAAGTTTTTTTTCAATTATCGTCGTCAAGTTAATCATTTTATTTCCACAGAAATTCAATACCGAAAATTATCAATAAATTTGGATTTCTTGGCGATGCTTCAAATAAAGAACAGGTAACATATTAATTATTAGTTTATTTAAAATTGAATCTCATTTTTTTTGGTCATCATTTTTTTAAAGCTTTGTATCGAATTACGAGAGAAGGCAAAATCTCTTATTACTTTTGCTGGAATGGTACCATATCGTATGCCTGGCGATGTTAATGCCAAATTAATTCAATTAGAATCATCTATGACTTGATTTTGTAAATTGTTTTTTTTTCTTCTTACATTTGAATTGAATAAATAAATTGAATCATTTTTTTCTTGTTTAACATTACACCAATCACTATTTGATTTGACCGGCGGCATTTAATTTAAACGGCTTTTTTAACACTTGTATGGCTAAAAACACCCAATAATGTCTCAAGTCACGCTTTTTTTCAGTGTGGGTACCACACCAAACTCACGCATGCATCTTTTTGATGTCCTTATAAATTTACTGTCGTTATTCTCTGTTCTTTCTGGTCGTGTTCGGTGTGGAATTGTTATTCTCTGTCTGTATGTGTGTGTGTGTGTGTATTTGTGTATTTGTCCACTTTTAGCCTACATATTTTTATTCAACAATTTCAATTTGTTTTTTCTCAATGTGAGAAAAAATATAGTTTGAAAATAATTATTTCTCAATTGAATTTTGAACAATAAAAATTGCCATCAAACATTAATTCAAAATCTGTAGGTACTCAGCTCTTTATATATAAAAAAAAATATTCAACTTTCGTCAGATGCCGCTTTCCATTGGTTTGGATTTAACAGATTTTTTTCTATTAATTCTATTTATAATTACGTTACGCCTTTCATTCATCATCATCATAATGTGTTTTAATTTCCTATTTCTTTCGTTTTTTTATTCAAAAATTCTTAGTCTGATTTTTTTCCTCTTGATTCAGGTATTTGTAACACGTCGAGCAACGTTTTTCAATGTCTGTGAATACACCAACATCGTCTTCATCACAAGTGCTTCCTCCACGTGAGGCCTCTTTATTTAAAAAGATTCTGAAACATTTTAAAGATAAACAATTCAAAAATGGCTTGAAAATATGCAATCAAATATTGTCGAATCCGAAATTTGCCGAACATGGCGAAACCCTTTCGATGAAAGGTTTGATTTTAAATTCGATGGGAAAAAAACAAGAAGCGCTTGAATATGTACGAAAAGGTTTAAAGAATGATGTAAAATCGCATGTTTGTTGGCATGTGTTTGGTTTGCTACAAAAAGCCGATCATAAATATGAAGAGGCCATCAAATGTTACCGTAATGCCTTAAGATGGAAAAAAGATTCCGTCCAAATTTTATCGGACTTGAGCCTGGTTCAAATTCAAACCAGAGATTTAGAAGGCTATAGAGATTCTCGTTATCAATTATTTTCACTCCGTCCGGGTGAAAGATCAACATGGATTGGTTGTGCTATGGCCTATCATTTGACTGGCGATCACATGACAGCGATAAATATTCTAACTGAATATCAAAAATCATCATCCACTGGTAATAATGCTCGCAACCGAAATAGTCGTCGTCAAAACAATGAAATCTACGAACATTCAGAATTGTTACTTTATCATGTTTTTATTCTATTTGAATGTAATCGATTTGATGAAGCATTATCATTACTGGATTCTCATGAGAACGATATTGTCGATAAAGTATCATATTTCGAATACAAATGTCGAATTTATTTGGCGCTCGAACGTTTTGAAGATGCCCAATATATTCTTTTAAAACAATTAATTGATCGTAATCCTGAAAATGCCGCTTATTTTACTTTACTCGAACAGGCCAAACAAATAAACTCAGATGATGAAGCACAAAGGTTACAACTATATGAAGAAATGGCCAAGGTATATCCTCGTTCGCAAACTGTGGCACGTATCCCTTTGAATTTTGTCACCATTATTGATGTTTTTCGAACAAAAATCGATGCTTACCTGAAAAAAGGCTTCCGTAAAGGACAGCCAGCATTATTTCGTGATCTGAAAAATCTTTATCGAAAAGAATTGAAAAATTGTCTATCATCATTAACCGGCGCAAAATTGGATACATCGTTAAGCCCGAATATTACTCGTCAAGAATTGGCTGCAATAATCAAAAGCCATAGGACGATTCGTTTGTCACCAAAGATTGAAGTCATTGAAAATTTATTGCTTGATTATACAGAAAATTTGTTGACCAATTGTACATTTGATGGACAATCTGAAGACGAAGAATCGGCCACTTGTTTGCTTTGGGTCTATTATTTTCTTGCTCAGCATTTTGATGTGCTTAAAGAATTCACCATAGCTCTACATTTTGCCAATCTTGCATTGGTTCATACGCCAACTTTGATCGATATATTTGTCATCAAGGCTAAAATTTTCAAACATGCTGGTCTATTGGAAAAAGCAGTAAAATGTTTGGATGAAGCGCAAAGTTTGGACACTTCAGACAGATATTTGAATTCAAAATGTGCTAAATATCTGATTCGAGTGAACAAAATTAAAGAAGCAGAAGATATGTGCTTAAAATTTACTCGTGAAGGTGTTTCAGCTGCCGAGAATCTAAATGAAATGCAGTGTATGTGGTTCCAGAATGAGGTAGCCAAAGCATACAAACGTATGGGTATGTGGGGATCAGCATTGCTCAAATGTATCCAAATTGACAATCATTTTGCTGAGATTAGTGAAGATCAATTTGATTTTAATACATATTGTATATTAAAAGTGACACTACGTGCTTATGTCAAAATGATTAGACTTGAGGATCGAATCAAATCACATCGATTCTTCATTAATGCAGCACAAACAGCCATCGAAATCTATTTAAGGTATGTATTGGATTTTTGCCACAGTAACTGTTTAAGTGTTTATTTCTTGAATCGATAGGTTGTACGATAATCCAATCGATAGTAAATCGGAAACAGATAGTGATATCAATTCTAATCTTTCGGCATCAGAATTGCGTAAGATGCGTAACAAACAACGAAAAGCAATGCTCAAAGCTACGGCAGAGAAAGAACAAAATGATAAGTTGCAGAAAAAAGCTAATGCCAAAAAAGATGGCGAATTTAAAACTGAAGAAACAGAATTCATCGATCCAATAAAATTGGAAAAAACTGAAGATCCTCTTCAAGATGCTGCACGTTTTTTAAATCCGGTAAAAATATTTGGTGGTGAATTGGAAGAAATTCATATGCTCGCTTTTGAAGTCTATTATCGTAAAGGAAAATTACTGCTGCAATTACAATGTTTGAAAAGAGCATATCGTATTTGTTCGCCTGGCTCTCGATTCTATCCTTTATTATTAGGTCAAACTTCATTGTTTTTGAATTATTTGATTTCGTTAAAAGAACAATTGAATGAATCAATACGTGCTGTGCTTTTGCAAGTGCTACCAACTATCGAAGTTTTCCAATTGAAAAAACAGCTCAAAGGTGATACATTTGATATATTTACTGAACTGCCAACTGTTGAACATTTCATTGGTCAGTATCTGCCGCCGGATTCAGGTTCATTTTTGATCCGCGTTGAACACATTAAAGTCAAAAATCTATTGTCAAAATTTGGTCATCCAATGCCAAATGCATCGAATAGTTTGCCAAATGGAAAGCCAGAATCAGTAATGGCATCTGCAGAGATCGAAACAGCTTTATCCTGTTTAATCGTCGATTTAGTAAAATTATCCGGTTTATCATTGGAAAGTTGTGCCGAATTTTTTCATTCGATTAAAAGTAACCAATTTGGCCAGTTACCAAATGATGAGGTTGAAAATTTGCGTGAAACATTACACTCACTATATCCATTTGCATCTTGTTTTATGAATGAAAAACAGTTGGAAAATTTAGAGAATGAATTATCAATGAGTGATTATTTTACGGCCGAACCAGAAGAATATAACTGTAATGTCAATGATGAAAATTGACATTTTGAATTTAATTTTTCTATTTATATATAAAAAAAACTATATATAAACATGAATAAATATACAAAAACAATGATGCAAATTCTAGTGATTGATCGTTTTATGTACTATTATATTATTATTATTATTATTATTTTTAATTCTGATGATTGTCAAAATTATAATCAAAAAATCGAGATTCAATTACAATAAAAACTAATATTTTATTCAAAAAAAAAAAAAAAAAAATTTTTTTTAATGCAAATGAAAATGTCAGATGTCGTTACATTGCTTGTTTTTCTATATCACTTTTGTAGTAGTGGTCTTTTCGATCATTCGATTCATTCGCGAATGAATGTCGGAATCATCACAATGTTATATGTGTGTAATCTTGTGTATATGTGGTTGAATTTATGCGTGTTTATATCTGTGTGTATGTGTGTGTGTTTTGGTCCTTTAATTTTTGCTCTTTTAATTTTTTTTTCCTATATATATATCCGGCAATAATAATTCTGATGAAAAATTTTTTCATAATACAATATAACCAATCATATAATCGTCATCATATCTGAATTTCTTATCAATCTTTTAATAAAGATAAATAAATTACATTACATATATGGGTCTAAAAGCCTGATGATATGAAGGTAAGCATAATATTGTTGTATTATTTGTATTGAGAACATATTATAAAAATAGTACAAAACAACAATAACAAGAATAAGAAGATGAATTTATCATTGAAATGTGATTTTTTCAATTTGGTTTTTTGTTTTTGTTTTTGATCTTGATCGTCTTTAATATCTTATTCGGGTAGCTTATCCGAATACAAATAAAATATATCAGTAGTAAAAACAATCAATTTTTTTAATCTTCACTCGAATTATTTCGAAAGACTGAAAATCAATGTATGTGTATATGATTCCTTTGTATAGTATTTTTTGAGCCAATACTTGTACTTGTGTGTATTGTATTTTCTATCTGTTTTTTTTTGTTTGCATTTTCTGATTCGGTTTTGGATCGATCATATGTGTGTGTGTGTGATGTGATTGATAAAATCGAAGAAAATCAAATTGTTTTTGTTTTATTTTATTTTGTTGTTTTTCCCGATAATTATTACAAATAAAAAATTGATAATTCTGAATGTTGATCAACGACTCAATAGGAATTTTTTTCATTTTATTTTTTTGTGTGTACTTGTTGCCATGCCAGCCATGATTCTATCCGTTTATTTTTCTCATTCATTCAAAAATTTAATAAAATGATTTTTTGATGACACTTTTCATTTACTCATAACTGAAAAACAACTAAAAATTTTCCGTGTTTTTTTCCCAAATTCAAAGGATATTAATTTTTGTTAAATTTATCAATCATTAGGGATAGGAAATTGAACAACGTATCGATTTTTTTTGTTAATTTTCTCATTTTTTTGGCTATATACAGTTGTTATGATACATTTTTTTAAAAAAAGAGACGAATCATCTAGTGCATGTAATAAAAATTGAAAAAAATCGCTTACTCAATATTGACGTGATTTTCACTTGAAAATTGCTGTATTTTATTGATGAAAAATTAAATAGAACAAATTCAAAGAAATTCAACCGCAAAAATGATGGAAGACAATCCAAACGCAGGTAAATTATTCAAACATTATTTCTTATATTGAGAAATTGATAATTGATTAATGATTGATATTTGATATAGATATTTGTCGAGTTTGTCGCTGTGAAGGCACACCGGAAAAGCCATTATATCATCCATGCATATGTACGGGTAGCATAAAATTTATACATCAAGAATGGTATGTATTACATTATTTTTCTTCATAACTTGATTAATAAAAATTTTTCTTTCTAAAATAGCCTAGTTCAATGGCTTCGTTATAGCGATAAAGAATTCTGTGAATTATGTAATCACAGATTCTCGTTTATTCCAAGTAAGCAAATTGTGTGATCAATCTTGAAATTGATAAAGAATACACTTTGTTTTCCATTAATTCAGTATATTCACCTGATATGCCGAAAAGATTACCTATTAAAGACATTATGAGCGTATTGCTTAGATGTCTTTTTACGGCAGCACGTTATTGGTTTCAATATACACTGGTTGCTGCCGCTTGGCTTGGTTTAATTCCGTTAACTGCTTGTATGTGTGGTATTAATGTACAAAAAAATCTTTTACACTATTCTTATTTTCATTCATTATAGATCGGATTTACATGTTTTTATTCAATTATTCATGGAGCGATGTCATGAATTTCACCGTTGAATTTTACAAACCCGAAACACTATTCTCTGATGGATTTTATGGATGCTGTGTAGTTATGTGTACGCTTTGTACATTTATATTTGTATTGTGGTTACGAGAACAGATCATTCGAGTTGGAGCTCCTGATTGGCTTGAAAGACCTTTCGAGCGAAATGCTTTATTCAGGTTGTTGATGCGTGATCAAAATGTCGAGCCAAATGCAAATAATGACGAAGACGATGATGAAGACGAAGGTGATGATGATGAGGATAATGATGATGAAGAAGAAGACAACGATGAAGATGAAGATGAAAGAATTCTTGACGGAGAAGTGGCCGAAATCAACAATAACACCGATAACAACTTAATGGTTGAAAATGATGCCATAAATGAAAATGAGAATGGACAGGAAAACTTGCCAGCAGTCGTACAAAATGCTGGACCAGCCATTAATCCTGGTGGCGTCCCCGAAGCAAGAAATGGTTTGCAACTGGGTCGTGCACGATTGCCTGCAGCCCAAAACAATAATAATAATAATCCGGTTGTAGCTCAAGATTGGAATCCCGTGATAGAATGGGACCGAGGAGCTGAAGATATCACTTGGGAAAGAGTATTTGGTTTGGATGGTACATTCGCATTTCTGGAAAATGTGTTCTGGGTGATCACTTTAAACACCTTATTCATATTGGGGTTTGCATTTTTTCCATATCATATTGGAAATGTCCTATTCAAACGTATGAATGTCGAAATTATTGTATCGCCACATTTTGACCGTTTCATCATCATATTTATGGGTTACATTATGATTGGCGCAATTCTGTTTCTAATGCATATCGTCACATCATTGACTCAATTTAACCGTATTCAACGTTTTTTTGGTTTCTGTTATATCATTGTCAAGGTTGCTCTGTTGGTAACTCTAGAAATTGGACTATTTCCCACTTTAATCGGATGGTGGCTTGACATTTGCTCGTTACCTTTATTCGACAGCACACTTTTACATCGTATCGAAAACTTTTTTGCATCACCTGGTACATCACTCTTCATCCATTGGCTGGTCGGATTGTTTTGTATTTTTTATTTTGTTTCTTTTATAATCATGGTGAAAGAAATTGTTCGTCCCGGACTGTTGTGGTTTGTCCGAAATCTAAATGATCCCAACTTTAATCCCATCAATGAAATGATTAATTTATCGATTTTTTCACACATCAAAAGATGTGTCTACAGCTTAATCGTATTTGGAACGACTATTTTGATAATGATTTATCTACCGGTTGGTTTGATTCAAAATTTAATGCCGAAATTTTTGCCATATAATAATATTTCGAGCAAGTAAGTTTGTAGCCAATGTTTTAATTTTGAACAGATATAATTTATATAATAATTTCTAACCTTAGTGATTCTCCATTCACTGAATTATTGATTGAACTTTTTTTGTTCCAACTGGTTTTACCTGCATTGATCGATCATAATGATCATAATAATTCAAGAAAATTCATTAAATTGATGATACGAGGATGGTGTCAAGTAATGGCATATTTATTGGATTTGAAGAGCTATTTGTTAGGTGATAACAACAACAATAATAATAATAATGGCAATAACAACGATAACAATAATGATCAAGCCAACGAAGAGAACATCGATGATGCATCTAGTCATAATCAAATGTATCGAAAGCCCAAGCTTTTCTATATACGTGTAACATTCTTATTAGTAGCTTTCTGGGCGACATTGCTATTTTTCGGCGCTTTCACATTGACCGTTCCCGTTTTGTTGGGCCGAGCTTTGATCAACTTTTATTTTGGTGATATTCGAGTCAATGAATTTAATACTGCTGCCTGTGGAATATATGCAATTGTTATATTCTTACAAATGATTAGCGTTGTCGTGCGCGGAATTTCACGTGGCTGGACACAAATCATCACTAAAGATAACCGAATGGATACCTATACTCTGTAAATTAGCAGTGGCCGCAATTCTTTTACTTGGAGTGATACCTTTGTTGATTGGACTTTTATTCGAAGTAGTTCTTCTCTTACCTTTACGAGTTCCATTGGGACAGACACCTGTTTTCTATCTATATCAAGATTGGGCATTCGGAGTATTGCTGACCAATGTTATATGCGCTATCACAATGATGACTGATCTTCAATTCAAAGAAACTTTGGAACAGGTAAGATTTGTATATATTGATTACTGTCCATGAAATTTAATTAACATTTAAAGGTCTACAACAATGGTTTGGCTAACATAAACCTTCGTGTAATATTATTTGATTTGGCATTTCCCAACATCTCCATTATCGGCATGATATTGGCCCTACCATATGTGTTTGTTAACACATTGTTTCCACTGTTTGGAGCTACAATTGAGCTTCAGAATTTAGTAAATCGTCGAATACATTCCATTCTGTTTGTCATAGCACTTTTGTTCTTTTTGGTCAAATACCAGATCAACAAGTTCACAAGATTTTATGAGCACATACGTAATGATAAATATTTAGTCGGAAGGCGTCTCGTCAATTATGATCCCAATAATCGAAGTATGGTTCAAGTTTCCAAGTGATTCAAATTTTTAGACAATAATTGATGAAGATTGTGTCTTGTTATGATTCTGTTTTTTGGTAATAATACACTACTTTTTAATCATGAAAAAAGTGTAAAAACGAAATATTGCTATACTGAAACTTTTGTCAAGAGAATGGCGGTAAATCTTCACATCATTTTTTAATCATGTTTCATCATGTAACTTGGTTATACATTGTTGATTCTTTCTCATCGATTTCTTACCATAAAAGTTGATTATTTAATGTTTAAATGATATGATGATGATATATATTGCTATAATTGTAAATTTGTATTATATTTTTCTAAACATTGAAAAATAAACTTTTCTTGTATAAGAACAATATTTATTTATTCATTTATTTACAATAGTAGTTATATTTATAATTAGTTTACAATTATTGGCGACGGGTTCTGAGGCCAGCAATTCCTTTGATTTGCATATCAGTTTTATCACGTTTAATTTTCCTTGATTTGTTTGGAAATTCTTTACGATATTGTACCTTTTTTCAAAATCGATTACATAGATAAAACCAGCAATAAGAACTTCAACAAAAAGTTCTTCATTCTGATAAGCAGTTTCAATATCGTTTGAAGTTTGTTCATCATAAAGCCACCATCCATTATAACCTTCGTAAAACCAATGATAATCAATACTGGAAAGACTGGCTACTTCTAGAGTGGATTCTGTTTGAATTAATTCAGGGTTGTTGAAAAATGATGGTGATATATGTCTACGACATAATGGACACTTATGTGTCGGTAAAATGGCACCTTTTGCACATAAAAAACAAAATATCTGTTCCAAAAGAAAAAATTGGCGATATTCATATTGAAATTAATTATTTTTTTTCTTCTAAATACTCACATGAGAACATGGTAGTTTTGTTGGATAAGTAGGTTGATTCAGACAAACTGGACATGGTTCTAGATTAGCCATGTTTAATAATAATAATAATAATCATTAAACTTTATAATCAATTTTGTTTCTTTTGTTTCAACAAAACGATTGCGTCAAAAATACTTTTTTTTCTGTGAGCCAAAAAACTCAAAAATTAAATGCATACAATTTAACTGTTGAAATCCGTTCACAGACAACATTACGTATACGTTTTTTTTATTGATGCTGTAAATAAACATACTCCCGCCAAAACGCATTGATCTTTTTTCACAATTAGATTATATTCGAAAAATATCTTCAAATAAATGGCTTCTACATCATTATCCTCGCAACGAATTAACGATTTACAAGCCGATCAAGATGATCAGGTTCTATTTAATGAAGTTGTGGCCACTTTAAACGATCTCGGTCATTATAATCGTTTGACCAACAAATATCAATTGAATCTTAGTGATCATGGCGTTTGTCTTCGAGATCTTATCCGTTTTCTACGAAACGATGGACAAAATTTTCTTGTACGACGTCAGATGGGCATCTCAAATATCGTCGACAATGATCTTTTACCGATTATTGAGCAACATGCTCTCACCGATGATCGTCGGATCGATGAATCGGGAAAATCATTAATGGACAAAATAATTCGTTTGTTGGTCGATTTAACAAATCCCACTGTTTTGCATTATCCAGATCAAAAAATTCCTAAAGATGATAAATATGAAATTAATATCTATATGGAATTGCAAGCTTTTTTATTTCAATATAAACTTGCATTCTCTTCCCGAAAACGTTTTTGGATTGTAATATCGAAATTTTTGACCAGAATTTTAGAATTAGATTCTGATAATCGTCAAGTAGAAGATGAAATGATGATGGAACGTATTATAATATTGGTTCGTAATGTTCTACATATACCGATTATATCTCGCAACAGCCAAGTCGATGATTTGAATGTCCATGATCATATTGTCGAACATATAAGTAATTGTGGCATGTTAGACATATTGCAGTACATGATTAATAGCGGAGAATATGGACAATATTGTTTTCATTTATTGGAAATAATTTTTTTAATTTTTCGCGAGCAAAACGCTGAATTTTTGACCAAAAGTGTTGGAAGTGATCGACAAAATGAACATCAACAAAATTCAAACTCATTTTCCAATGCTTCCCGTAGTCAATACGAACGTGAGATCGATAATCGTGAATTTGAGGACGCACGTATTAGAGATCGAAAAGAACATGAACAAATGATGGCCAAATTTAAAAGTGATGATTTTACACGCTTTAAAGAAGCTGCTTTCGTTGTGAAAAACATGAAAGCCATATCCGACCGTGACATGATATGCTATCGTGCCTATTCGAATCCAGAAAAAGCTATGGATTTCAACAAGAATAAAATTGCTCAACGTCGTCCCCGTAATCGTAGACCAATGAATGAATCGGTGGGAAATAGTGATTCATTTGGGGCGCAACGTATTCACCGTTCTAGTAAACAACTTCGATCCATATTATATGATTTTTGCTCGAAATTTTTGGCTGAATCTTATAATAAATTTATGTCAGAAATTCGTTCAAATCTAAGTCGCGGTGCCTCACAGGAACATGATGAAACTTATTTCTTTTGGGCCTGTCAATTTTTTATGGAATTTAATCGATATCGGACGGACATTGATCGTGAACAAAGATATCAACAGGTTGAATTTTTTGAATTAAATTTGAATGTAATTTTATTGATTAAACTCCTTTTCCATTATTTTATTAGGTGTATGACACATTATCAACTAGTATGTTTCATTATATTCAAACCGTTGTTGATGATTATATGGATCACTTGCTTCAAAAGAAAGAATTCAAAAATGAACTCAGTGATTGGTCTAAACGTTTACATCAAGCATTACGATCGTATAGAGAATTGCTTTTTTCGTTATCTTGTATCGAATCATTGAACCTTCCTGCAGCAAGCAAAATGTGTTACAGAATCAAGACAGATATTTTCACTGAGCCTGAATATCGAGAAATGTTACTACGATTAATGCAAGCTTATAATGAGGAGAAAATGTCCAAAGCATACCTGCGTGATCTAATCGAAACAAATCATTTGTTTTTAAAAATGTTGGAATATCATGCTAAAATAAGTCTGGATTTTAAAGTTAAGGTTAAAAAACGCAAATCATCAAAACGCAAGAAAAAGTCTGCGATTAATGAAAATCCCGTTGAAAATGATAATAAAAAGGAAGAAAATGACTATTCGTCACCCGATATAATCTGGATTGAAATCATAGATGATGTGAGCGAAACATTAAATTCTGAACTTAATGCCGAGACTATATTGGATGAAGAATTATTAAAAAAACTATTTGATCCACTTTCCGATCAATCACTGGATGAACAAAAATTATCGATCCTTAGAATGATTCAAAAATTTTTACGTGAGAAAGAGGTAAAAAAAGCTGTCAGTCTATATCGCGAAGCTCGTAATGCTTTGTCCGGTGTGGATGAAGAGAATGTTTTCGGTGAAATCGGTATTCAAATAGATGATGAAATGCTGGCTTTAAATGGAATTTTGATGGCCGAACTTCCCATGGAAAAGCGAAAAGAAAAATCCAAACCAGAAAATGATGATGATGAACCACTGAGTGATGAAGCTGAGGATTCTGTTGTATTACAGGAAAAAAAATTTTCTATTGATGAAACATTGATGCGATATGCTCATCCAAATGTTGTTCGAGCTTGTCGAATATTATTGAAAAATTATCGCACAAACTCTCCTAATACCAATCACGCAATCGTCCGAATGTTGTACCGTTTGTCGGTTAATCTCAAAATGAAGCCAATGTTTTATAATCTAAGTTTTTTTCTAATATTCGAACAAATCATGGATGATCCATCGTTGAAAAATGTTACCGATAAAAATTGTCCCCATTACAAATCTATCTGTGAATTGGTTTCATTTTCTTATTATGTAATCCGAAGTTTTTTTAAACTTTTATCCAAACATCCGAAAATTGCCAGTGAGATTTGTTTTCCAGTTAATAGTCGTGAAGCTTACCGAATGGAATATGGTTTCGATGAAGAAATTGTCGGTCAAACGATTAGCAAAAAGAAAGGTAAAAGCCGAAGCGATGATGACTCTAACATAATTCTTAATGATAAATCATCGGATGAGTTGGACGGAAATGACAGATCATCCGTTGAGTTGGACAGAAATGATAAATCATTGTTTGAGTTGGACGGAAATAATGGATCACCGATTGAGTTGGACGGAAATGATGGATCACCGATTGAGCTGAACGGAAATGATGGTTTATCGGTTGAGTTGGAAGGAAATGATAGATCATCTGTTGAGTTGGACGAAAATGATCAATCAGCACTGGCTACAAATAGTTTATTCAAACGGAAATTTATTGAATCCGATGATGAAAGTGGAAACGAATTTGCCGATTCTGAATCGGTTAAAGTTACGAAAAAGAATCGTAGAATGATCATCCTAGATGATGATGATGATGATGATGAATGAATAAAACGTTTTGCTAACTATTTTTTATGATAAATTCATTTTAATAAATAAACTAAAACTGCATAATCTCGAACTTTTTTTGCTATTGCTATATCAATGAATGAATTAAGGGGGATAGGAACTGTAGAGGGCGTAAAAAAAACGCATTTTTTGTTAAATGATTGCTCTTCAATGAAACGTCCGAAGTTTTTGAAACTTACTTATGTAATTATTTAGGGGTCCTAGAATAATTTAACATAAACAAAAAATAAAAAATATTCATACATCAATATGAAACAATCAGTTGAAAATCAGCTGTTTAAAAAGCACGGTCGGTGTTATATCTTAAGAATCGTAGCTCAGAATTTGATGAAATTTTCGGGAATTATGGACAGGTTTAGCGGCTATCGTGAGTGACTAAATCATGGCTCAGAACCGGATATTATGGCGGATATTAGCCTGAATGTGAAGAAAAAAACTGTTAATTTTTCAACCCTAAGTTTCAATTGGCCCAAAAATGCCCTTCTCCTTGGAGATATATAACGATTTAGTCACTCACGATAGCTGCTAATCCTGTCCATAATTCCCGAAAATTTCATCAAATTCCGAACTACGGTTCTTAAGATATCACGCCGACCGTGCTTTTTAAACAGCTGATTTTCAACTGATTGTTTCATATTGATGTATAAATATTTTTTATTTTTTGTTTATGTTAAATTATTCTAGGACTCCTAAATAATTAAATAGATAAATTTCAAAAATTTCGGACGTTTTATTAAAGAGCAATCATTTAACAAAAAATATGTTTTTTGTTGCGCCCTCTATACTTCCTATCCCCCTTAAATGCACGATTTTAGAGCATTATCGTTTAAATAAGCCAGTATTAGTTTGAAAAATTGATACCAGATGGGCTTACTATACTATATTTTTTGCAGATTCGAATTTATGGTTATATTTCTTCCATTCAACTTATTCTGACCGGAGACTAGTTTGCTTGTTTTGTATACACTTTTATTCTATTCACTCAACATCATCATGAATTAATTGACATTTGTTTCCGCGCACTATTACAAACATAACATCTTCATATACTTGCCGACAGGTCTAGATTCATAGTTAGATATAAGTTAGATTGTCCTGTTTTCTCGCTAATATAATTTAGATTAGAATTTTATTTGTTTCGTCTATTTCTTTAGAATCTGAAACATTCATTCTATAGCAATAAATGATATAGTTGTTGAAACATAGTTAAAACGAAAGTAATCATTGTCATTTTCACTTAGAAAACACAGAGTTCACATATAATCTGAAATAGCATCGAATCTTCTCTTTTTATATACAAATACTAGCGCACCATACGGCTCCCGGAACTATTTTTTCGTCATTTCTTTCTTTTTGTAAATGATGATAAGACATAAGACAAGATTAATTTATGAACAAGGAAAAGAATTTACTAAACCTATTATATTTTGGTTGATCTAAATTTGAGACATATGAAATGGATGAAAGAAGAGCATCTCATATGATGATGACAGTTATTTTCGATATTTTAGTTGGAAAATGAAAATTGAATTTATCCGCCAACGAAAACATAATTTTTTGTTATTATTATTATTATTATTTTTTATTTTGGTGACAAATTATTAGTAATGATTGATCGAGAAAAAAAAATTACAAAGGATTTCAATGATAATTAGAAATTATTTACAAAAAAAAGTAACTAAAATTGCCTTTGGAGTCTACACTTTTTTGGTTATTAACTATCAATTGTTTTTTATTTTTTGAAAAAAAAGGACAACAACGATAAGGAAAAAATGAAAGAATGTGAACACAGACACACACACACTCACACACATACGCACACAAACATACAACAGGCCGAAAAATAATATAATAATAATAATAATAATATGAAGAATTATCAAACTAAACCGGAAATGGTAACCGAACGATGTATAGAATTTGAAGTAGATGTTGATGAGCCGCTATTTATGGATACTGCTGATGTTGATACATTCGGTGATGATGTTGTAGTTGTGGTAAGATGTGGTGATGATGATATTATCGCTGCTGATGATGCAGCTGCCGCAGCAGCAGCGGCAGCGGCTGCTGCAGCTACAGAATTGGATAATGAAAAACCACCGGTACTGTTACTACCGTTTCCATGTGTTGATGAATAATAATACGATGTAAGAGCTTGTATTGAATTAGAATCAGCCACTGTATGTGCATGCGATACTAGATTGTTTGCTTTCGGTGTTGGAGATGTCGTTGTTGTTTGACCATCTAATTTAAACAAAATTTATCAATGTTTTACATATATTGAAATGTTTAGTTCAATTTCTAGAAATGAAAAATAAATTTTATCAATTTTTTACCTGATTGTTGATGATACAATATGGGAACTGCACGCATCCTTTGAGCCATATTAGCAGCTTCGATTTCAGCTGCCAATTGACGTTTCCATTTATTTCTTCGATTCTAGTTTTTTTTTAAATAATTGATTGATCAACGTATTGATGTCAGAAAAGAAAGATATAAAAATTAATTGATCGATTGATTTTCTTACTTGAAACCAGATTTTAACTTGTGTTTCCGTCAAATGTAATGATGCGGCTAATCCAGCACGTTCTGAACTGCTCAAGTAACGTTTCATATCGAAAGTTGATTCCAATTGAAAAACTTGACTACGGGTAAATACAGTACGTGTTTTCTTTTTCCGTTTATTCGACAAACTATTAATACTGTTCTGATCATTTGTGGATGATTTATCTATATTACCATTGTTATTATTTATTGTACTATTGAATAGGCAATTTCTTTGAATAGGTGAATCCTTTTCTGAACATGTATCCGAATCATTATAATCAATATCATCTTCAAGTTCAATTTCTTGTTGATGGGAATTATTGGCAATGATTGAACACTTATTTAAAGGTCCATTACCATTATTTCCTTCAAATGGTGAACCCGGATTTGATGATGAAAACAATGAAGGACTGTAGCTTTTATCGCTACATTCTCGTTTATTGTTTGAATCTCGATTTAATTTTTGTAAAAAATGATCTAAAATGATTGAATGAATAAATGAAACAACAAACGACGAAAAAGTGGTGAATGAAAAGAAGAAAAAAAATCCAAATAAATTTTAATGATCACGTTGAATAAAACACATAGACTAAAAGGATTCTTTGATTCTTTTTTTTAGCTTATGAAACATACACACACACACACATTGTTTGTAACAAACACAACGTTATACACATATCAAAGTCTATAAACTCTTGAGACTCGTTCCATTCAAAATTCATACGATTCCTATTTATAGTCTCTGGAGAAACATTCCTCTTGTGTGTGTGTGTGAGTGTTAAAGAGAGAGATCATTGGCAAGCAATCATTAATTTTGATTTTAATCAATTTTCGGAAAGGAAAAAATTCTCGCCTAGACACAATAATTGGTGATATATTGTTTTCGGTGAAAGATGCCTTCGAAATAAATCATTGTATAAACATTAACTATTCTTTTTTCTCTTATAACTGATAATGATGATATTGAAAATAAATTTTTTAAAAATCAATTTACCTTCTTTGGATTCTTTATTCGACGCAAACATTGAACTAAAATTAACATCCGAAATAGTAGTATTGCCTGATAATAATGCCGTAGGTGACATTGTTAATGACCATGGATACCATGGTGATGGTTTGTTCTTTGTTCCGGCAGCAGCAGCCATTGCAGCAGCAGCATTAACATTTGCATTGGCGAATAACATGGACGGTAATATTTGCGATTTTTGCTGGTCATTCAATGTTGATAATGATGATGACATTGATAATGGATAACCTGATAGAAAATGTGCTGATAATAATGATGTCATTGGATCAAATGATAATTGATTTGTTGGGCGTGAATATAGTGGATTCGCTTCAACAAATAAATGATTGAATAATTAATTATAATTCATTCGATCAATTAAATTCAAGGTGAATAACGATTAAAATTCAATAAAACAATCTACTTACCTGCTAATAAATTGTCACGTAAATTGTTAACCAAATTATTATGATTCTCTTTACTCAATATATTCGAGATGGAAAAATTAAGACGTTGATTTTTATTATCATTACCGCTCTTTGACTGTTGCTGTTGTTGTAAAAGACCATTTTGTTGTGATTCTAATGATTTATTTAGATTATTATTATTTGTATGACATTGATTGTTTGATTTATCTGTATTTATTCGCGTTGATTTAGCCATTGTTGACGAATCTGTCGAATTCGATAATAATAATGATGAAGAAGATGATGAGGATGATGATGATTCAGGATTTTCATTATCTTGATTTTTTGCATTTAATAAATCCAATTGTTCTAAATGATTACGATGATTGTGATGGTGATGAATAGAAGTTGTAGGTGTTTGTGAACCATGATGATGATGACCATTATAATTCATCATATCGGTTAAATGATAAAATGGTGTAGTGATTGAATGATGATTGAATAATGTTGTTGTTTTACTTGTGATAATATCCAATGAATCTAATTTATTCAATTCTTGATCGCTTTCTGTTGATGTTACCGTTTCGATTGGTATTGTTGGGGATGATAATGATGATGATGATTTTGATGTAATCGAATCGGTGGCGTTTGGTTGATAATTATGGAGAAGGTGGTTATGTTGATAGCGTTGGCGTTGTTGATGTCGATGATGATGGTGGTGGTGGTGGTGGTGGTGGTCACCATTTTTGTCAATAATGGCCATATTATTTCCCGTTTATCTATTCGTCTGCCTATACGTTTTTGTTAGATCTAGATAGTCGTTTAGATAGTTGAAACGTTTCGTTTTTTTTCTCTTTCTTTCTTAAATTTACTTGAATATTAGCGGGCGTTTATTCTATGATTCTTGATTCGTCGTCGTCTTCAAGTGTTTTCAGCAATTGATGGCGGTATCCGAATGAGTAGACATACAAACACACACACACACATGACATGATTTCTTCATTTGAAATGGTAGTATATTGTTGTTGGAACAATTTTTTTTCCATACAGCAGTTGAAATTACAAAAAAAAAGTTTTAATATGAAATGTGTGTGTGTATTGCAGCATTCAACTTAAATATAAAATAGATAGACCAATTAATAAAAAAAGGGAGGCAAGTCATATAAATATAGACATTTGAGATAGAAGTGAATTTCTTTTATGCTAGAACCAGAAAAGAAAATCGAATTGCTACCTCACATAGAATAAGTAAAATAGTCATTCAATTTTTAGGGCCAATATATCTAACATACTTTTTTATCTTTTTCTTACACACAATAGTCTGTAAAATGATAAAACGATCCCCTATACTACGGTACATTGTGTTTATGTGTATGTGTGTGTGTGTTTGGTGGATAAAATTTGGGTTGGGCGTTGGTAATTTTTTAGAGGATCTCGTCGTTTCATTTTGTTGTCGATTTGTTCAAGCGTCGATTGTCTTGTCGCCTCTTCACATTCTCAAATATATAACATATATATGAACAAATAGCAACGACAGCAATCAAGCCAATTGAAAATATAACAAATGCAGTCATTTGATTGGCTACAATGATGATGAACAGTACACGCCAGTAAAAATCAAAAAAAGCAAAACACTAAAGAATACAGACAGCCTATCGTAAAAAAACTCTATATAGTTTCAACATATAATACAAACACATACACAAAACGTATATTTTTCATTCGTAAATGTATGCGTCGACAGACCAAATGTGACAGTTATATATAACGGAGTTCACTTTCCATACTGACAACTTTTAGTTTAGTTTGATTCGGTCAAAACAATCTCAAAAGTCATATCAGTGAATAAATGAATTGAATGAATGAATGAAATACTTGGGCTCTTTGGGTTTGTTTTGGACCCAAAGAGGAAGAATAGCAAAAGAAAAAGCTATTAGCCAGCGAATGAAAAGGTTTTGAATAGAAATAATGCAAGCGTTAGAGAGATAGAAAAAAAAGAAAAAGTGGTTAAATTGACAACATTTAACTATCATTAATGTTTATTTGGCGCTAATAGATTATTTATTAACAACAACAACAACAACAACAACGATGATGATGATGATGACAACGACAATAGGCACAACTTTCATTTCAAAACACTACTATTCAATTTACAATAAAGTCATCATCATTATCAATGAGTGGAAAAAAAACGATGATATCTTTTGCAAGGGGTAATGATAGTGGTTTCCCACTCATTTTATTTATTTTGAAAAAAAAGAAAGAACAAAAATTACGTATAATGTATATGCATGTTTTTTTTATATTTGGAAATTCTGTTTATTCACTTTCACTATGTTTGATTCCATTCGAGTTCATTGCATTCATTTTTCGTTTTTTTTCCACCCAAACAATAATGATAACAAAAACACATATATACTGCACCTACTGAACAATTGATTTTTTCAATGAGTAAGAAATTAATGTAATTAGAACGGTTCCAAAAAAAAATGTCTTTTTATGTATAAAAATGTGTTTGAATAATAATGATAATAGTATTAAAAAAAAATTAATGGACATCATTTTCACTTGCTCACAAATATAATTTGTTTCATCATCCATGTATTATTTGGGCTTGCACTCAATAATGAATACAGAATACATGAACAAAAAAAAAAAAAAAAAAGAAATCTAATATTAAAACTTACAGACTATTTTTAGTTGAATAGGTGTAACATTATATTCCTTCATGTATGAAAATTAGGATTCAGGATTCTTGTCAGGAACCCCTAACTTTATGGTCGGAATAATTAGTGCAACGATAATGATCATGATGATGATCATGATGATGATGATGATGATAATCAAACATTAACAACAATTATAATGATCATGAAGACGACAACAAAAAAGCAATTGATTTCAATTTAATGAGAATTTATTCATAGCAAAAGCAAAGTAAAATGAAAATCTCTATAATGTGTTGGGGAAAAAACGACTATATGGAAATACGAAAAAGAAAAACAGTCTCAAACAACAACAACAACAACAACAATGATGCGAAGATGAAATTCTACACGTAGATAATTAATCGACTACATAAGGCAATACGATGCTACGTTAAATTTTTACACACTGTTAATATTCAGGTCATTCAGTCGTGCGTATGGCATTCAATTCAGATTTATATGTCATTCGATTCTTTTCATTTGAAATAAATGAATTTTTTTTACCGTTTTTCATAGTCATCATTGTTATTGTTGCAAAAATATCTTTATCGAAATTCAATCATTACAATTTAATCATTAAAAATTGTTACTTTTAAGCATTTTTCTTTCTCTCTCTCTCTCTCTCTCTCTCTCTTTTTCTAACAACAACAAATATCAAATTTGATATCGATGAATGAAAAAAAAAATTCTGGCCATATGGCCATGATTTGTTTCCTCTCTCGTTTGACATTTGAGAATCCAAATGGGAATCATTCGTTTATGATGTTTATTTATACGGGAGAATGACAGAATTCAAAAAAAAAAAAAAAAAAAAAAAATAATGATAATTTCGAAAAACGATCAAGAAAGAAAAGAAAAAAAATCTAAATCGAATATGATGAAAAACAGAAAAAAAAATTCAACAAAAGAAAAAACAGTTCCGTTTAGTGAATAATTAACAAGGTTTAGTCAATCTCGATAAGATTCGATTAATCTGTCAACAATTGACAGCAATCCAATGGCGGTACTTTGAATTGCTGCACTTGGGTTTGTGTGTGTGTGTGTGTGTGCAAATGAGATTTGTTTATATTCACCACTTGCCAAATTCATTTGTACATTGTTGTTGTTTCAATGAATGAATGGAACTTAGAAGGACCAACTAGGGTCCTATTGAGTAAATATTCATTCAACCAAATAATGATAACATAAATTTTATTTTGTTTTTTTTTTTTTGGTCCCCCCTATTATCGATCCAATGATTATGATCTTATTGTTTGTATCTCTCGATATTCGAGTTTGACAACAATCAGGTCTTTTCACTATCTATTTTTCCATTGAATTTTTTTTTTTTTGGCCCTCGAATAGCTTTTTTCTTCATCACATAAACTAATGACTCTCGGGATATGGCCTAAACTGAATGGATGGTGCTGGTGGTAACCCCATTATAACAAACAAACAGATGGACTTTTGAAGTGCCAATGTTCAATGAAACAATCTCAATTCATTTATCGTATGTAATAATGTTTTTTTGTTCTGATTTTTTTTTTTAATTCGGTATTTTGATTGACATTAATAGAAAAAAAAAATATTCAGTTCAAATATATATTTGATTTCTGGTTCGTTTTTTTTACATTCATTCAATGTTGATATAATATAATAAAGTTATTGACTAACCAAAAAATAACAACAACAACAACAACAACAACAAAAACAACCAACTTATCGATATTTTATAAGAAAAATATTGTAATAAATGATATAATAAATAATACATTATACAAAGTTGTCAATTGTATTGTATTCAGCTAATAACAAAAAACAAAATGCCAACATATAACAATACCCGTTAGATATGATATCTTTATTCACCATCATCATACAATTCGGGTACTCGAGAGAGATCGGTCAAATGTCGAGTAGCAATCAAAGACAAGAAAAAAAAATACTATTGCTTTTAGGTGACAAGTAGATTTTTTTTCTTCTTCTGTTTGTCACATTGATATTGGTGTTGTTGTTTTTGTTTTGTTTTGTTTTTTTCGGGTATACGTTTATGGATCAATTTTTACTATAATGCCATTTAACAACAAGACTATACTAAAAAAAAAAAATTTAAGCTTATTTATCAGAAAACCTTTTGGAGTGAGTATTGCAAAAAGCTTCCGATATATTGCAATTATTGCTTACGGCAATGTATAAATTAATCTAAAAATACATTATATACACATTTTTGTTTTGTATCAATAAGGACAACATCGTATGAATGTGTGTGTTGTTTGTTGGTGATGTGAATATATCACACTCACACACACACACACACACATTAGCAAACACGTGACACGAATATTTCAAACAAAAAAACTCGGATTTTGGAATTCAATTCATTCAAATTTTCTGTCTTTATTTCCTAATTTTTTTTTCTGTGAATAATTATACCGAATTCGGTAATTTACATTGCACTTTAGCATCATTATCATCATTTTTATTATTATCATTAATTGCAGCCAATTTTAATCAGAGAAAAAAAATTGCCCAAAGTGATTGGCAAGATTGATTGTGGTTTTTTTTACACAAAAAAAAATTCAAATGTTTTATATTAATTGAATAAATTTATTTTCAATTCAATTCCCAATTCATAGTAATAAAATTCATTTTGATTTTATTATATATGCAGCAATGACATATGAAATTTTGGTGATAAAATGTTGATGCAAAATTCATAATAATGATAAATATTTGTGATGACTAGAAAAATTATTTTCTTTTTTCACTTGATAGCTCAAGTGAATAGTCGATTAATTGAAGAATTACAAACAATTTCAATTTTCAAACTATAGGTAGTTTAGTTTAATGGTTGGTTAGTTTGCGGTTAGTTCTTTTGAAAACAGAATCAGGACAGCAAAAAAAAAAAAAAAGAAAATAGTGGTAGTTTTTTCGGTTGATGGAACAACAAATTTTCAAAGCAAACACAATTTCATTCCATTTTTGTGAAAGTGAATGAAAACGATTCGAATCAATATAAACTCATCATCGAAATGTTTTTGTTACTGTTGATGATGATTATCAAAAACATTCGACTAAAATGATGATGGCAAATTCTATATTATTATTATTATTTTACAATCTAATCTTGTTTTTGTTCCATTTTCTATCAGTTATGTTTACTGTTTGTTGTTGTTGTTGTTTCTGGTGCTAGAATATGCTATTAACCAAAGTTGATTTTCAACAGCAAATTTAATGCATATATTCCTGTGTCAAACATCGGATGATGATGATGATAAAAGCCCTAGAAATTGTCGGGTGGAGTCATTTCTACACCAGTTTTTTTCCCAATCCAAAATAATTTAATATCAGTTTGAGTTAAAAACTCATCAAATAAATAGGTGGAATACATTTGAAATTCAATTGGAAAAATGCATACCAATTCTTGATTCAATTACCTGGAACATATACGATAATCACAAATGTTCTGTGAGAGAAGAGTTTATTAATTATCTTGGAGTGTTATGAATGCTTTTTCTCAAAAAATATTTTTTTCATGATAAAAAATACAAATTCTGGATAATTTCAAATTAATGTTGACCTTGAATGAATGGAAAAAAAATTCCATTTATTCATTAATCATTTGATCATTAACACGATGATTATATCATTTTAGAATTGTTCCATGATG